TCCCCTCCTGCTTAATTAAGGTGTCAAAACCGGCCCAGCCCCACTTCCTATTCTGTGGGTAAGAGGGTCTGGTTGTTGTCAGCTATTTACCAAGCTGATCTGAGGCCTTTGATCCTCACCCAGGAGAGTCATGACAGTTTCTTCCTATCCGCAAAGCACTGTAATTGTTCTCTCCTCTATTTCCCCCTTGTCTTCTTTACAGGTTCCCCCCCTCCTCCAGCTGTGGTCCGTTCGTGGGCAGCGCTACAGTGTTTAATGTAACAGATGTGTGTGTGGACAGTCTGCCAGGACTGGCCCAGTCCACCCTGAGATACCTGTCCTCAGAGGCCTTCATTCTGCCTCTGATACTGGCTCAGATGTAGGTGATATAGATCATACACACACACATACACATAAACACACACACATGCACGCACACACACACCAGCCTGCCACCCAATGCTACTGGCTCAGATGTGCAGTAGGTGATATAGAACCTGACTCCTCTCATAGATTCTGTTTCTTACAGATCATAGAAATATAATAAATAGAACATAGCACGTTCTTGTTGCCATGGATGTAAATGTTACAGATCGTATATCATGTTACCCTTTTCCCCAGTGTTGTCCTGACCACCTTTGAGTCACGGAGGAGAGCAAATGGAAAAGCCATTGAGAGACTGAAGGACATGCTGGTGATGGTAGGTTACCCACCGATAACAGTATTAGTTAACCCTAACCCAGCTGCTGATAATAATAAATATTAATATGCCATTTAGCAGACGCTTTTATCCAAAGCGACTTACAGTCATGTGCGCATACATGTTTACGTATGGGTGGTCCCGGGGATCGAACCCACTACCCTGGCGTTACAAGCGCCATGCTCTACCAATTGAGCTACAGAGAACCTGATGGTAGGTTTGTGTCTTCATAGTAAGAAAGTTCAAATAGTGCAATACATCTTGAGGCTTAAAACATTCATTCTCTCTCTCTCTCTCTCTCTTTTTTTGTTTCGTTCCCTCAGTGCACCTCAGATAAGCATTTTCTGCTGAAGCAGCACACTCTCTCACTCAGACGCCAGAAGAAAACCTTCAAGGCCCCCACCACTGTTTCAGGCACGAAAGAGGGCAGCCCTACCACCAAGAAGGACCCCTCAGCAGGCATCGGAGAGGACAGCCATATCACTCAACTGAAGGACCCCTCTGCACAGCCTACAGGAGATGACAGCCCATCATAGAGATAGAGGACTCTAGTGCCGAAAATTCTGTTTTAGCATGGGCAGAGCCATTCAGGACTTTCATCATTTTGAAGTAGTCAACTGTGTGGAACTTTCTATGGGTTAAGGAAGGATCACATGATTCCATCCAGGTCATCAGGAGGGATCAGCCAAATAATTATACTTGTGAGGAAACATTCCATAACTGCAGGTAGCTGTAAATCGCCAACATGTCTTTATACCTGTTCAAACAACACACTCCAGGTGGCAGTATGCACCCTTTCAGTTTGTTTACCAACTCATAGAAGTAGTAGTAGAAGAAAATTAACTACTTCGAAAATGGAGATGGCCTCAATGGTGCTGCCCATGCTCTCACAGACGCCATATTGGGACAGATACAATGTTGTGTTCTCTAACTATCTCTATGCAGCCCATAGAGTTAGAAATAGAGGCCACCCTCTATCTTTGCGCCAAATGCACCCTCTATCCAACTCTATGGAACTGACAGCTGAATGGCACCCTATTCCATATTTAGCTCTCAAAAGTAGTAGTAGATGTGACCTTTGAGCTTTTTGTCACTCCCTAACATTCAGGGTTTATTGCTTTGGGCTGTACCTACAGTGGGGAAAAAAACTATTTAGTCAGCCACCAATTGTGCAAGTTCTCCCACTTAAAAAGATGAGAGAGGCCTGTAATTTTCATCATAGGTACACGTCAACTATGACAGACAAAATGAGAAAAAAATCCAGAAAATCACATTGTAGGATTTTTATGAATTTATTTGCAAATTATGGTGGAAAATAAGTATTTGGTCAATAACAAAAGTTTCTCAATACTTTGTTATATACCCTTTGTTGGCAATGACACAGGTCAAACGTTTTCTGTAAGTCTTCACAAGGTTTTCACACACTGTTGCTGGTATTTTGGCCCATTCCTCCATGCAGATCTCCTCTAGAGCAGTGATGTTTTGGGGCTGTCGCTGGGCAACACAGACTTTCAACTCCCTCCAAAGATTTTCTATGGGGTTGAGATCTGGAGACTGGCTAGGCCACTCCAGGACCTTGAAATGCTTCTTACGAAGCCACTCCTTCGTTGCCCGGGCGGTGTGTTTGGGATCATTGTCATGCTGAAAGATCCAGCCACGTTTCATCTTCAATGCCCTTGCTGATGGAAGGAGGTTTTCACTCAAAATCTCACGATACATGGCCCCATTCATTCTTTCCTTTACACGGATCAGTCGTCCTGGTCCCTTTGCAGAAAAACAGCCCCAAAGCATGATGTTTCCACCCCCATGCTTCACAGTAGGTATGGTGTTCTTTGGATGCAACTCAGCATTCTTTGTCCTCCAAACACGACGAGTTGAGTTTTTACCAAAAAGTTCTATTTTGGTTTCATCTGACATTCTCCCAATCCTCTTCTGGATCATCCAAATGCACTCTAGCAAACTTCAGACGGGCCTGGACATGTACTGGCTTAAGCAGGGGGACACGTCTGGCACTGCAGGATTTGAGTCCCTGGCGGCGTAGTGTGTTACTGATGGTAGGCTTTGTTACTTTGGTCCCAGCTCTCTGCAGGTCATTCACTAGGTCCCCCCGTGTGGTTCTGGGATTTTTGCTCACCGTTCTTGTGATCATTTTGACCCCACGGGGTGAGATCTTGTGTGGAGCCCCAGATCGAGGGAGATTATCAGTGGTCTTGTATGTCTTCCATTTCCTAATAATTGCTCCCACAGTTGATTTCTTCAAACCAAGCTGCTTACCTATTGCAGATTCAGTCTTCCCAGCCTGGTGCAGGTCTATAATTTTGTTTCTGGTGTCCTTTGACAGCTCTTTGGTCTTGGCCATAGTGGAGTTTGGAGTGTGACTGTTTGAGGTTGTGGACAGGTGTCTTTTATACTGATAACAAGTTCAAACAGGTGCCATTAATACAGGTAACGAGTGGAGGACAGAGGAGCCTCTTAAAGAAGAAGTTACAGGTCTGTGAGAGCCAGAAATCTTGCTTGTTTGTAGGTGACCAAATACTTATTTTCCACCATAATTTTCAAATAAATTCATAAAAAATCCTACAATGTGATTTTCTGGAGATTTTTTTTTCTCAATTTGTCTGTCATAGTTGACGTGTACCTATGATGAAAATTACAGGCCTCTCTCATCTTTTTAAGTGGGAGAACTTGCACAATTGGTGGCTGACTAAATACTTTTTTCCCCCACTGTATGTGTGCTATTAGGACAGGAAAGTGATTATTTGTAAATTGTCAATATATTTAGCTGTTTTTTATGGTGCTGATTGCATGTCTGTAATACATTATAATTATGTTAAAAAATAGAAAGATGTGTTTCAATTATTTATATTAGATTTCTTCACTGAAAATTAAAATATTGAAGTCTAGCATAACCACTAGGTACACATCAGGTAAGCAAATACACACGCAGATATGGTAAAACATTTAATTACCTATAAAGTATACGAACAATAAAACAACTTCTTAAAAACAAAAAGAGACATTAAAATAACGTACTGTTTCAGTGGTTGATCTTCTACGACCATTTCCTTTTTGAATGAACTAATCAGATCGCCCGATACTAAGCGGTGGACTCCTCCTACAGAGACAGTAAACATAGGATGCATCCCAACAGACACTCTATTCTCTACAGAGTGCACTACTTTGGCCAGCGCCCTAGAAAGGTGTGTACTATCTAGGGAAGAGTGCCATTTTGGAAGCAGAGAGACAAAACTTATCACGAAATTATACCCTGACCACCAATTAACATAAAAACATAACAAAATCGTACAAAATAATTGTTATATATCAGAAATGGAAAGAAATAACCTATTTGTTCACAGTTGGTATGAAAGGGCTATTGACAAAAGACCAGTTTATACAATAAAACATCTAAAGTAATAAAACAATCATACTATTTACAATTAAAAATCCTATATTTCACAGAATTAACCCTGCTTAACAATGACACTGTTTTAACCCTTTGTGCAATGTTGGCAGCTTATTGGCATTTGATCTGTTCCCTATTCAAAGTTGTAAAAAAAAAAGTGCATTCTGTTCTGTGTGTCCCTACAAGCACACCGTATCCCAGTCTCGTTTCCTCACCTCTTCACTCCTACATCCTTTCTCATGACCAGGGGTTCTAATCCAAGTTTTAAAAAAGGACAAACATCCTTGGCTGAAACTATTGAGCTTGATAAAGCATTATTTTGTTTTGTGACAGTGACATGTCCTTTCATTTCATATGAAGAATAAACAGTAAGGTGTAGCCTATGGCTTGGCCATGGTAAGTTCATATAAACTCAGTGGTATTTTCCTATGTAGCCTAGTTACAGTAAGGTGTAACCTAGTTACAGTAAGGTGTAGCCTAGTTAAAGTAAAATGTAGCCTATGGCTTGGCCATAGTAAGTTCACATAAAGACTGTGGTCTTTCCCTATGAGGTGTAGCCTGTTATTGGAAGAGGGAAATCCTGCTTTGTCCCATTCCCAATCCTTACAAGGACCAGATTCCTGGGAAAGAGTGTGGATCCTATTAGAATCCTGTTTTGGCCTATGTGGGATTTGTTATTGTAAAGAAATCAATTCCTTTATAGTCCCAGTCCCAATCCCAACCCAGATTCCTGGGAAAGAGTGTACATCCTATGAGAATAGTTTTCCAGTTTAAGAATTACTTAACAACTCTTCCCAGAGGCAGGAGAGGAGAGGTATATCCAGTTTTGTTCCATCCAGGACATTTCAAAAAAGGATATTCAGAGATCTTCCGAGATATGCCCTCCACTGAGATGGGAGAGAAGTAGTGGGAATGCTAGCCGTTGGAATCCTGGGAAGAAGACAGGAGAAAGAGTGTTGTCAGAAATGTGAGCCAGAAGAAATTGGGAACAAAATAATGCATGCATGCACACACACACATACACACACACACACACTCACACACACACACACACACACACACACACACACTCCCTCTCTTTTTTATTTATCTCACACACACACACACACACCTGACTGGCCTGACTGGTGAGTCTGCGAGGAGAGAAGGGTGGTTTCTGCTGGTGGAGGGCCTGGAGACGAGTGATCAGGAACTTCTTATCCTCCCCCTCCTAGAGAGAGAATGAACAGGTTACCAGGCAACAACCATGTAGCTGGCAATTAACACATTATACACAGTGTTAGAACAGGTTACCAGGCAACAACCATGTAGCTGGCAATTAACACATTATACACAGTGTTAGAACAGGTTACCAGGCAACAACCATGTAGCTGGCAATTAATACATTATACACAGTGTTAGAACACGTTATGCCAAGTTAAGTGCTTGTATACACAGAGTGTTGAACGTACATTTTCTACATTGACATTTTAGTCATTTAGCAGACACTCTTATCCAGAGCAGCTTACAGTTAATGCATTCATCTTAAGATAGCTAGGTGGGACAACCACATGTCATAGTAAGTACATTTTTTTCTCAATAAAGTAGCTATCAGCAAAGTCTCTATCTGGGATTATTTAAGATACTCTTTGAAGAGGTAGGGTTTCAGATGTTTTCTAAAGGTAAATATTTATTACAGTGTTATTATGACATTAGTATTGTATGTTTTCTATCTGTATAACACTGTTATAAAGGGTTAAGTCACATTAGTTGAGACATTACGTTTTCTATCTGTATAACACTGTTATAAAGGGTTAAGTCACATTAGTTGAGACATTACGTTTTCTATCTGCTCCTGCAGCAGACTGATGATCTTCCTCTGTCCATCCACCACCTGGGTGTTGAAGTAAATCACTACCCTGAGAGAGACAAAGAGAGAGAGTGTATGAAAACACACAAAATCACAATAACGTTCTATTGATACAGAGATACTGACAGAAATGGAAATGATCAAAACATCCTGAAGGAACTTAGTTTGTGTCAAATCCCTCACAGAATCATCCCACTCACAGGAAGACACCAGGAACAGAAACAGAGGGTTCTCCACAATGTAGTGAGCCCGGGCTAGCCAGGAAAGGTGTCTGTCTGTGTGTGTCTGTGTGTGTGTGGTGTGTGTGTGTGTGTTGTGTCTGTGTTGTGGTGTGTGGTGTTGTGTGTGGTGTGTGGGGTCGGGTGTGTTCTGTGTGTGTGTGTGTGGGGTGTCTGTGTTGTGTGTGTGTTGTGTGTGTGTCTGTGTGTGTCTGTGTGTGGTGTGTGTGTGTGTGTGTGTTGTGGTGTGTGTGGTGTGTGTGTGTGTGTGGTGTGTGTTGTGTGTGTGTGTGTGGTGTGTGTGTGTGTGTGTGTGTGTGTGTGTGTGTGTGTGTGTGTGGTGTGTGTGTGGTGTGTGTGTTGTGTGTGGTGTGTGTGTGTGTGTGTGTGTGGTGTGTGCGTGTGCGTGTGCGTGTGTGTGGTGTGGTGTGTGTGTGTGTGTGTACCCACTCACAGGAAGATCCCAGCAGCCAGGAACAGAAACAGAGGGTTCTCCACGATGTAGCTGTGAGCCCAGGCTAGCCAGGCCAGGTTAGGGTTGTGTCTCCCCAACTCCTTCACCCACAGCTTCCCTGACTGGAACATAGTGGACAGGCTACGGAACGGACCGCATGACTCAGACGGACGGATACTGGAGGGAGAGGAGGGGAGGAAGGTATATAGATATTATAGTATATCAATGTGAATACTGTATATTGCAGGTATATGTGTGTTTGAATTTGCTAATGTGTGTTCAATATGTTCAGTGAGTGTGTTCAATATGTTCAGTGAGTGTGTTACTGACATCAGAGTGTGGTACTGACACCAGTCCATCTCCCTACCTCCACATAGTGTAGGTAACACACACGGCAGCCCCCAGGAATGAAGGGAAGCAGAGGAGTGTGATGAAGATGGTGGTCATCTGACTGGCTCTATAGGGCTTCCTAGGGGACTGGCAGTTCATCATTACACTAGTCTGGTGGGGGGGAGAATACTGTCAGAGAACCGTTTGATCAAGGTACAGAGTCAAGACAAGGTTCAAGGTCAGTTGACATTCAGTTGTAGTTCCAATATAAGTAGTCTACATAGTCCAGTTACCAGGATGATCATGGCACAGTGATCAAAACAGAGGTTTATGTACCTTCTTCATGTAGAAGAGAAGCAGTAGTTTGATGATCTGTACAGCAGGAAGCAGAGGAGTGAACAACACCCCCAACCTACACAACACAGACATGATACAACATCACTACAACACCCCCAACCTCCACAACAGACATGATACAACATCACTACAACCCCCCCAACCTACACAACAGACATGATACAACATCACTACAACACCCCCAACCTACACACAGACATGATACAACATCACTACAACCCCCCAACCTCCACAACACAGACATGATACAACATCACTACAACACCCCCAACCTACACAACACCATACATTATACAACATCACTACATCACCCCCAACCTACACAACAGACATGATACAACATCACTACAACACCCCCAACCTCCACAACACAGACATGATACATCACCCCAACCTCCACAACACAGACATCATACAACATCACTAACACCACCCCAACCTACATCACAGACATGATACAAAATCCACTACACAACCCCAACCTCCACAACACATACATGATACAACATCACTAAAACACCCCAACCTTCCACAACACAGACATTATACAAATCACCCCAAACCTCCAAAACACATACTGATACTGATACAAACATCACTACAACACCCACAACACTCCACAACACAGACTGATACAACATCACTACAACACCCCCAACTACACACAGATCATCATACAAACATCACTACACACCCCCACCTCAACAACACAGACAGGATACAACATCACGACAAAAACACCCCCAACCTCCACAACAATACATGATACAACATCACTACAACACCCCAACCTCACAACCCAGACAGATACAAAATCACTACAAAACAGACATGATGTACACATCACTACAACCCCCCAACCTCCCACAACAAAGACAGATTAAAAACATCACTAACAAAGACATGATACACCATCACTAAACCCCCCCAAACCCCACAAAAAGACATGATAAAACCATCCTACAACACCCCCAACTCCAAAAACGAAGATACAACATCACTACAACAACCCCAACCTCCACAACACATACATGAACACATACTACAACCCCCCAACATACACACCCAGACAACTCACTACAAACACCCCCAAAATACACAAACAGACACCTTACAAATCACTACAACACACCCAACCTACACAACATCACTACAACCCCCCCAACCTCCACAACACATTACAGGATTACAACATCACTACAACCCCCCCCAACCCCCCAAAACACAGAATGATACAACATCACTACAACACCACCAAACTCCACAACAAAGACATCATACAACAATCACTACAACACCCCCAACCTCTACAACACAGACAGATACAAACATCACCCCAACCTCCACAAACACAGACATGTACAACATCACTACAAACCCAAAACCCTACAACAACACAGACATGATACAACATCATACAACACCACCAACCTACAAAACAGACATTCGATACAACAATCACTACATCACCCCAACAAAAACAGGCATGATACCAACATCCAACTACAAACACCCCCAAACCTCCACAACAACAGACCGACCAACATCACTAAACCCCCCCACCAACCCACACCCAAATACACAAACAGACATGAGACAAAAGGCAATAAAACACCCCCAAACCTCCACAACACTACATGATAAAACATCAAACGACAAAAATTTCCCCCAGCCAAAGACACAACACAGACACCAGCACTACAACCCCCCGCAAGCCTACACCCAACACAGACATCAGACAACATCACGACCAACACCCCCAACCTACACAACATCACTACCACCCCACCAACCGCCAAAACACAGACATGGATACAACATCATACAACCCCCAACATCCACAACACATCAGGAACAAAAAAGCACGAACAACCCCCCCAAACCTCCACAACACAGAATGATACAACCTCACCCCCAACCTCCACAACACAGCAGATAAAACATCCACTAAAACCCCAACCTACACACAGACTTCATACAAATCACTACACAACCCAAATACCTCCACAACACAGAATGATACCACATCACTACAACAACCCCACCTCCAGACAATACAACATCACTACAACACCCCAACACAGACATGATACCATCACTACAACACCCCAACCTCCACAACACAGAGACTCAAGTGTACAAGGTTAGGTTTACGGCCAGGGTTAGAGGTCATACCAGACCAGGGTTAAGGCTAGGTGTAGGGTTAAGGTTAGGTTTAGGGCCAGGGTTAGAGGTCATACCAGGCCAGGGTTAAGGCTAGGTGTAGGGTTAGGTTAGGTTAGGGCCAGGGTTAGAGGTCATACCAGGCCAGGGTTAAGGCTAGGTGTAGGGTTAAGGTTAGGTTTAGGGCCAGGGTTAGAGGTCATACCAGGCCAGGGTTAAGGCTAGGTGTATGGTTAAGGTTAGGTTTAGGGCCAGGGTTAGAGGTCATACCAGGCCAGGGTTAAGGCTAGGTGTAGGGTTAAGGTTAGGTTTAGGGCCAGGGTTAGAGGTCATACCAGGCCAGGGTTTAAGGCTAGGTGTAGGGTTAAGGTTAGGTTTAGGGCCAGGGGTTAGGGGTCCATACCAGGCCAGGCGGTTATAGGCTAGTGTAGGGTTAAGGTGTCAGGTTAGGCCAGGGTTAGGTCATACCAGGCAAGGGTTATACGTAGGTGTAGGGTTAAGGTTAGGTTTCGGGCCCGGGTTAGAGGTCATACCAGGCCAGGGTTAAGGTAAGGCCTAGGTGGAGGGGTTAGGTTAGGTTTAGGGCCATGGTTAGAGGTCATACAGAAACAGGGTTGGTTAGGCTTAGGTGTTAGGGTTAGGTAGTTTAGGGCCAGGGGTTCATACCAGGCCAGGGTAAGGCTAGGTGTAGGGTAAGGTTTAGGTTTAGGGCCAGGGTAGGTCTACCAGGCCCAGGGTTAAGGCTAGGTGTAGGGTTGAAGGTTTAGGTTTAGGGCCAGGGTTAGAGAGTCATACCAGGCCAGGGTTAAGTACGGTGTAGGGTTAAGGTTAGTTTTCGGGTTAGAGTCCTACCAGGCCAGGGTCAGGGTTTAATAAGGCTCGGGTATGGTTAGGTTAGGTTTAGGGCCAGGGTTAGAGGTCATACCAGGCCAGGGTTAAGGCTAGGTGTAGGGTTAAGGTTAGGTTTAGGGCCAGGGTTAGAGGTCATACCAGGCCAGGGTTAAGGCTAGGTGTATGGTTAAGGTTAGGTTTAGGGCCCAGGGTTAGAGGTCATACCAGACCAGGGTTAAGGCTAGGTGTAGGGTTAAGGTTAGGTTTAGGGCCAGGGTTAGAGGTCATACCAGGCCAGGGTTAAGGCTAGGTGTAGGGTTAAGGTTAGGTTTAGGGCCAGGGTTTAGAGGTCATACCAGGCCAGGGTTAAGGCTAGGTGTAGGGTTAAGGTTAGGTTTAGGGCCAGGGGTTAGAGGTCATACCAGGCCAGGGTTAAGGCTAGGTGTAGGGTTAAGGTTAGGTTTAGGGCCAGGGTTAGAGGTCATACCAGGCCAGGGTTAAGGCTAGGTGTAGGGTTAAGGTTAGGTTTAGGGCCAGGGTTAGAGGTCATACCAGGCCAGGGTTAAGGCTAGGTGTAGGGTTAAGGTTAGGTTTAGGGCCAGGGTTAGAGGTAATACCAGGCCAGGGTTAAGGCTAGGTGTATGGTTCAGGTTAGGTTCTAGGGCCAGGGTTTAGAAGGTCCATCCCCAGGCCAAGTGTTCTTCCGTTAGATGAGTTCCAACACGTTTTTCCTGGCGGATTGTGTCAAACACCAGGCTTCCTTTTCCTTCTCAACACCCTCTGAGAAAACAACCTGCGAGGCGACGAGAGATGCCGAAGGAGAGGGAGGGAGAGAGAAGGAGAGGAGAATAATAAGGGATAAAGAATTGAGAATGGTGAAAGAAAGCGATAGAGGACTGTAATAATGCGTTTGAAAGAGTTGCCGACGTTATGAAGCAAGAAAATATGCGGGAGAGAGAGAGGCGGGAGAGCAGAAGGGAGAGGAGGAGAGGCTCCACAGGCGTCACACAGGACAGAGCGAGCCGACCCCCGCCGAGCGAGAGACACAGACAGAGAGCGAGAGAGAGAGAAATAGAGAAGAGAGAGAGGGAGAGAGACAGAAGGGAGAGCGCGAGACACAGACCGAGAGCGAGAGAGAGAGAGAAGAGAGCGAGACAGGACAGAGTACCCCCCAGGGGCCCCCAAGAAGGGAGAGAAAGAGAACCCATGAGGAGGAAAAGGGACAGCCCGGCCCCAAAAAACCCCCCCGAAAACCCCAAAAAAAAGGGGTCCAAAAAAATAATATTTCCTTTTGAAAACGTACAGCTCTTTCCAAATTTCTTTAGAGGCAACACCAACCCCCTTTATCAACCCAAACCTTGCAAACCCAGTTAAACGAGTACCGGGGACTAAATAAAATCATTTCAATTAATAAACCACACAATTTAACCCATCAACAACACCAAAATATAACATTACAATATAACAAATAAATTTTAAAACAACATCAATATCAAAATATCAATATAAACAACAAAACGGGAGACCCCAGCATAACAGCAGCACGTTTTCTTTTTGAGCAAAATAGTTCTGGACATGTCGAGGTTGATAATGTGTAAAAGGGGGGACAGAATGGAAAATGTTGGAAGCAATTGGAACGTTGGGACAGAATGGGAATGCTGGAAGGGAATGTTCCCTTCCCTGCAGCCGATGCTTTTGGGGTCAGAGGACCCGGCCCCCAGCCAATGGAAGCAGATACGAGCCGCCACTTTAAACTTGGTTCCTCAAACACAAAAATAGTAGTTTTTTTAAATTTTTAGAACAACAACAAACCCCCTTTTGTCAACTAGAAAGATCTTGTTTTCATAAACTTCCTTAATTCCTTAGCTGAGGATGATTCCCCCCCCCTCTACCTACAGATGGCGATATGGCGTACGTGGGGGAGTATAATTCCCCACCCACACAAAAACTCTAAATTAGTTTGTGGCTGCAGTTCCACCCCTCACGTGAGGGAGACGTAGGGGTGTACGCGGGGGGGAGTCGTACTCCCCCATCCCGGCAGAGCGTTGAAGAGGCCCGGGGGGCAGGAGGTGATGAGGACACTACGATGGCAGGGCTAAAAGATGGCTTCCCTTTAGGGAGGGGGGCCCCCTTAGGGGAAACGAGATCGTACTGGAGGTCCTAGAGAGGGGGGGAAGAAGGGGGGGAAGGGGAAGTTGGAGGGTGAAACTGAAAGGAGCTTTAAAAAGGTGTCTCTTTCCTTGGCATGTACTCAGAGAAGTAGTACAAAAATAGAAACGGCCACAGTATGCCCCATACAGAAAACCATGCCAGACCATTCTGTCACAGCCTATCTCTAAAAACTGTCTTTGGGCATGCTTCCATTAGTCTCCAAAAATCCTCGACCGAAGAGAGAGAGGACCTGGGTTTCGATTAGTCTCCTTAAAACTCCCCACAGAAAAGGGAGAGAGGACATGGTTACATTTGTTCCTCTAAAAACTCCTACAGAAGGGGAGAGACTGGTTAGATTTTGCCCTCAAAAACTCCTAAAAAGAGGGAGAGGGACATGGGTTTCGATTATCCCTCTAACAACCCCAAGAAGGGGGGAAGACATGGTTAATAGTCTCCCCACAACCCTAAGAGAGAGAGACATGGTTACGATTAGTCTCCCCTCCAACAAAACTCCTAAAGAGAGAGAGAGAAATGGTTACGATTAGTCCCGCTAACACTCCTACAGAGACGGAGAGAGACATGGTTTACGATTAGGTCTCCTCCAAACAACTCCTACAGAGAGAAGGAGAGAGAGACATGGTTACGATTGTCTCTCCAACAACCCTACAGAGAGAGAGAGGACATGTTACGGATTAGTCCTCTCTAACAACTCCTCCAGAGAGGAGAGAGACATGGTTACGATTAGTTCTCCTCCAAAAATCCTACAGAGAGCCGAGCGACATGGTTACGATTAGTCTCGCCAACAAACTACCTACAGAGGAGAGAGAGAGGACATGGTACGATTAGTCTCCTCTAACAACTCTACAGAAAGAGAGAGGAGCGAGACATGGTTCGATAGCTCCTCCAACAACTCCTACAGAGAGAGAGGAGAGACCATGGTTACGATTAGTCTCCCTCAACAAACTCCTACAGAGACGAGAGAGACAGGTACGATTAGTCTCCTCTAACAATCCTACAGGAGAGAGAGAGACATGGTTACGATTAGTCTCCGCTAACAACTCCTACAGACAGAGAGAGACATGGTTACGATTAGTCTCCGCTAACAACTCCTACAGAGAGAGAGAGAGACATGGTTACGATTAGTCTCCTCCAACAACTCCTACAGAGAGAGAGAGACATGGTTACGATTAGTCTCCGCTAACAACTCCTACAGACAGAGAGAGACATGGTTACGATTAGTCTCCGCTAACAACTCCTACAGAGAGAGACATGGTTACGATTAGTCTCCTCTAACAACTCCTACAGACAGAGAGAGACATGGTTACGATTAGTCTCCGCTAACAACTCCTACAGAGAGAGAGAGAGACATGGTTACGATTAGTCTCCTCTAACAACTGATCATGATTAATTATGTCAGAGGAAGGCCCTCAAAATTGTCAAAGACTCCAGCCACCCTAGTCATAGACTGTTCTCTCTGCTACCGCACGGCAAGCGGTACCGGAGTGCCAAGTCTAGGTCCAAAAGACTTCTCAAACAGCTTCTACCCCCAAAGCCATAAGACTCCTGAAACAGCTAATCATGGCTACCCGGACTATTTGCACTGCCCCCCCACCCCATCCTTTTTTACGCTGCTGCTACTCTGTTAAGTATTTATGCATAGTCACTTTAACTCTACCCACATGTACATATTACCTCAACTAGCCGGTGCCCCCGCACATTGACTCTGCAACGGTACCCCCCTGTATATATAGCCTCCCTACTGTCACTTTATTTTACTGTATATATAGCCTCCCTACTGTCACTTTATTTTACTTCTGCTCTTTTTTTCTCAACACTTTTTTTTGTTGTTTTATTCTTACTTTTTTTGTTTAAATAAATGCCACTGTTGGTTAAGGGCTTAAGTAAGCATTTCACTGTAATGTCTGCACCTGTTGTATTCGGCGCATTTGACCAATAAAATTTGATTTGATTTGAATTAGGCGAATTAGCTTTTTCCTCTTCAAGTTTTCTTGCAAAACAAAACAAATATCTTATGTCATCACATTCCTGACTGACTAACAACATTATTGCATGTGTGTGTATGTGTGATGGGAGTGTATGTGTGTTTGGGAGTGTGTGTGTGTATGGGAGTGTGTGTGTGTATGGGAGTGTGTGTGTGTGTGGTATGGGAGTGTGTGTGTGTGTGGTGTTGGAGTGTGGGTGTTATGGGAGTGTGTGTGTGTATGGGAGTGTGTGTGGTGTTTGGGGTGTGTGTGTGTATGGGAGTGTGTGTGTGTATGGGAGTGTGTGTGTGTTTGGGAGTGTGTGTGTGTATGGGAGTGTGTGTGTGTATGGGAGTGTGTGTGTGTGTATGGGAGTGTGTGTGTGTATGGGAGTGTGTGTGTGTATGGGAGTGTGTGTGTGTATGGGAGTGTGTGTGTGTGGGAGTGTGTGTGGGATGTATAGGACGCTGTAAGGAGAATGTCCTTTGACAAATTAAAAGAAAACAAACTGGAGTAGCTCAATATTGACCTGGAAGTTCAAAAGGATACCGGACAAACACAAACAGTGTGTGTACGTGTCAAAGGAGCGTGCATCTGTACGTGTCCCTACCTTGAGTTGAGTGCAGATGTTTTCAGAGCGGAGTTTGACGGAGGTCTTCTTGATGACTTTAAAGTCCCAGGAAGTGAACACCTTCATCGCCAGGATACCATGAGACTTGTCTATACGGAAACTCTGACCAAACGACTTGGACATGCTGGGGGGAGGACACACACACACCCCTTACTTTGTGAACTGTTAGTCCTGTAAGTCCTGTCATTTAACATCTAAATACACTGAGGGTACAAAACATTAGGAACACCTGCTCTTTCCATGACAGACTGACCAGGTGAATCCAGGTGAAAACTATGATCCCTAATTGATGTCACTTCTTAAATCCACTTCAATCAGTGTAGATGAAGGGGAGGAGACAGTTTAAAGAAGGATTTTTAAGCCTTGGGACAATTGAGACATGGATTGTGTATGTGTGCCATTCAGAGGGTGAATGGACAAGACAAAAGATTGAAGTGCCTTCGAACAGGGTATGGTAGTAGGTGCCAGGTGCATCGGTTTGAGTGTGTCAAGAACTGCAACACTGCTGGGTTTTTCACGCTCAACAGTTTCCCGTGTGTATCAAGCATGGCCCACCACCCAAAGGACATCCAGCCAACTTGACACAACTGTGGGAAGCATTGGAGTCAACATGGGCCAGCATCCCTGTGGAACGCTTTCAACACCTTGTGGAGTCCATAACCCTGACAAATCGAGGCTGTTCTGAGGGCAAAAGGGGGTGCAACTCAGTATTAGGAAGGTGTTCCTAATGTTTGGTATACTCAGTGTACACTGAAGTAGTCTCTCTCTCTCTCTGATGAAAGACAGAGACACCCCCCCCCCCCCCCACACACACACACACCTGTAGACGAGGATGATGCAGGTGATGAAGAAAGCTCCTCCTATGGTGAAGAAGTATGCCAGGGGCATGTTGTAGGACAGCTTCACTCCGCAGTCTGTTTCCATTGTCCTTTTAGATGGAGAGTGACTGGGCTGCTGGTCCATACCGCTACTACTGACACTACAGTTCTTATACAGGGTAGAGTTACTATAGTAACCATAGTACATCACTGAGTCTGAGAAATAACCCTGGGGAGAGGGAGAGAGAGAGAGGAGAGAGAGAGAGCGAGCGAGAGGAGGGAGAGAGTGAGACGGGGGACGGAGAGGGGGAGGTATGTTTGGTATGAGGATACTCCTCCAGTGAGCAGCCTGGAGGGGTGTAATGCCTGGTGCTGTTTGGGGTTATGGGACAGTATGTTTGGTATGAGGTGAATGTCTGGTTCTTACCCCTCCAGTGAGCAGCTCCAGCCCAGAGAAGGCTACGTGTCCCTGGGTTAACCTGGGGGGGTGTACTGCCTGGGGCAGGGCCAGGAACAAAACCGTGACCAGGAACAGGAAGACGTTGAAGAAGAGGAGGGTCTTGACGAACAGGAAGTAGGAGAGGACGCCGGTGCCGAAACGACCGCTCACCCTCTTCAGCGCCACCTGGGGAAGAGGAACAGAGATAGTGAGAAAGAACAGAGAGATATAATGTGAGAGAGAGAGAGAGAGAGAGAGTTACCTGCCACAGCTGTAGGGAGTGGAGGAAGGACAGACAGCTGTACCAGCTATGTCTCAGAGCCTGGAGGAGAGGAGAGGAGAGGGTCAGTGTCAAGTACAGTAATGTTTGTGTCCACATACTAACCCATTGAGCAGAGAATTAGAATTATAGGAACACACACATTCTGTTTCCCCATGAACTAAAAAAGCCTCATAATAACTTAGTTGACATCTGAGAAACTCTGCTTTGACGTAATGAGTAGGGACTTGTCTAAGGGAAATTACTTCATGATTCACACTCACAGGGGCATTAAGTGTTGGGCAAGAGGGCTATAACACCATCAGTAGATACTGATACACACAGCTACAGGAAACACCCACCAACATCACATTACTGTCACAAAGATCTGTCTGTCTATGTGTGTCTGTCTGTCTGTCTGTCTGTCTGTGTGTCTGTCTGTGTGTCTGTCTGTCTGTGTGTCTGTCTGTCTGTCTGTGTGTGGCGAGCGCTGGGAGACTAAAGCTGTAAACCCCTGACTTGTACAGAAACTATGACAGACACGATGATTGCTGTCTAGACAGATCAGCTGATAAAATTAGTACCTCATTAGATGAGCGACTGTCCCACTACAGGAAGTAGAATGTAGAAGTAGAATGAGGTCACGGGGTGGTGACTCACGATGATGTAATACATGATAGTGGTGGCGTTCCTGCCTGACTACGTTGACAGACTCCTGCCAGATCTCACAAGGCCTGACTAGGTGTTGAACATATCAGATAGTAACCACATCATATGATACAGCAATCTGATGGCCAGCTGCAGTCCATGACGTGGTACTCCTGAGTGGCGCAGTGGTCTAAGGCACTGCATCGCAGTGCTAACTGTGCCACTAGAGATCCTGGTTCGAATCCAGGCTCTGTCGCAGCCGGCCGCGACCGGGAGACTCATGGGCGGCGCACAGTTGGCCCAGCGTCAGGGTAGGGGAGGGAGGGAATGGCCAGGGCCAGGGTAGGGGAGGGAATGGCCGGCAGGGATGTAGCTCAGTTGATAGAGCATGGCGTTTGCAACGCCAGGGTTGTGGGTTTGATTCCCACGGGGGGCCAGTATAAAAAAAAAATATATGTGTTCACTAACTGTAAGTCGCTCTGGATAAGAGCGTCTGCTAAATGACTAAAATGTAAATGTAAATGTGGTGGCGCACAACCATTGGTTGATGCAATGCAACGCCTGAAATGTATCCGGGCAGGAACTGGACCAATGTAATATTTGAGCAGCGGATCTGACTGTGTTTGTCTGTGTGACTTACGTTGATGATGTTATACTTCAGCTGGCTACAGCAGGGGATCTGACTGTGGAGCGTAGACCCTTCCTATCAGCCAACCTCCTGGAGAGAGAGGAATGATGGGAGACAGAAGGATGGGGGGAGTGAGAGGGATGAGGGGAGAGAGAGGGATGGGGGTTACAAGATGATACACAAGTGAGTGACAGATGTACAGACAGAGGAATAGAGGATGAGACCATGACAACTATTGATAGAGCTGCAGAGAGGAGGAGGAGAGAGAGAGAATAATGAGAGGGAAGAGTCTGACAGAAAGAGAGTGATAGGATAAGACAGAGAGAGAGAGGGGTGATAGAGGAGTGCAGATACCTTAGTTCACTCTTCTCTGCCACAGAGGGAGGCATGGCTCAGAGCATCAGAGAGATAGAGACAGCAGGATAGAGGGATGGAGAAAGAGAGAGAGAGAGGGGTGATAGAGGGATGGAGAAAGAGAGAGAGAGGGGTGATAGAGGGATGGAGAAAGAGAGAGAGAGAGGGGTGATAGAGGGATGGAGAAAGAGAGAGGGGTGATAGAGGAGTGTAGATACCTTAGTTCACTCTTCTCAGCCACAGACAGAGGCATGGCTCGCAGCATCCTGACCCGGTCACTCAGAGAGAGGTTCTGAAGGTTGTTGACCAGGTGGTCACGCTTACGCCCTGCAGCACACACACACACACACACACACACACACAGATGGACAGATGCACGGACACACACACACATTAGTTATGCGTAGGTTATGACATCATTACAACAAAAATGTTGGTATTTCAGTGTGTGTGTGTGTGTGTGTGTAACGTTTACGCAAGTGACCTCACCCTCCCCATCCACGCCGTCGGTCTCCACGCCTCCCGTCTCCACGCCGTAACCACGGATACTGGGTCGTGCGGAGCGGGAAAAGTCTTTTATGGAAGGTCTGCTCTGTCTGCGTCTCCTCAACTTCATGGTCTTGTTACAGTACTGAGAGATGATAGCACCTCGACTGCGACCTAGAGAGAGGAGAGAAAGTGAAGAGGTGTGTGTGTAGATGCATGGTTCCTAAACTGTCTGATAGACGGACAGAACTCTAGTTTGTGCCATGGTGTTTTTAGAGCCACTGTGTTAGATACAGTATCTGTTGATGGGTTGATAGTGGCTGGCTGACTGGCTGGCTGACTGACTGACTGGCTGACTGACTGGCTGACTGGCTGACTGGCTGACTGACTGGCTGACTGGCTGACTGGCTGACTGGCTGGCTGGCTGACTGGCTGACTGGCTGACTGACTGGCTGGCTGACTGGCTGCTGGTGCACCTGCTAGAGGAACTAACAGTCACACGACAATGGCAGAAATAGTTTCGACTTCTGAAACTACCTCTCTCTCTCATGAAGTGTGAAAAGAAGAAATACTAGTTAGGTGTACATACAGCTGTCTTAAGACTGTAATAACAGTGTCGTAGAGGTTTCATAAGTGTGTCATAAGGGTGTCGTAGGGGTGACTTACCGATGGTGCGGCTGGGCATGGAGGAGAGGACTCTGAGGGTGGCGGAGGACCAGCGTTCCTCTATAAGGGGGTCTAACTGTCTCCCCTCCTCCCCCTCCTCCCCCCTCCCCTGGCCCCCACGCCATATCTCCCGACCAGGGCTGGACAGGTACGCTACACTGTCTGGAGATAGGAGAGTATGAGGTTTATGGAGGTATACACACACACACACACACACACATACATATAAAACTCACACCAGCAGACACCAACACATGAAGACATGCACACTAACACTCTGTCTTTCCCTCCTACACATTCAAGCAGTCACACACACAGTCTCACTCGCATGTATGCACGCACACACAAACACTACCTCTTTCCTCCTCATCCAGTTCTCTCTGTAGTTCCTGCAGCTCAAAGGCTTCCTGTCTCTGATCCTCTATCAGCTGGTTAAAGGAGTCATGGACCCCCTCCTCATCCACTGGGCTCCTATTACAGAGAGAGAGAGAGAGAGAGGTGGGGGGGGGGAGAGAGAGAGGGAGAGAAGGAGCGAGAGAGAGCGAGAGGAGAGAGGGAGGGAGAGGCGGAGAGAGAGGAGAGAGGGAGGGAGAGAGGGAGGGAGAGAGAGGGGGAGAGAGAGGGGGAGAGAGAGGGGGAGAGAGAGGGGGAGGATGAGATAGAGAGAGGGGGAGGATGAGAGAGAGAGGGGAGAGAGAAATGAGGGAGAAATAGAGTAAGAGAGAGATGAGAGCGTACTTCAGTGGGTCGGATACAAACACACATACATACACTTCTAACCACTAAAAACAAACACACCCCTAACCAGTAACCACTGTTCAGAAAAACAGACAGACATTGTGTAAACACTCCCTCACCACTAGGCTTTGACCACCTTGATAAGCACTGACAACTCTTCATATTAAATATTTCATGGCCTTTAAGACCTAATTCGAAAGGAACCACCAATCACAAGCCTTTTGCTCCCCAGGGACCCTGCAGTTGAACACCACAGGAAGTGACTCACTCAGAAGATTCTCCTCAGTAAATACAAGAACACACACACACACACACACACACACACACACACGAAAGGAACAAAGACTATACAAACAGTCAAACAAACACAGTCAGTCTGTTCTGTGGGAACAATGGGTCTGGCTGAATACTGGTACTGTACAGAACTGGGCCTCAAAGAGTTGCCTCAAAGAACATCAAACAGACAGTTAACTCTGTCATTGTCTTATTTTAACCCTCTCTTCTGTTTACCAAAACATCATAGAGAGTTTGATACCATTCCATTCACTCCATTCGAGCCATTATTATGAGTCGTCCTCCCCTCAGCAGCCTCCATTGGTATAGTCTAATAATACTCACTCCAGGCCAGCCTCCATGTGGTGAGGAGTCAGGTCAAAGTTGACATTGTGATCCATCTCTCTCTCTCAGTCTCTCCTCTCCAGTCTGTCTCGTCCTCTTTATCCTTCTGTCCGTCCGTCAATCTCTGTCCACCAATCACAGAGAAGGGTCACACCCTTGTCCGCCTAGTCCCGCCTCTCCACTCTCCTAGCATAGTGTTGCAAAAACTACCTGAGCGAGAGAGAGAGAGAGAGAGAGAGAGAGAGAGAGAGAGAAGAATGTTAGGAATCATAAGGAGTGGTGATTGAAGTTCTCCTTCGTGTTTCAGCTAGTAGCACTTTGTTGTAGCACCTGGACACACACACACCTCGTTTACCTCGTAAAAGCAGTTCTTTATCATACTAACAGTGCTAACTGTGCTACTAGAGATCCTGGTTCGAATCCAGGCTCTGTCGCAGCCGGCCGCGACCGGGAGACTCATGGGCGGCGCACAATTGGCCCAGCGTCGTCCAGGGTAGGGGAGGGAATGGCCGGCAGGGATGTAGCTCAGTTGATAGAGCATGGCGTTTGCAACGCCAGGGTTGTGGGTTCGATTCCCACGGGGGGCCAGTATAAAAAATAAAAAAAATGTATTCACTAACTGTAAGTCGCTCTGGATAAGAGCGTCTGCTAAATGACGTAAATGTAAAATGTAAATACCAACAAAACACAGCAACAGCAGCTGGTGTGTGTGTGTGTGTGTATCACCAGTGAAGTGTTAGAATACAATACTAGGCCTACATCATACTAGGCCTTCACACCAAGCATATGATTATGTGATGGATAGGAGAGCCACCACCATCCATTCACATTGTAATGAGCATTCTGTGGCCAGATATCTTTCTGATCACATGAGTTCTAGAATGCTGCTCATGCACCAGAACTTATTATGAATATTCATGAGGTTGGTAAGAGAGAGAGAATTCTTTGTCAGACCAATTTGTACTGCGTCATGGGGGGGGGGGGGGGGGGGGCATTGTAGGAGTTCAGGCTTGTTTAATCCTAAAATCTGTGTTGCGTTGTTTAGTCCCAACTCAAATACAAAGAAGACACTTCCTGTCCTGTTGCTTTGAAACCCATTTAAACCCATGTAGCGTAACTACAAACATCATGCTTATTACTAACTGGAGGTGGTGTGTGTCCTAGCGATTAGAGTTCAAGAAAACTCATACCAGCTAATAAACTAAAGACTAAAGCCTCTGTAACAGAAACAAGGCTTAAATCAAAACATGTGTATTTGTATCACCACTGAAGTGTTGGAATTACTGTTTGAATAGAGTTTTACCATACTAGGCCTATGTGTGTGTTCAGAGTTGAACCAAAACAGACTTACCAGAGATGTAAAGCTCAGAGCGAACACAGAACAAGGAAATGATCAGAGAAAATCAATAAAGTATATGATTATGACCGTGGCTGAGAACACAGAACCCCGCGGCAATTTGAACGAACATTCAAGGCCATTATGAAGGCTACAACATTCTGTCTGTTGTAACGGATATTGCAGATACACAAGCAGGACGTAGTCCCTACACATTGGAGCAAAAACAATCTGCGTTTTGTGTGATGACGTAGGCTAATCTTTGTAGTTGCTGCCATATCGTAATCATCAGCCAGAGTTGCTGAAAAATAACACTACTACTCCGACTACCTGTCTGCCTCCTGCTTAGCCAATGTTTGCAATGATGATTAAAAAAAGAACATTACATCGCTAATTAGACTGCGTGTCTGTGTCTTGCTTGTTTGATATGCTGCCTAGATAGCTGCATGTAACTCCCCACTTGAGTTTTGCATTGGTACAAAAAACGAACTGCGAGTTTGTACAAACATGTCAATCATGTCCTTTGTGTACAACATGAAGTTTTGTAGGCTACACCAGACAACGGCCCTTATCGCCGATCAAGGAGGGGGAAGCTGCAGCGGAGCACTGAGCAGCAGCTACTTTAAAAAAAGAAATCCTGCACATGCACAGAAATCTGCATCTTTAGCCACGGCAAAATCAGGTTTCCAGACAACCCAGAACCACAGCCACTGGTTATGATTATTGCTCTGTGTGCTGGTAGTGTTCTAGTGTGCTTGACCTCTTCACAAAGACCATGTGACCCTACAAACACAAAACAAAACAGTCTTTAACGTGACAGGATATATATATATATATATATATATATATATATATATATATATATATATATATATATATTTGACACCGGTTTGTGTGTGTGTGTGTGTCATGCATGTGTGCATATGTATGTAGGGCCTTATAAAATCAGTTTTATTTTTAGCCTGATTCCGTTTTGTGTTTTTCAAAATTCTGTTTTATTTTTCCAGGTTTCTGTTTTCTTCAGGTTTTCGCTCTCAAAATCACACCTTTTTAATAGAAAAACAACTAAATTGGATGTTGTAAGTCCACAACACTTACAACCACATCAGAAGACCAGGTCTGGGAAAAACAAGAAATTTAGATTTTGGGGTTTAGTTGCCCTTTAATGCAAGTGAGCACCAGGAAGAGATTGTTGTTTGGTTAGCGATGTTTTTGTAGCGCTCATGTGATTGCAAAATGTTGCTAAACAAATGGCCACTGGATTGATGATATCATTCTTCCAGGTTGGCATTGGCTACTTTGTAGTTAACATTTAAATGAGAAGGTTTTTGGGAAAGCCTTTCCATCTCTACCAGAAGAAGGTTATCATTAGCATCGTCGCTAACAGCCAAACAAAGTGTAGACACACACACACAGGGGCATTTCTGTGCCGTTTCAGAAAGTTGCAGGAAAATACGAATCACTGATGTATTTTGTTAATGTCTTATGATAAACTTGCGCAAATGAATGCATTTTCGAATAAGTTCATTGATTTCCTACTAATTTCAATAAAATGTTGAATATTGTTGAATTCCATTTTAATGTCTGGATTCCTTGATTCCGTCCGCAGCGCTGATTGTTTAGGGCCCTATGTGTGTGTGTGTGTGTCTTGGTTGGAGTTCCATGGTTATTTTCCTGGAACAGTCAACTTCTCCGTGATGACCTCATCAGAGGCAGACAGCTGAGGGCAGATCTGATTGGCTCCTGGCCAAAGGGCATTGCACTGTGGAAGTTAATGGATTCAACATGTTCATTCTACACATCCTGTCTAACTTCTCACTAGTCTATATTCTCTCTCCTCTCTCGCTCTCTTATCTCTGTCTTTATCTCTCCATCATAGATATTCTCTCTTTCTCTCCTACAGACCCATTCTCTCTCTCTAACTTGCTCTCTTTCTTTGAACTTTTCACTCCAAATCTCTAATGTCTTGGTCAGGTCTGTCTGTGCTTTGGAGTCCATTCAAATTCATCACCTAGGGATTTCCATATTTTCTCACATCTTCCCCCTCTTGAGTCTCTCGCTCTCTGTCTTTCTCTCTACATTCTCTCCCTCTGTCTTTCCCTCTCTGCCTCCCTCGCTCTCTTTCTTTATTTCACACTCCATTATCTCCAACTCTGTCAATGCTCCAACTCTCCAGTCACTGACTGTCTTTCTGCTCCTCTGTCCTCCCTTCCTCAATTTTCTCTCACTCTCCCGGGGCATATTGTCAGACTGCTGGTCTTATCACAGAGACAAGTCCCAAATGGCACCCTATTCCCTATATAGTGCACTACCTTTGACCAGGGCCCATGTCCCCTTTCTCTGTGTGTGTGTGTGTGTGTGTGTGTGTGTTCGTGTGTGTGCATGCGTGAACATCAGTGTCTGTGTGTGTGTGTGTGTCACTGTCAACAACCCCTGAACATCTTCCTCCAGGTCAAAGTTGATCTGTACTACAGCCAAACAACGCAAATCATGCAGGCCTGTCAGTGAAAACACTGAGTGATGAGAAACAGATTTACTGCACTGTCTAACAACGGCAGGTTAGCAAGAAGATACAGTATACTTACAGAATAACACTAATATATTTATGAGTATTTTATAAATGCAAAGTTAAAGTTGCTGTGGAGGAGAAACAGTATGTAAACTTAGAACTATATATGTAGGCCCAGGGCAGGGTTCCCCAACTGGCGGCCCAGCGGTTTTATTTGGCCCCCCAAGTTTTCTGAGCAAAAAAATGTAAGCAAGGTTTGAAATGATTATGATTTAGTCAAACATATCTGTTTGGGCTTCTTGCGGTCAATTTGCAGTCTACAAAATATTTATTTGCAATTATGTTCCGGCCGGAGGAGAGGGAGGGAGAGAGGGAGGAGGAGAGGGGAGGGAGGGAGGAGGGGAGGGAGGGAGAGAGGGAGGGAGGAGGGGAGGAGGGAGGGAGAAAGAGAGAAAGAGAGAGGAGGAGAGGGAGAGAGGGAGGAGGAGAGGGTTGGAGGAGAGGGTTGGAGGAGAGGGTTGGAGGAGAGGGAGGAGAGGGAGGAGGAGGGAGGAGGAGAGGGTTGGAGGAGAGGGAGGAGGAGAGGGTTGGAGGAGAGGGTATAAGGGGGTCAAATGAGGGGGTGGGGCTGACAGGGTAGATGGGAATATTTGGTCAGTCTGACAGTTTTTATCGGCTGACTGATAATCAGTTCACACAATGGTAAAACTAACAGAGGAGAGAGAGAGAGACAGACAGACAGGAAACAGAATCAGCACACAGAACAGAAAAAGTCTAAGGACTGCTGTATCAGAAGCACAGAACTATAATTATTTGTCTACGGGCAGAAGCAAGGTCCTCTTGTTTTTCAGTGCATTGTGTTGTCACTCAGTTGAGGGAACAGAGGAAAATAAAAAACAACAGAGAGACTCCCCAGATAACTATGTGAACGGAACAAAGAAAAGAGAGTGGTTCAGAGAGCGGAACACATCAAAAAAGAGGGGTTCAGAGAGAGAGAGAGAGAGAGAGAGATTCCACAAAGCCATACATCGTCAGGAAGAGAGAGAGAGGGATAGGGAGAATGAGAAAGGGTCAAGGATATGAGAGAGAGAGAGAGAGAGAGACTGGGCGTATATGCCTAATGTGAGAAAAATGAAGAGGGAGTAAAAGATAGAGGAGAGAAAGAGAATGGAGGAAACCTGGAAGTAATTCCACAGGCTGACACACAGCTCTGTAATTACACTGCCCTGTTGTGCTAAAGTTCTCCCCGTGTCGTCACGGCAACAGAACAGACCAGTATTCTGCTGTCAACTGTCACTAGGCCAAGACAACTAAACTTAGGGTGGGTCCCGGGGTAGATGAAGGCCCACAGACAATACAAGTAGAGATAGATACAATACCCGCATAGATACAGTTCCTATTGACTTCTAACTGTGGAAGATTCCCATCTTGGGTCATTTTCCCCACTAATGGTTAAGGTTAGGATTGGAGGAGGGGACACTGACCCTAGATCTGTACCTAGGGGAAACTTCACCCCAGAGCATTGAATTCACTGTGGAAGTAGGAGTAAGATGAACTGAAGTTGGCCCTGGCCTGGTTTCTAGGACACAGATCAAACCTAGCCTAGTCCTGGACTAAAACGCATGCTCAATGAAGAATCTTCATTTGAAATGCCTTTTAAATCCAGGACTAAGCTTAATCTGTGTCCACCTATCCCGGAAACTGACCTTAGAATCTCTAGCCTGGTACTATATCTATTTGTGCTGTTATGCCAACTCATTGTCATCATGACAACTGTCAAGTTTGCCATGATGAAAATGTTCGGGATGACAATGAGTGACAAGCAGTAGTCAATAAAGCACAAACAGACTGGCACTCAGGCTATAGCCTAGATTCACTACAGACAGGTAGCTCTCAGAGCACTCTTGTTCTCTTCACTGCAACAACAACAACACATTAAAAAGAATGCCCAGGTAATGAGCTAAGAAGCTATCTAACGTTATAACACAAAGCTATCCCCCAGTATGCAGCCAAGCAAGGTGTGTGTGTCTTCTCTCTGTGTCATGTGCTCTTTTAAATTGGTCGCTGCATTTTCCCCAACTGAAGTTGGTGTAGGCTACATTTGGCCCAATTATAGTTTACCTATAAAAACAAACGATCAACTTTGAAACATCGGTCATACTGGCGCGTTTGAGACGTTTTTCTGCAAGCGCTGGAATTCACTGACTGATTCTGCAACTTTGCAGCCAGCAGCAAAAACCTACACCCAAGGCAGTCGACATGAATGAACGACAGGTTCTGCCTGACAACGTCGCCCGCAATGCATTACATTGCCAATGGTTCTCTTTCCGTTGGCTTTAATTCACAACGAAACTAGCCTACCTAGCTAGACCTCAAAGCATCGTAAACAACCTACACTTGTAAGCTTGTTGTTCCTGTTATTAATGGTGCTTTGCCTTTGATTTTTGGTTGTTGTGGTTGGTTTATTCTAAACCTGTCTGTCACTCAAACGTTTCAGACTGAACAGTTACAATATCTTGGAAGCAACAGCGGACAAACGGTTTCTCGACCTTTTTGGCGTGTGCAAATAAATGGAAAGGAAAACGACAATGCAATATTAAAAAAGATACAGTCAGCCATTCGTTCGGTTCACTCACCCACTTCATAACTTGCGAAACTCGTTCGAGCTTAAACCTGCGGTGCCGGCGGAGTAGATCCGTCTTTTTCTCTAACGCTACAAAATACTTCAGCATGGTAAGCAGCTGGAACGAACCATTGTCGCCTCTCGGGGTGACGATATCATTATCCTCGCGCATTGAACAGTTGTAACGGACAATAGGTAGACTTTTACGGAGAAAGAGTTTACCGGTTGTCTCAACATGGGGTTTATATTTCAGTTCAAGATAAACCGCCGCTGTGTGTTTATCATTTCTATGTTGGGACCGCAAAGTTCCCCCCAAATAAAGTTTTCCACCAAATGGAACATTCCTATTCATTGCTCGAAATCCTTCTTCAAACGTTTTTCACAAGCTATACAATTCCATAGACAGCTGTGTCAGTCGAGTACATTTCCTTGGGAAGAAAAGTTGGGAAAGTCTGTCCTTTCTAGATAAATGTTTTATAGCTTATCATTCATAAAACACATTTCAACAAACGTATAGGCTAGCCTTCTTAGGCTACTTTAGGCTAAACGTCTCCAATACAGGTGGGCCTAAACATTTGTGAATTCATCAATTTGGCCAAATCAAGTAGGCTACTCCATTGAGAGAGCCTAATCAGGTCAATGTGTGAGAGATTGTCTGGGTGTGTTGTATTCACAACTTCTATTGCACAATATGTTCCCTGGTCTGTTGTAGCCTAAAGGCAGCCTTTAAAAAGAAGAAAAAAAATGTAACCTTTATTTAACTTGTTAAGAACAAATTATTATTTACGATGAAACATACAAACGGAAGAATGGTAATCTGAGAGGTTGAAATTACCTGTGTGCTGTTGATCAGGTGATTTTTCTGTATCCTATTTCTTGTATTGAAAGTTACAATAATGAGGTCTGTCTGACACACCTGGCCACACCTACTGTACATATCAGCTCGCTTCAAAGACCTCTGGGTAATGTAGTTTTTGATGAATGACTGAAAGGAGAAACATATTTTTCAAAACTACAACCTCTCTCTCTACATCTCCATTCCCCTGTCTCTAACTCTTCCTTCACCCTCTTTCTATCTGTCCATCTCCCCCACTATTTCTCACTCTCTTTCTCTCTTCATTCCTTCAGAGACGCATCACTCCCCTCCCTTCACTATCTCAGCTGAGATTCAGACTAACCACACTTGTAACCGTACCGCCATGAAAAGTAACCTGTACACATGGGTGGAAATGCAGTTAAGGCGGCATCCCAAATTACACCCTATTCCATACTTACTGCAATACTTTTGACCAGAGCCCTATGGGCCATGGTCAAAATTAGTGCACTATATAGGGAATAGGGTGCCATTTGTGACGCTAACTAAGTAACTCTCAGAAGATGCTTGGGGAAAAGGGTTACAACCAGAGTGTTTGTGTCTCAGGTGAAGAGGGTGGATCTGATCTCCATCACCTAGGACTTGACATAGATTAAATAGATTAATCAAATCTCACATTGTTGTCAATTTTTGCTAAATCTTGCATGCTTTCTCAAACAGCTGTAACTGTATATGCATTCGTAAATCAGGTTCTTTCTTGAGTTGGGCTCTGGGATGTAACAACCGTTGAGCATCTGATCTTATGGTTGATTGTGGAGGAAAGGGGTTGAGTGTGTTAGAGTATGTGCGTGTGTGCGTGTGTGTTTTTCCCACATCTGTTGCAAGGGGGTAAGGATGTTAGGGAGAATATAGGATGAACCACAATAATTGTTTGCTAAAATAATAATTGCTTGTCAAAAATGTAATGGCAATCCGGGTTATAGGTTAAAATCCTACGCATGAACTGCCAACATTATTACGCATATTAATTGATAATGATGGAAAATAAGATATACAAGATATTTGAATAGATATATATTTTTAAATAGCTATATATATATATATATATTGAGGTGAGAGCATTGGAAATGCTTTTGGCGGTTGACCTGCTTCTGTTTTGTGGGTGGCACTGTGTGCTGTTTTCGATGGATGGGTCCTGGCCTCTCGGGGGCCTAGGGATCCCGGGGGGATATGCCGATCACTGGGATGACAGCTCAACTTGGATGGGGAGGGGCTTAGCGGGGTAATTAGTGGAGAACAATTGGAGGGTTACTATTAGCAATGCAAAATATCATGGTACAGCTATATGGACACTCAATTACTATGGTATTTTTTATTGGTAAATTTACAAACATATATTTACATTTACATTTTAGTCATTTAGCAGACACTCTTATCCAGAGCGACTTACAGTTAGTGAATACTTTTTTTAAATACTGGGCCCCCGTGGGAAACGAACCCACAACCCCTGGCGTTGCAAACGCCATGCTCTATTCAACTGAGCTAAATCCTGCTGGCCATTCCCCCTCCCCTACCCTGGACGACGCTGGGCCAATTGTGCGCCGCACCCATGAGTCTCCCGGTCGCGGCCGGCTGCGACAGAGCCTGGATCGAACCAGGATCTCTAGTGGCCACAGTTAGCACTGCGATGCAGTGCCTTAGACCACTGCGCCACTCAGTATAATGATAAATAGATTTGAAACATGTATCTCATTATGGTATATGGTGAAATAAGTATAGCCAGTTAAAATTGTAATGGCTTAGCAGATAATAACAAAAGAAGAACAATATTTACATGGCTCAAAGAGAAGGAATATAATATCTATTGTTTACAGGAAACTCATTCAACAATTCTAGATGAAGTTGCGTGGAAAAAGGAATGGGGGGGGAATATACTTCTCCCATGGGCAAAGAAACACAAAAGGGGTGATGATATTAATTAACAGTAATTTCGATTCGAATATGCAAATTGTCCAAACAGATACGCAAGGTAGATGGATTATTTTAAATATGTTATTGGAACATAAACAGATATGGCTCATTAACCTTTACGGACCAAATAATGATGATCCACACTTCTTTGACAATATACAGTGGGGAGAACAAGTATTTGATTCACTGCTGATTTTGCAGGTTTTCCTACTTACAAAGCATGTAGAGGTCTGTAATTTTAATCATAGGTACACTTCAACTGTGAGAGACGGAATCTAAAACAAATATTCAGAAAATCACATTGTATGATTTTTAAGTAATTAATTTGCATTTTATTGCATGACATAAGTATTTGATACATCAGAAAAGCAGAACTTAATATTTGGTACAGAAACCTTTGTTTGCAATTACAGAGATCATACGTTTCCTGTAGGTCTTGACCAGGTTTGCACACACTGCAGCAGGGATTTTGGCCCACTCCTCCATACAGACCTTCTCCAGATCCTTCAGGTTTCGGGGCTGTCGCTGGGCAATACGGACTTTCAGCTCCCTCCAAATATGTTCTATTGGGTTCAGGTCTGGAGACTGGCTAGGCCACTCCAGGACCTTGAGATGCTTCTTACAGAGCCACTCCTTAGTTGCCCTGGCTGTGTGTTTCGGGTCGTTGTCATGCTGGAAGACCCAGCCACGACCCATCTTCAATGCTCTTACTGAGGGAAGGAGGTTGTTGGTCCAAGATCTCGCGATACATGGCCCCATCCATCCTTCCCTCAATACGGTGCAGTCGTCCTGTCCCCTTTGCAGAAAAGTATCCCAAAAGAATGATGTTTCCACCTCCATGCTTCACGGTTGGGATGGTGTTCTTGGGGTTGTACTCATCCTTCTTCTTCCTCCAAACACGGCGAGTGGAGTTTAGACCAAAAAGCTCTATTTTTGTCTCATCAGACCACATGACCTTCTCCCATTCCTCCTCTGGATCATCCAGATGGTCATTGGCAAACTTCAGGCGGGCCTGGACATGCGCTGGCTTGAGCAGGGGGACCTTGCGTGCGCTGCAGGATTTTAATCCATGACGGCGTAGTGTGTTACTAATGGTTTTCTTTGAGACTGTGGTCCCAGCTCTCTTCAGGTCATTGACCAGGTCCTGCCGTGTAGTTCTGGGCTGATCCCTCACCTTCCTCATGATCATTGATGCCCCACGAGGTGAGATCTTGCATGGAGCCCCAGACCGAGGGTGATTGACCGTCATCTTGAACTTCTTCCATTTTCTAATAATTGCGCCAACAGTTGTTGCCTTCTCACCAAGCTGCTTGCCTATTGCCCTGTAGCCCATCCCAGCCTTGTGCAGGTCTACAATTTTATCCCTGATGTCCTTACACAGCTCTTTGGTCTTGGCCATTGTGGAGAGGTTGGAGTCTGTTTGATTGAGTGTGTGGACAGGTGTCTTTTATACAGGTAATGAGTGGAGAACAGGAGGGCTTCTTAAAGAAAAACTAACAGGTCTGTGAGAGCTGGAATTCTTACTGGTTGGTAGGTGATCAAATACTTATGTCATGCAATAAAATGCAAATTAATTACTTAAAAATCATACAATGTGATTTTCTGGAATTTTGTTTTAGATTCCGTCTCTCACCGTTGAAGTGTACCTATGATAAAAATTACAGACCTCTACATGCTTTGTATGTAGGACAACCTGCAAAATATTTGCGAGAAAAAAAACCAAATGGGGGATTGGAAGTGATGCAGATAATTACATTGATGGAAGTTACAATCTATCTGCAATATCAAAGCTGATCTGCCCCCCCCCCCCCCAAAAAAAAAAGTAAAAAAGTAACTATTGGAATCCACCTATGTGAAATCCTTGATTTAACCTAAACAGATCATTTTTACTAGCTTGGTCCCAGATCTGTTTGGGTCATCAGGCCACTCCTTGTCATGCCAAACAGCATTAAAGGAGTGTCAAGGAGTGGAATGATAACACAAACAGACTGGTACCCAGGCTACATTTTTAGATGCTAGAGATGATTTCCCTGCTCCACTATTTACACCCGGACTGCATGGACAACCATGCAACCATTTTGCAGCCATGCAGCCAGCATTTCACAGCCTGTATTTGGCACCACATGAGAGGGATGTAGCTCAGTTGGTAGAGCATGGCGTTTGCAATGCCAAGGTTGTGGGTTCGATTCCCACGGAGGGCCAGTATGAAAAAGAAAAAAATGATGTATGGATAAGAGCGTCTGCTAAATGACTAAAATGTAACTGTAAGCTCACATTAACGTCTTAGTCCTTCTGCAGATGCTCTTATCCAGAGCATGTTTTACAATCAGTGGTGCATTCAACCAAGATAGGTAAAACAACCACAAGCTGCACCAACTGTTTGCTTTAGTTCCATAGCCTACAGTAGGGGCGGCAGGTAGCCTAGGGTTAAGAGTGGGTTGGGCAAGTAACCGAAAGGTCGCTGGTTTGAATCCCCGAGCCGGCAAGGTGGGAAAAATCTGCCTTTCTGCCTTGAGCGAGGCAGTTAACCTCCAACAACTGCTCCACAGGAGCTGTGGACATGAGTAAGGCAGCCCCCTGCACCTCTCTGATTCAGAGGGGTTGGGTTAAATGTGGAAGACTCATTTTGGTTGAATGCATTCAGTTGTGCAACTGACAAGGAACTGCTTTCCTTGTCAGTAGGCCTATACATGATAATTCATCTGTGGTTGAGTAGGTGGTGAACACACACACTAGCTAGCTTTTCAGCAGATCCTCTCCTAGATTCTCACCAAAACAGTTTCAGAATGACTATGGCCTATGATCAGTCTTCATTGCACTCAACCACACGCGCACATTTTAAATACTTTATTTGATTCCACAAATCACATTACATCATAAAGGATTCAAACATTTCAAAGGCCGTTGACTCAAGGACACTTACGGAAACAAAAAGTATATCCTCCACACAGCTATGCTGCCCATAACGGCTGAAACAGAGCAGTACCTTCTCCTCCACACAGCTATGCTACCCATAACGGCTGAAACAGAGCAGTACCTAAGTCAGTTGTTTTTGCCCTACTCTTAGGCAGGCCTGCAATCTGAAGGCCACGTACTGTGAGCCTGTGTACGTGGCCGAGACGACCAAATATCACCAACTTGCATTTGCATCCCAGGCTGTCCCAAGCCTGATATGAGGGCTGCTATTTCAGGAGTGTTTCAGAAAAGGCCTGCTCCGTGCAATCTCTCTTGGACAGATTCTCATGGAGGAAATGATTAAACTTTTGCAAGAGAATTTGACTTCTAGGTAACCAAGATTATGCTCCATGTAACAATCGAATGAGCAGCCCACTCCAAAATCAGCACCTCCCTCTGGCCTCCCCCCACAACAACAATATCAGATTTATTCAGCATACAAGAAGCACATCATCAACACACACACACACACACACACACACACACACACACACACACACACACACACACACACAGTCTTGCGCAGCTAAACATGTGGGGACATACAATTCAGTCCCATTCAAAATCCTATTTTCCCTAACCCTTACCCTAACCCTAACCCTAACCCTAACCCTAACCTTAACCCTAACCCTAACCCTAACCTTAACCCAAAACCTAACCTTAACCCTAACCCTAACCCTAAACCTAACCCTAGCTCCTAACCTTAACCCTAAACCTAATTCTAACTCTAACACTAATTCTAACCTTAACCCTAAACCACACAAGTATAGTTAAACACGTCCACACAACAAACACACACACACACACACACACACACTGACCAACTTACCTGCTCTGGACCCTCTCCATTCCGCTTCTCTTCGACCTAGTCCAGGCCGGCCTGTTAGCAGTGTGTATGTATATAAGTGTGTATGTATGTAAGTGTGGCATTTGTGTGTGTGTGTCTTCCTTCTCAATAACAGACTCAATAAACGCAAACACCCATCTCTGTTTCCTGTCATGTGATTCCTGAGGCCTGTCGACAAAACTTGCAACTTCTGTATAGCCACAGGTCTTAGATCAGTTTCTAAAACATAAAGTGACAACTCAACTTATTGGGGAGTACGATGTATCTAAGGGAGAGGGGAGAGAGAGAGAGGAGGAGAGAGAGGAGAGAGGATATGAGCTGAGAGAGAGGGAGAGAGCAGAAGAGATGGGAGAGAGGGAGGAGAGAGAGGAGAGATGAAGAAGGAGGATGAGAGAGTGCAGAGGGAGATGAGAGGTAGGAGAGAGAGAGAGAGTAGAGAGAGAAGGAGAGGATTGTGAGGGGAGCTGTAGGGGAATGTGTGTAAACCAGAGTGGGGTGATTAGTGACTTTGTGTGGGGTAGTGCGAGCATGGTGTGTAAGATAGGAAGTCGTGACACAGTTGAGAGCCTGTGGGAAAAAAGCACAGCCGGTTTATAGGTCGAAGGAAAATTTCTGGGGTTGGGGTTTTTTGGGGGGGGGGGGGGGGGGGGGGGTTTTTTTCCCCCCAAAATAAAAAAAACCCCCCCTAAATTCCCAACCTTTAAAAACCCCCAAAAAACCCACCCCCCCAATATAGTTAAACCGTCCCACACAAAAACACCAAACACAACCCCCAAACCTACCAAACACCTTGTTTTGACCCCCCCACCCCCCCACCACCAAACCCCCAAGGGGGATTTTAAGGGTTTTGAAGTTGATTTGGGTTTTTTGGGCTTCCTTCTTACGGGGATATAAAAAATTTGTTTGTTGTATTTCCTGGGTGTGCCTTCCTTTTTTTCCCTTTTAACAGTTTCATAAGGAAAACCCCAACTTTGGGGTTTTTTTCAAGGTGAGGGGAAGGGGGAAAAAACGGAACCGGAAAGGGGCAAGGGAAAGAAAAAGGAAAGGGGGAAAAAAGAAAGGAAAAGGGGAATTTAGGGATTCGGGGGCCCCAAAGTAAAGGGGGGAAAAAATAAAAAAAGGGGGCCCCAAAAAAAAAGGGGGGGGGGGGGTTTCCCCTTTTTTTTTAGAGTGTAATGTTGTTTGAGGGGGGTTGAGTAAAATTTGTGACAACTTTTAGTGACTTTGTTGGGGTATTGGGGAATGCGTTTTTAAATCGGGAAACGGAAATACGCTGAGAACCAGAAGAACATGGGGGACAAAAAATCAAAGCGTGGTTAAAGGGGCTGTATCGGGTAAACGGTTTTTTGTGTTTTTGGTTTTGGTTTTTGGGTGTGGTGTTTGTGTGTGTGTGGGGGGGGGGGGGGGGCTCTTTCATTTCATTTTTATAAAAAACACCCCCCTCAGTTATAAACAAAATATCTATTTTTAAATTTTAATTTGTATAAATTTTCAAAAATACATAGTTGCTTCAAGCCAGATATCTTTTTTTATGTCATTGAATTTAATTTATAAAAAACACTACAGGGAGGGGTTTGTTTGTTTAAAAAAGCTGAATTGAGTTTAAAAATTTAGTTTTGATTTGTTGGTTTGTGTGTTGTGTGTGGTGGGGTTTTGTGTTAGGGGGAGAGAGAAGAGAGAGAGAGGGGGGGTGTATGGGTAAACCCACTTCCCATCTTTTTGGCCCCTTTCGAGCAAACCCCCCTTCTATCAAATGAAATCTAAAAATAAACTTTAAAAAAAAGAACCCCCCTGGTTTCCCCAAATTACTTGAATAACTACGGAAAAAAATAAAAACCCTCCCCCCAAAAAAGCCCCTGTGGTGTTGATGGTACCCTCAAAAAATGATAAAATATAAGACCACAAATTTAAATTAGCTATTTTAAAAATCTTAACACATCCTTAGCTCTTGGCTTTTCCCCAATATTGGGAAACCAAGGACTGACCCCCCCCAATAAAAAAGTGGAACAAATTTGACCCCAATACTCCGTGGATAGCTCCGCAACCTTGGGAAAATCCTCTGCATTATCAAACAGCAGAAGTTCATTTCCTAGTGAAAACATTACTGACCCAAATGTAAAATTGGTTTTTAAAACCAAAATTCCCCGTACACAGACCACGTATTCACCCTGCACCCCCCAAACGAAAAACAAACAAACCAAAACAAAGGAAAATCTTTCGTGTTTTTGTTGTTTAAAAAAAAGCTTTTGCCCAAATTGGCATGAGGGTCTGCTAAAAAAAAAAAAAAAACAAATTATGAAAGGGGGGTTGGGGGAAAAAAATCAACATAAAATCCAGTACAAAAAAAAACAAGGGGGGGGTTTAAATTGGCAAAAAAAACCACCCCCATTCTTTCCACAGGCCGGGGGGTAGACAGGGATGAGTTTAACCCCACCCTTTTAAACAAATATAAACAATTGGCGGGGCACTAGAACAGCCCCGGGGGCCCCCGGGCCTCACCCTACTAGAATCTAATCAAAGTTTTTCTTTTTTGCTGATGATCTGGTGTTCTGTCACCCCCAAGGGAGGGCCACAGCACACCTAATCTTCTCAAGTTTTCGCAGACCGGGGCCGACAGTAAATCTCAGTAAACAAAAAAATGGGGTTTTCCCAAAAAAAGCCAGTTCCAGGGGCCACAAATACAAATTCCTCTAGACACCCTTGCCCCAAGCAAAAAAAAACTATACATACCCGGCCTAAACATCAGCGCCACAGGTAATTCCACAAACTTGAAAAAACTGAAGACAAGGCAAGAGGGCCTTCTAGCCCTCAAAAAAACATACAATTTGACATCCCAAATTTGGATCTGGCTAAAATACTGAATCAGTTATGAAAACCCTTTCCCTTTAGGTTTTGAGGTCTGGGGGCCGCTCACCAACAAAAATTTCCAAAAAGGGACAAACACCAAATTAGCTTGCATGCAGAATTTTGCAAAAAAATCCCCCCTTTAAACGTAAAAAAAACCAAATAAGCTGCAAGCAAATTTGGCCAAAACCCCCTAAAAACAAAATCCCGAAAAGAGCCGTTAAAATTTTAAACCCTTAAAAGGAAAGGGGATTCCCAAAACCCTTATCAAAACCATCCCCCAAGAGAGATGAAACTTGAGAAAGTCCCTAAGTAAAACTTGTCCCGGGCCTCTGTTCAAAAACACAAACAAACCCCACCCACCCCAGGCAACAACAAAAACAAAAAAATGACCCACCAAAACATGAGAAAAAAAAAAGAGAATTACTTTAAATTGGAAAGAACAAACAAAAAAAAAGGGCAAACTAGTCATTTTGGGCCCCAAAAAGAGAGTACCCCCAGTGGCAGAATACCACCACTGTGACTGACCCAAACTTTAAAGGGAAACTTTACTATGTAAGACTCGTGGCTAGCCTTGCTTGAGAAAGGCCGCCCTGGCAGACCGGGGCCCCAAAGGGACAGGTAGTGCACCTGCCCACAAAAAATTTTTAACGAGCTGCACTTCCTAACCTCCTGCCAAATTAGACATATTAGAGACACTATTTCCCCCAAACAGCACCACAAAATTTGAAAACAAACCCAATTTTGATAAACTCCCTTACTACTGGGTAAAAACCCAGTGTGCCTCACACGCCAGATTTTTGACCTTTTTCCCAAGAAAAGGGGAACCATAAGAACAAACACCATTGAAATAAACCCTATTTATGTTTATTTTTTTCCCCTTTTACTTTAAATATTTGCACTGTTACAAAAACTGTAAAATACATAATATACATTTTAAATGTTTTATTCTTTGAACTTCTGAGTGTAATGTTTACTGTTTAATTTTTTGTTTTTTTCACTTTTGTTTATATCTACTTTTACTTTCTTTGGCAAAAGTTAACACACGTTTCCCCTGCCAAAAAAGCCCTTTCATTGAAATTGAATTGAATTGAATTGAGAGAGAGAGAGAGAGAGAAGGAGAGAGAGAGAGGAGAGAGAGAGAGAGGAGAGGCGAGAGAGAGAGAGAGAGGAGAGAGAGAGAGACAGAGACGGGAGAGCGGAGGGGAGAGACAGAGAGGAGACAGAGAGAGAGAGAGAGAGAGAGAGAGAGAGAGAGAGAGAGAGAGAACTCCCATATCTATTGGGTGAAATACCACAGTGTGCCATCACAGCAGCAAGATTTGTGACCTGTTGCCACAAGAAAAGGGCAACCAGTGAAGAACAAACACCATTGTAAATACAACCCATATTTACAGTGGGGAAAAAAAGTATTTAGTCAGCCACCAATTGTGCAAGTTCTCCCACTTAAAAGATGAGAGAGGCCTGTAATTTTCATCATAGGTACACGTCAACTATGACAGACAATTGAGATAAGTATTTAGTTCCTTTACACGGTACCCTGTCCTGTTTATTCTGTTTAGCCTTAGCCCAAACGTTATCGCTATTTCCAGTTGTTGTCTTAGCTCTCTCTAATAACACCTGTGACTGCTTATGCCTCTCTCTCATGTCAATTATGCCTTGCCTATTGCTGTTTGGGTTAGTTCTTATTATACAAATTTCACTGTAGAACCCCTAGTCCCTCTCAAACGGCCTCAAATAGTTTCCTTTGTTCCCACCCCCCATAACACGCCGAGACCGGCTCAATCGTTGCCTCCAGTGACGCTATCTCTTTCATTGTTACCCAACGCTTAGGGTTTACCTGAACTGTACTCATATCCTTCCATATCCTTTTCTGTAATAATGCCCTGAATCTTTTTCTACAACGCCCGGAGAACTGCCCCCTTTATTCTATGTACCCAACGCACTAGAAGACCAGTTCTTAAAGCCTTTAGGTCGTATCCTTATTCTAGTCCTCTCTGTTCCTCTGGTGATGTAGAGGCTAAACCCAGGACCCTGCAGCCCCCAGTATCACTCCTACTTCCCCAGGAGCTATCATTTGTTGACTTCTGTAACCCGTAAAAGTCTTGGTTTTCTGCACGTAAATATCAGAAGCCTCCTTCCTAGTTTGAGTTATTCACTGCGTTAGCACACTACCCGCCAACCCTGATGTTCTAGCAGTGTCTGAATCCTGGCTTAGGAAGGCCACCAAAAATTCTGAAATATGTTCCATCCCCCAACTATAACATTTTCCGTCTAGATAGAACTGCCAAAGGGGGTGGAGTTGCAATCTACTGTAGAGATAGCCTGCAGAGCTCTATCATACTATCCAGGTCCCTGTGCCCAAACAGTTTGAGCTTCTACTTCTAAAAATCCACCTTTCCAGAAATAAATCTCTCACTGTTTGCCGCTTGCTACAGACCCCCCTCAGCCCCCAGCTGTGGCCCTGGACACCATATGTGAAATTGCAATTGCCCCCCATCTATCCTCAGAGTTCGTACGGCTTGGTGACCTAAACTGGGATATGGCTTAACAACACCCCCGGCCATCCTACAATCTAAACTAGATGCCCTCAATCTCACACAAATTATCAACGAACCTACCAGGTACAACCCTAAATCCGTAAACATGGGTACCCTCATAGATATCATCCTGACTAACTTACCCTCTAAAATACACCTCCGCTGTCTTCAAACCAGATCTCAACGATCACTGCCTTATTGCCTGCGTCCGTAACGGGTCCGCGGTCAAACGACCACCCCTCATCACTGTCAAACGCTCCCAAAAAAACACTTCAGCGAGCAGGCCTTCCTAATTGACCTGGCCCAGGTATCCTGGATGGATATAGATCTCATTCCGTCAGTAGAGGATGCCTGGTTGTTCTTTAAAAGTAATTTCCTCTCAATCTTAAATAACATGCCCCATTTCAAAAAATACAGAACTAAGAACAGATATAGCCCCTGGTTCTCCTCAGACTTGACTGCCCTTGACCAGCACAAAAACATCCTGTGGCATACTGCATTAGCATCAAATAGCCCCCGCAATATGCAACTTTTCAGGGAAGTTAGGAACCAATATACACAAAGCAGTTTAGGAAAGCAAAGGCTAACTTTTCAAACAGAAATTGCTTCCTGTAGCACTAACTCCAAAAAGTTTTGGGACACTGTAAGTCCATGGAAAATAAGAGCACTTCCTCCCAGCTGCCCACTGCACTGAGGCTAGGAAACACTATCACCACCCGATAAATCTACAATAATCGAGAATTTCAACAAGCATTTTGCTACGGCTGGCCATGCTTTCCACCTGGCTACCACTACCCTGGGCCACCAGCTCTGCACCCTCCGCTGGCAACTTGCCCATGCCCCCCCCCGCTTCTCCTTCACACAAATCCAAACAGCTGATGTTTCTGAAAGAGCTGCAAAATCTGGACCCCTACAAATCTTCTGTGCTAGACAATCTGGACCCTTTCTTTCTAAAACTAGCCGCCGAAATTGTCGCAAACCCCTATTACTAGCCTGTTCAAACCTCTCTTTCGTAACGTCTGAGATCCCCAGAGATTGGAAAGCTGCCGCGGTCATCCCCCTCTTCAAAGGGGGTGACACTCTAGATCCAAACTGTTACAGACCCATATCCATCCTGCCCTGCCTTTCAAAAGTTTTTTGAAAGCCAAGTCAACAAACAGATCACCGACCATTTCGAATCCCACCCGTACCTTCTCCGCTATGCAATCCGGTTTCCGAGCTGGGTCATGGGTGCACTTCAGCCACGCTCAAGGTCCTATAGTATCGAGTAAATGCTGGCAATTATGCTGATAAACAAAGGAGTTCCGCTCATACTGAACTTGATCATAAGTTTATTCATATCACAAGCTTTCTTCAGCATGAGTTACAGGTGTCAAGATCACCCGGAGAACGGCATCAACCCCCGAATTGCAATGGCCGCTCTAACCCTTCTTTCTTCGCTTTTGACCCAGTATATATAATCTTCCCAAGATGTGGGTGGCTCCCCTCTACTGTCCAATCCCTGTCTACAACACACACTTCCTGTCTGTTGTATGTGGCGTTACACTAAAACATTCCCTCTTGATACTAAAATAAACATCCTCAAAGGTTCCACTTAAACCCATTAAGAAAGTCATAATCTTAATACACTACATATCCCCCCCTTCGAGACGAACTAAAGTCTCGAAAACAAACAGAATAGGATTATGACAAGTAACAATTTAATCTTATTGAGTACCAAAAACATTATTCTCTAGAGTGTAAATACTTTCCATGAAATATGAATAAATGTTTATGAAGTGTGAATACATTACTATGAAATATGAACAAATCTTTATGGAGTGTGAGAGCGAAAAACTGTCTGGCAGCCTTCTTTATCAATCAAGACAGTAAAATTCTCTCACGGTCCCCTCTGTCCCAGGCAACCACCTAGGTACTACTCCCGATGATTCATAAATCTTTATCAATGCATTTGAACTATGATGCAATTAAATACACATGAAAGCCCCTGCAAACAAAATACTATCCAAAAAATGTCCACTCTCAGGCTGGTCGACCCATCGGACCCTATAGTGGACCTCTATCCCTGCCTAGACTTCCCTGTCCCCTAAGCATTCCACGAAAATAAACAAAAACATCTAAGATCCCCCACATGTATCCAATAACATCAAATATCATTCTACAAAAAATTAATACCTAAGAATATGACACAAATTATGTATTACACATGCAAATATGTCTATATTTCATTGCAGACACTGGAATGTAGTTCACTACACTTCATCTCCCCCGTAGTCTCCTCTTCCAAGCAATCGTTGATGATGGAATCGGAAGCTTTCCACACCTTCCCTGTTCCATCTCCTCCAGTCATTCTCCTTTCAATATTGTCCCTTCATATTGTCCTTGTTTGAGTATTTCAATCTCTACATATTCCCCCAAATGCTTATGGAAGAAAAGAAAAGACCAAACAGTATCTTTTTGCAAAACAACACTTTCAAATTAAACATCAATATCAACTAAGAATATAAAAATTATATATAATGATGTATGAATCACATCATCCGATTTCCCCCATTTGATTCATAACATCATACTAAAATCACACTAATATTGAAAAAAAATTTTTTTTGAAAAATGATCAAATAATCAAAAAGGATATTTATCATCAATACTCCATCCAGTCCCACTTGTCCATCTTCATCCAGATCAGGAACATCAACACGGCATCTGAGTGTTTGTCTCCAGGCATCACAACTCCAACCTATCTCAATATCATAGCTTTCTCAAAGGTCAGTAACAAATTACAAAAGAAAAAACATCACACACAGTGCTATCAAAACTGCCATTAAATATAATCCATCACTGCTCCCACTGGGCCTAACTGATCTTGCAACCAAGACTTCGCTGACCATCCAGCTCCTTCAGATCTACCAAATGCATCCCTTATATTCTTCAATGCATATATAACTATCTGGAATCAAAGTATAGGTAATATTATCAATATGATCTGCCAAAAATGTACATACAACCATACCATGGAAAAAGTCCCCCCCCTTCTCTCTTAGACTTATCCTCCAATGATAGGCTTCAAGACTATGACATGTCGCCATGTCCCTTTTCACCCTACTTCCAAACCTAGATTCAGATGTATCTGTGTCCGGTGCTACCCCCTCTTTTAATGGTAGAAACCTCATATGGAAGCTTCAACGTTGACATGTAACAACATCCTGTCCATCCATAGGGTAAGAATATATATGCTTTATCACCACAAACCCTCCAAATATCTCTAAAATTCCCAATAGTCACATTGTCAGGACAAGCTAATCTTTTAACCATCAAAGTCCTGCTCTTCTTACTAACTGGAACATAAAAAGTAACATTATATTTCTCATTACTACCTTATGTTAATGCTTACCCAAAGTCATCTATAATCATCACAATCTGATATTCCCATAAACATACCCCTTACATCATATGTTTTATTAGAACAAAACAACTTTTTAGCCCTCAATGGTTTCACCTCCAATGCATCAGGGTTCGCTGTTACCTGATTTCCTTTCCCATTAAAAATTCATGGAAATTCATTTAACCAAGAAATTTAAAACTAGCTTAAAAAAATGTTTAAAAAGACATTATTTTATCGTTCTGGAATTTCCAAAGATGGCCCCTAAAGTTTCCAAAATTCTTACAGAATGAGTGCTGTAAAACCAAAGATTCCATCCCCTCCATCTTTAAATTTTCACAACAGAAAATCAAACCCTATCCCTTTCCATTATTTTCTTCTTCCTAACGGCGGTATGATTAAATACCTTCCTGTTGTCTAAAATAAAGGGACCTATCCGACCCCCCAATGATAGATCCTTCACATTCGATGAACTAATTTTTCTACCACTATCTGCTTCCATTTAACCCTACCCTTTACTACCATGACAGCACTCTCCTCCGATTTTTCAGAAAAGTTTTTGTTTGTTGTTCCTATTTCCCACTTTTGTTTTGCCGTGTACCATTACCCCTTCCAAATTACCTTTAAAGTAGTTGTTTTATTGATGTTATTAAAACCCTTAACTACTTCTGGGGGAAAGTACCGATATCCTCTGTGTTTATTTATGTTGGGGACTTTTAAAATTTATTTCTCTGAACCCTTCGGTGACTGGAAGCTTAAAAGTTTTAAAATTTTTCCTTTAAAAAAGCGCACTTTAGAATTTTACAAGCCTTTTAACCAAATATTCTAACCAAAACAAATTTTAATGCTTGCAAGATAAGTAACATATATTCCCCCTGATCTTTCTCTGACATTAGCAAAAAAATGAAAAAACACCTAACCTCTTCCACTTCAATCTGTACAAAAATACTTTTTCCCTTTTATAGGTGCAAATTCTCTTTTGGTCCTGATAACAATATTCTTTTCCAAATTTTCTCTCCCTTGGAGGAAGTCCCATCCTAACCAAAACAGTTTTTTTCCCCCAAAATTTGGTGCGGGGGCTATTTGGGTTTTTGTAAAAAAAATCGATATTTTATGGCTTCAATAATATCAAAGTGAAAGGTTAATTTTTCTCATGTTGTTTTAAAAGCGGTGTTAATGTCATGTTGTTTTTCTCTATTTTCCCTAAGAAATTTTTTTAAATTTATTTATTTCCCCTATCCCCTTTCTTTTTTTTTTACCTCATCCCCCCTCAACCCTATTTAAAAATTTTATTAAAAAATCCCCCAAAAAATTGTTTTCCCTATTAATTAAAACAACCCTAATTTCTTTAATTCACAACCAACTTTTCCAAAACTTCCAAAAAACTAAATCCCCCATTCTTCTCCCACAAACTTTGAACTTAAAGTTTCTTCTTTATCCCTTAAAAAAAAGTTTTTTGGATTTTTAATTTGTTTCCTAACCTTTTTTAATCTAATCTTTTCTCCTCCTTTTTAAAAACCCTTTTTCCCCGATTTATTTACCCAAAACCCCCCCAAATTTTGAAAAGGGGGAAATCCCCCTTCTGACCTTCAAAGACTTAAAAACCTCCCCGCCCAGTTCTTGGTGACAAGTAACCCCCCGGGCACCCCTTTTTTTTTTTTTTGACATATAGCCCTTGGTTCCCCCCTTTTTAAATTTTAATAAAAAAAAAAAAAAAAAAAAATAAAAAAAAAATAATATTAAAAAAAAAAAAATTTTTAAAAAATGTTTAAAAAAAATTTAAAAAAAAAAAAAAAAAATCAAATTTAAAAAAAAAAAAATTAAAAAAAATTTTTTTTTAAAAAATTTTTTTATTCATTTCCTATTTTTTTTACCAAACATTGGGGTTTTCTTACCAAACCCATAAAAAAATGGAGTAAAAAAACCCCAAAATTTTTTTAAAGCCCCAATATTTTTTAAATTTTCAAAAATTTTATACCATTTCCCCCCCCAAAACCAAAAAAATTAAGAAATCCCAAAAGCAATTTTAAAATCTATTTTAACCTTGGAAATTTGTAAACTCCCAAACCTGTGGGGTTTGTAAAAAAACGTACCAAAACCTTTTACCCCCCTTTATCTAAGCCCCTCTTCTTCCTTTTTTCCTTCTTACACCCCCCCCAAAGACAAAAAAAAGAAAAAACAAGAATTAAAATTTTAACATTCAATTTTTCCAGCATTAAATCCGACATTCCCCTTTTAAAAAATAAAAATTAAATATTTTAAATTTTATTTTTAATTTAAAATTTTTTTTTTTAAATTCAATTCCCCAAAATTTTTAAAGGGCAAAAAAAGCTCTTTCCCAAAGGGGGTGAAAAGAGAAGGAAAAACCCCCGGGGCCGCCCCCCGCGGAAGAAGTAGGGAAAAAAACCCCTTTTTAGGGGTTTTTTAAAAAACCCCCCGGGAAGGGGAAATAAAAAAGGGGTTTAAATTGGGTAAAATTTTGAAAAAAGGAGAAAATCAAATGTTGTTTTAGTAAAAAAAATGGCCTAATTTTTCCCCGTTTTTAAACCCGGGGGGGGGAAAATTTTTACCCTACCAAATGAAATTAAAAATTCAAAATTTTTTTCTTAGTAAACCCATTTTAAAAACCCAACCTGAAGAATTCTACCCCAAAAACAAAAAAACATGCGGCCCCTGGGAATTGATTTACAGCCCTTTACTTTTCCCTTTCATTGCAACTAAAGGGGGAAAAAGTAAAAAAGAAATTGTTTTTTTGTTATTCTACGTTTAATGCCCTGGTAAGGGCCCAAAAAATTTTAAACTTCCTCGAAAATGGCTCCCCTCTAATTCCCCAACCCCCTAAGCTGACAAAAAAAAACAAGCTTAGGGAAATTTTCCCACCGGGTGCCCCCTTTTTACAAAAAAATTTGCCAAAAAATTTTCGTTTAAATTTCCTTTAAATTCTTTTTACCCCAATCTCCCCAAAATACTAATGTTTCCAAAATTAAAACCACCTCCCCCCTTTTTTACGCTACCCACAAAGTTTATTGATTAGCCCCCCCACCCATGCAAAAAAAAGATTCTCCCAAGTAAAATTCTCCTTTAAAAATCTCCCTAAAACTCCCCCGCTAAAAAAAAACCTTTGGGGGGAAAACAAAAATTCTTGGGGGGGGTAAGGAAAAAAAAAAAAGATTTTCAGCCCCTTCTAGCCATTTAGACAAAAAATTCAAATTCTATTTAAAAAAAGGATCCCTCAAACTAACCTTTAAAATTTTTTTATCCAAATTTTCATATTTTTCAGGGTAGTTTCCCCCGGGAAGGCCCCCCCCCGCAAGGGCTCTCCCTTTTTTTGCCCTTTTTTTCCCCAATTAATTTCCCAAAGGGGGGTCCCTCTATGCCAAAACCCCGTTCAAAACAACTTTTTGCCTTTTTTTTACGGGTTCCCAAATTCCCCGAACAAAAAAACCCTTCCCAAAGGGTTCCACTTAAACCTTAAAAAATTAACTTAAAAAACCCTCCAAGAATTTTCCCCTCTAAAGCATCGTCACCCCTTTTTTGCCCGGAAGGCTTTTTACTTTAAAAAACCCTTTTTTCAAAAAAAACCCGGTTTCTAAAAAGGGCCTTTCCCACATTTCAAAAAGTTATGAAACGGGGGGTGGTCGGCCAGGGGTTTTTTTTCCCCAAGGTTTTTTGGGGGACTTTTTTTCCGGTTTTAAAAAACTGTTCTTGTGCTCCCGTCCCCCCACCCAGAACCCTTTTTTAAACGGGGGCCTTTTTGCCTATGTTTAAAAAACGGGTTAATATCCCACTTTTCTGTCCCAATGCTCTTCCTTAAAAAAATCCCTTTAACCCAACCTTTGGTTCACCCCCATGAATATTTCCATCACAGATATTGCAACCAAATTTTTGGTTTTTAACTGTAAAAATTTTAACCACATGAATCTTCAAAGAAAAACTGAACGGCCATTTCCACCCCCCCCACCCCACCCCCCTAAAACGCTTCCTTACCCCTCCATTCGGGGTTTTTCAAAATCCCCCCCCCATCACAAAGGGTAGCTTTAAGGAATCCGTTTTTTTCCAAACCCCAACGGGGAAAAAAAATTTGCACACCTTGTAAAACTACTTTAAAAAAAAAAGGGGGGGTAATTTTTAATAGGCCGCAAAATTACAGAACAATTTAATTTTTTTTTCCAGAAAATCACATTGTAGGATTTTTAATGAATTTATTTGCAAATTATGGTGGAAAATAATTAATTTAATTTAATCAATTTTAGAATAAGGTTGTAACGTATCCTGAACAAATATATAAACACAACATGTAAAGTGTTGGTTCCATTTTTCATGAGCTGAAATAAAAGATCAGAGAAATATTCCATAACGCACAAAAAGCTTATTTCTCTAAAATGTTGTGCACAAATGTATTTACATCCCTGTTAGTCAGCATTTCTCATTTGCCAAGATAATCCATCCACCTGACAGATGTGGCATATCAAGAAGCTGATTAATCAGTATGATCATTACACAGGTGCACCTTGTCTGTCACACAACACAATGCCACAGATGTCTCAAGTTTTGAGGGAGTGGGCAATTGGCATGCTGACTGCAGGAATGTCCAACAGAGCTGTTGCCAGATAATTTAATGTTCATTTCTCTACCATAAGCCGCATCCAACGTCATTTTAGAGAATTTGGCAGTACATCCAACCGGCCTAAAAACCGCAGACCACGTGTAACCACGCCAGCCCAGGACCTCCACATCCGGCTTCTTCACCTGCAGCATCGTCTGAGACCAGCCACCCGGATAGCTGATGAAACTAATGAGTATTTCTGTCTGTAATAAAGACCTTTTGTGGCGAAAAACTCATTCTGATTGGCTGGGCTTGGCTCCCCAGAGGGTGGACCTGGCTCCCAAGTGGGTGGGCCTATGCCCTCCCTGGCCCACCCATGGCTGCGACCCTGCCCAGTCGTGAAGTCCATAGATTAGGGCCTAACAAATGTATTTCAAATGACTGATTTCCTTCTACGAAGTGTAATTCAGTCAAATCTTTGAAATTGTTGAATGTTGCGTTTATATTTTTGTTCAGTATATATATAGTTTATTTCCTAATCGCAATCAATCAATCACTCTAATCTTAATTCCAACTCTCAGATGTCCACAGGCTAACCCATCTTTCCCAGTACACTACCATTTTACTAATTCCTTTTACAATACATCCTTCTATTTTACTGTGAAGTCTTATGATGGTCTTGAACTTCTCCATTTGGGCCATTTCTACAGAGATTGCCCTAAAAATAAATACTTTACCTAAGAGTATAATCATATTTCCCATTGATTGATCGTGGGATACACCGGATAGGGGCAGTAATGTGTTGTTTTACAGGGTCAGCCATAAGTGGTACGGCGCCCCTGGAGAAAATTAGGGTTCAGTGCCTTGCTCAAGGGCACATCGACAGCTTTTCACATAGTCGGCTCGGGTATTCGAACCAGCGACCATTAGGGCATGTGACATTTGGTGTATGTGTGTGTTACTTTAGTCTCTCTCTTTATTCCTGTCACTCTCCTCTCTTCACCCTCTCTCTCTATCTCTCCATCCCTCTCTCTCTCCTCTCTTCACCCTCTCTCTCTATCTCTCCATCTCTCTCTCTCTCCTCTCTTCACCCTCTCTCTCTATCTCTCCACCCTCTCTCTCTCCTCTCTTCACCCTCTCTCTCTATCTCTCCATCCCTCTCTCTCTCCTCTCTTCACCCTCTCTCTCTATCTCTCCATCCCTCTCTCTCTCCTCTCTTCACCCTCTCTCTCTATCTCTCCATCCCTCTCGCTCTCCTCTCTTCACCCTCTCTCTCTATCTCTCCATCCCTCTCTCTCTCCTCTCCTCTCTTCACCCTCTCTCTCTATCTCTCCATCCCTCTCTCTCTCCTCTCTTCACCCTCTCTCTCACTCTCTCCATCCCCCTCTCTCTCTACCTCTCCATCCCCTTCTCTCACTCTCTCCATCCCTTCATAGATGCTCTCCTCCCTTCTCACTCTATCTATCCCCCTCTTCATCCCCTCCATGGACGAGAGCTGTAGCTCCATCCTTCCATAGATGAGTCTCTCTCCTCCCTGCTCATTTTATCTCACTCTATCCATCCCTCTCTCCATCCCCCCCCAATAGAGGAGAGCTGTAGCTCCACTGTGACAGAGGAGTCGTGTGTCTACTACCAGACTGAGATCTTTGACCAGCTCCCCAGCTCTCTGGCCCGACGGACCCACCACCACCAGGACAGGGGGACCACGGAGACATCGCACCCAGTAGAGATGCACCCTGGCCAGGCAGGAGGAGCCAGGGACAGGGCCCCTACCCAGCCGATCAGGAGCCTGCCGGTCTGTATGCAGGGGAAGAGAGAGGCAAGGTGAGTGATAGAGAGGTTGTGTGGAGAGATCACATGAACGTACACACACTCACTCACACACACACACACACACACACACACACACACACAGGTGTCGCACACACGTGCAAATATTCACCAAACTGTTTCCAGTGTTGCAAGTTGCTTTACCGTTCTCTGTTTCAGTGTTTATGTTATCATAGCAGGTAGAGTGAGAGAGTCGGGTGTGTGTGGATATGGATGTGTGACGCAGCTGTAAAATGATACAATATATACAATTTAAAAAAAGACTTGCTGGTAAAGAGATGTGTCATCTGTCAATCAGGGACCTGAGGCACCTGCAGACGCGTACTATTGGCCGATGGGAGTCATGGAAGCGGAACCAGAGCATAATCAGGAAGAGGCTCTGGGAGCAGGTCGGCGAGGCCATGTCAAGGCTTTTACCATGGAGCAGCATCCTCCACACCATTGAAGGTGAGAGAAAACAGAGTGTGTGTGTGGGAGGGTGTGTGTGTGTGTGTGAAGAGTTAGAGAGAGAGAGAGAGAGAGGGAGTCTATTAAACACCATATTTTGAAACATGGGCGGATCCTTAAAGTAACTTTCCAGTGAAAATCTCACTTTTAAAAGGTCAATATTCTGTTAACTCATATCCAAATAATGTTGTTGACTAGACTGTACTCGTATTTGTGACCAAAGCATAAATTAGAGAAAAGAAACCACCTCAAACTTCTATATTAAACAGACCATTTCAGAAATGCTTGCTATTTCCTCATAAAACATGATGTTATCTCCCTGAGGATGATGAGCTGGCCAATCAGCGGTCTAGAGGTGGATGAGCTGGCCAATCAGTGGTCTACTTGCATGAATATTTTTATTACCACACCATTCTGTTGTTCAGGTACGCCCACACCATTCCAACACAGAAAATCTGCTTTTTAACACACTTAAATACCATGTTTGGGAAGGAAAACTACTTCACTCATATTGTAAGTAATTATAGGTCATATTTCATAGAAATGTGGAAACACTAGAAAGTTACTTTAAGGCATGTAAATACTGAGGCACGTTCAGCATTGCAGCAATGTTTTGGAGTGTTCAGACAGAAATATGTTACGTAGAACTAACATGCAACGTTGGACAGCGTTTGGCAACTGAACGTGGCCCTGCACCACCACCACCACCACCTGTCTCTCTCTCCTCCCCCTCCAGGTAGATTTGGTGTAGGTGTGAAGGCTTATTTTGTGTTCCTGAGATATCTGGTTTACCTGAACCTGCTCCAGTGTCTGGTCATAGGAGGGACCATACTCACACCAACAGCAGTCTATGACAGCGATGGTGACAGAGGTGTGTGGGGAATACATTCCTGTCATGTGCCGGATGTATGCATTGTTGTGGCAAAATGTAATATATTTAGTTGACAGTAGCTCTGTGATGTGGTTGCAGGACTACTGAGGTTTGAGGGCAATGACTCGGTTTTGGACATCTTCCTTGGCTCGGTGAGTGTGTGTCTGTGTGTGTGTGTGTGTGTACATGTGTGTATTTGTGTACAGTGTATGTGATTGAACTCTCCTTCTCCCTCTCTCCTCTCCCTCCCTCCCTTCCTCTCTCCTCTCCCTCCTCTCCCTCCTTCCTTCCTTCCTTCCTTCCTTCCTTCCTTCCTTCCTTCCTTCCTTCCTTCCTTCCTTCCTTCCTTCCTTCCTTCCTTCCTTCCTTCCTTCCTTCCTTCCTTCCTTCCTCCCTCCCCTCCCTTCCTTCCTTCCTTCCTTCCTTCCCTTCCTTCCTTCCTTCCTTCCTTCCTTCCTTCCTTCCTTCCTTCCTTCCTTCCTTCCTTCCTTCCTTCCTTCTTCCTTCCCTCCTTCCTTCCTTCCTTCCTTCCTTCCCTCCCACCTCCAGGGTTTTCTAGAACGTTCTCCAGTGTTCTATGGGTTCTATGCACGTGGTTCTCTGGACCTGCTGTGTCTGAACACGCCCCTCCTCTTCCTCCTCGGAACCCTCACCGTCCTCATCCTCAGTCTGGTCATGGTGGTCCGCAGGTCAGACACACACACACACACACACACACACACACACACACACACACACATTGTTTTACTATCCTTGTGGGGAACAAACAATTGATTCCCATTCAAAATCCTATTTTCCCTAACCCCAAACTCCTAACCTAATCCTTAACCTAACCTTAACCTTAACCATAAACCCCTAACCCTAAACCTAACCCCTAAGCCTAAAATAGCTTTTTTCCTTGTGGGGACCGGCAAAATGTACCGATTTTCCTTGTTTTACTATCCTTGTGAGGACACACACACACTCACATACATGGCCCCGTGTAGCTCAGTTGGTAGAGCATGGCGTTTGTAACGCCAGGGTTGTGGGTTCGTTTCCCACGGGGGGCCAGTATGAAAAATGTATGCACTCACTAACTGTAAGTCGCTCTGGATAAGAGTGACTGCTAAATGACTAAAATGTAATGTAAATACACACACACGCTGTCCCTTTAGCGCATGCCTACAGCAATTCAATGATTTTACATTTGTAGGGAGTAGTGAACAAGTGCACACTTCAGGAGGAAGGCGAAATTATTGGGACACACCCAAGGATACGCTGTTAAAGATGTGTCCACAAGGAGGACACAATAGTGGCTTTTTAGCGACAGCTACTGGCCAAAGTTGAAATATCTGCTTATTTACAATTTTCATCACCTCTTTTAAACAGGACGGTTGTAGGCTACAAGCACACATGGTTGCTAGGCAATGGCTACAACATCCAAATGAGCTATAAGGTGTTCTGTGGGTGGGACTTCTGTATCCAGGACCCCGAGGCCGCTGCCCTCAAACTCAGCTTCATCAGGAACGAACTGAAGGTTAGGGGTGGTAGTCTGACACTTTCAACAAACGTTATCCTCACATCTCTCTTTGTCTGTCTGTCTGTCTGTCTGTCTGTCTGTCTGTCTGTCTCTCTCTCACTCTCTCTCTCTCTCTCTCTCTCTATCTCGCTTTCTCTCTCTCTGTCTCTGTCTCTGTCTCTGTCTCTGTCTCTGTCTCTGTCTCTGTCTCTGTCTCTGTCTCTGTCTCTGTCTCTGTCTCTGTCTCTGTCTCTGTCTCTGTCTCTGTCTCTGTCTCTGTCTCTCTCTCTATCTCGCTTTCTCTGTCTCTGTCTCTGTCTCTGTCTCTATCTCGCTTTCTCTCTCTCTGTCTCTCTCTCTCTCTCTGTCTCTCCATTATGATTGTTCTGCAGCCGTTCCTCTATCTCTGTGGACTGGCAACTCTTTAACTTCCAACACCAACAAAGGTTCTTCCTCTTCATTCTCTCTCCTTCTTTACCTTTATATTTGACACTCGTTCACCTTTCTGTTCAATTCCTTTCTCTTTGTGTCCCTCCCTCCCTCTCCCCATCCTCCTCTCTCCCTCCCTCTCCCTCTCCCTCTCCCTCTCCCTCTCCCTCTCCCTCTCCCCTCTCCCTCTCTCCCTCTCCTCCTCTCCTCCTCCTCCCCTCTCCCTCCCCTCTCCCTCTCCCCTCTCCCTCTCCCCCCTCTCTCCCCTCTCCCTCTCCCCTCCTCTCCTCCCTCTCCTCCCTCTCCCCCCCTCTCCCCTCTCCCTCCCCTCCCTCTCCCTCTCCCCCTCCCCTCCCCCTCCCCTCCCCTCTCCCTCTCCCCTCCCCCCCCCTCCCCCTCTCCCCCTCTCCCTCTCCCTCTCCCCCTCCCCCTCCCCCTCCTCCCTCCCTCTCCCTCTCCCTCCCCCCTCCCCTCTCCCTCCCTCTCCTCTCCCTCCCTCTCCCCTTCCCTCCTCCCTCTCTCCCCTTCCCTCCCCCTCCCTCTCCCTCTCCCTCTCCCTCTCCCTCTCCCTCTCCCTCTCCTCTCCCCTCCTCCCTCCCCTCTCCCCTCCCTCTCCCCCTCTCCCTCCCCCCTCCTCTCTCCCCTCTCCCCCCTCTCTCCCCCTCTCCCCCTCTCTCTCCCCCCCCCCTCGCCCCTCCCTCCTCCCTCTCCCCTCCCCTCCTCCCCTTCCCCTTCTCCCCTCTCCCTCTCCCCTCCTCCCTCTCCCTCCTCTCCCTCTCCCCTCCCCCCTCTCCTCCCTCCTCCCCTCCCCCTCTCCCTCTCCCTCCCCTCTCCCCTCTCCCTCTCCCTCCCTCCCCCTCCCCCTCCCCTCTCCTCTCCCCCCTCTCCCCTCCCTCTCCCTCTCCCCTCCTCCTCTCCCTCTCCCTCTCCTCTCCCTCCCTCCCCTCTCCCCTCCCCCCTCTCCCTCTCTCTCCCATCTCCCCTCTCCCTCTCCCTCTCCCTCCTTCCCCCTCTCTCTCCTCCCTCCTCCCCTCCCCTCTGACCTCCACTCATCTCCTCTCTCCCTTCCCTCTCCCCTATGTTCCTATGAGACACCTTGCTCAGTCGCTGCCCTCTCTATCACGTCTCTACTCCTTTCCTTGCGAGGGCTGCTTCACTTCCTTGGTCCTGGTTCTACTGGGCGGAGCCTGCTGTCTCATCTACTATGCCACCTGGCCTCACAGCTGAGGACTGTAGAACTGTATGTGTGTGTGCGTGTGCATGTATTGTTAGTTTTGATTTTAGTTAGTTATTGATTTCGTTAGTTAGTCAATTTAACCATGTTCATTTTTATTTTGGCATCATTTTTTCCTTCTCTCCTCCCCCTCTCCCTCCCTCCTGGTCAACTTCCCCTCCCCTCCCCATCTTCCCTCCTCCCCCTCCCCCCTCCCGCTCCCCCTCCCCATCCCCTCCATCCCGCTCGACCTCCCTCCCCCTCCCCATCTCTCTCCCCCTCTCCCTCCCTCCTGCTCAACTTCCCTCCCCCTCCCCATCTCTCTCCCCTCTCTCAGAGTGGAGACTATTTGATCATCACGGTGCTTCTCCATTACCTTCCTCCCATCGTCATCACCCTGGTCAACTTCTTCCTGCCTCACGTCTTCCGCCATATCGCTTCCTTCGAGGATTACTCCCTCACCACCCAGGTCAATGCTACCATCGTCAGGTAGGAGCAGAAATGTCCCATCTTTATTGGTACACCAATATCATCATCATCATCATCATCAATACATAAATATTGATAATCACTGAAGTTCTCTCTTCATCATCTTAATTCTTCAACTTCCTCCTCCTCCTCTTCCTCTTCCTGCTCCCAGGAGTATCTTCCTGAAGTTGGCCAGTCTGGGGATGTATCTCTTCTTCCTCTTCAAAAACAGCCAACAGGAAGTGAGTCAAAATGACTAACCATTGTAATAATATAATAATAATAATATGCAATTTAGCAGACGCTTTTATCCAAAGCGACTTACAGTCATGTGTGCATACATTTGTTGTTGACAACTACAGATCATATTGACACATTGATAGACCTTTGGCACTAAATGGACTTCATATACAGTAAATGGACGTAATACTCTGTGTGTCCTCAGTGTTGGGAGAATCAGTTTGGTAAAGAGATGTACAAGCTCTCTGTGTATGATTTCCTGGCCTGTTTCTGCAACACCTTCTTCATCGCCTATCCTAGAAAGTAAGTTTATGTTCTGCTTTCTGAAGGAATATTTCTGATGAAAACGTATTTGGCCCAATGGAACAGAGCACTTGTAGGCTTGTGGAACCCTCGCTTTCACCTGTCCAATCATCTCAGATCAGTTCATACTGTAGTGAATTTTGTGGGTTGCCCCGACTGGGACTTGAAGCCGGGTCCAGCAACTGTCAACTAAACAACTTAGCTGTCACGTCAAGAGATCCAAACTTCTTGACAAGGTTGCCAGGTGTTGGGTTGCCAGGTGTTGGGTTGCTACAACAAGGGAGGAAGAAAGGATATGTGTTTTGGATGTTTTCTAACAGTATCCTTCATCTTGTTGTCCCTCCATCCCTCCATCCCTCCATCCCTCCTCACAGGTGGTTGGTGGAAATGTACCCATCGTCTTGGTTGGCGCGGTTGTCGGGGAAACAGCGTTTCCTGATCCCGTTCAATGTTCTAGACCTGGTGTACAGTCAGACGGTCACCTGGGTAGGACTGTTCTATTGTCCCCTGCTGCCATACATAGGGATTGTCAAACTGGTGGCCATCTTTTACATTAAGAAGGTGAGTGTTGTTGTTGTTAACATAAGTCTTTCTCTCAACATATTACTGCCCATCATCTATCACTGTTTAATTTCTCCCTTCTGCCTTGCTCTCTCTCCCCCCTCCCCCTCCTCCCCCCTCCCCCTCCCAGTTGACAGTACTCCAGTGCTGTGTTCCGGCCCAGAGAATGTTCCGTGCCTCCAGTTCTTCAGTTCTGTTCCACTTCATGTTACTACTGGGTCTCATCATGGCAGCCATCACCCTTGGAAGTAACCTCCAACAGTAAGACCTCACTACTCTCTCCTCTCCTCTTTCACTCCTGTTTCTCTCTACTAGAATCACCCTCCACCAGTAATTATGAAGAAATAGAGACAGATCATAATTGCTCCTCTGGTTCCTTGAGTCTGATTCCTCTCAAGGTTTCTGCCTATCCACAAAGCACTGTACTTGTTCTCTTCTCTATTTGCCCCTTCTCTTCTTTACACCCCCCCCCCCCCCCCCCCAGGTTTCCCCCCTCCTCCAGCTGTGGTCCGTTCGTGGGCAGCACTACAGTGTTTAATGTAACAGATGTGTGTGTGGACAGTCTGCCAGGACTGGCCCAGTCCACCCTGAGATACCTGTCCTCAGAGGCCTTCATTCTGCCTCTGATACTGGCTCAGATGTAGGTGATATAGATCATACACACACACATACACATAAACACACGTACACACACATACACACATATACACACACACACACACACACACACACACACACACCAGCCTGCCTCCCAATGCTACTGGCTCAGATGTGCAGTAGGTGATATAGAACCTGACTCCTCTCATAGATTCTGTTTCTTGCAGATCATAGAAATATAATAAGTAGAACATAGCACGTTCCTGTTGCCATGGATGTAAATGTTACAGATCGTATATCATGTTACCCTTTTCCCCAGTGTTGTCCTGACCTCCTTAGAGTCGCGGAGGAGAGCCAATGGAAAAGCCGTTGAGAGACTGAAGGACATGCTGGTGATGGTAGGTTACCTACTGATAACAGTATTAGTTAACTCTAACCCAGCTGGTGATGGTAGGTTACCTACTGATAACAGTATTAGTTAACCTTAACCCAGCTGGTGATGGTAGGTTACCTACTGATAACAGTATTAGTTAACCCTAACCCAGCTGGTGATGGTAGGTTACCTACTGATAACAGTATTAGTTAACCTTAACCCAGCTGGTGATGGTAGGTTACCTACTGATAACAGTATTAGTTAACCCTAACCCAGCTGGTGATGGTAGGTTACCTACTGATAACAGTATTAGTTAACCCTAACTCAGCTGGTAAATGCATGGAGAGACTGAAGGACATGATGGTGGTTTGTGTCTTCATAGTAAGTTCAAGTAATGCAATACATCTGAAGGCATAAAACATTAATTCTCTCTCTCGCTCTCTTTCTCTGTGTCACTCCCTCAGTGCACCTCAGATAAGCATTTTCTGCTGAAGCAGCACACTCTCTCACTCAGACGCCAGAAGAAAACCTTCAAGGTCTCCACCACTGTTTCAGGCACTAGAGAGGGCAGCCATATCGCTCAACTGAAGGACCCCTCTGCACAGCTTACAGGCGACGACAGCCCATCATAGAGATAGATGGAGGACTCTAGTGCCCAAAAGCCCGTTTTAGCATGGCCAGCGCCATTCAGGACTTTCACAATTTTTAAGTAGTCAACTGGGTGTTACTTTCTATGGGTTAAGGAAGGATCACATGATTCCATCCAGGTCATCAGGAGGGATCAGCCAAATAATTATACTTGTGAGGAAACATTCCATAACTGCAGGTAGCTGTAAATCGCCAACCCTGTCTTTATACCTGTTCAAACAACACACTCCAGGTGGCAGTATGCACCCTTTCAGTTTGTTAACCAACTCATAGAAGTAGTAGAAAAAGAAAATTAACTACTTCGAAATGGAGATGGCTTCAATGGTGCTGCCCATGCTCTCACAGACGCCATATTGGGACAGATACAATGTTGTGTTCTCTAACTATCTCTATGCAGCCCATAGAGTTAGAAATAGAGCCCACCCTCTATCTTTGCGCCAAATGCACCCTCTATCCAACTCTATGGAACATACATAGCCAAATGGCACCCTATTCCATATTTAGCTCACAAAAGTAGTAGTAGATGTGACCTTTGAGCTTTTTGTCACTCCCTAACATTCAGGGTTTATTGCTTTGGGCTGTACCTAAATGTCATATACAGTATTAAGAACAACAGGAGTAGAGCTACAGTACTAGTGTTAGTGTACTGATGTGTTTAGTGGCTATGATGCAGTTGTAGTTGTCTGCTAAATGGCTTATTATCATTGGGGATTCTGTTGCTATAGAGGCTGTACTTGTAAACAGTGTTAAGGATGAAGTTCTGCTAATGTGTACTGTTACAATACTGATGTGTTTAATGGTTTTAAATATAGATGTGAAAGTTCTTACTATGAAATAGATGTTGTTTCTGCAGCAGCTTGAGTCAAGTTGATATGTTTTTTTTTTTTTTTTTTTTTATCTAATACTGTTTTTAAATGTGAACTTCTATGAATGCAGTTATGAAATAGCTTTTTATTAAAACGTGATGTTGTAGTTTTCTCAACCCTGGTTCCTGGTGTCATTCATTCATTACTAAACCCTGTGAATTTAGTACGGTAAATTGTAGTAGGTTAGTATTCATAGTGTATGGTCCAGATGGCCAGTATAGTTGTAGTAGGTTAGTAGTCATAGTGTGTGGTCTAGAGGGCCAGTATAGTTGGAGTAGGTTAGTAGTCATAGTGTGTGGTCCAGATGGCCAGTATAGTTGTAGTAGGTTAGTAGTCATAGTGTGTGGTCTAGATGGCCAGTATAGTTGTAGTAGGTTAGTAGTCATAGTGTGTGGTCCAGATGGCCAGTATAGTTGGAGTAGGTTAGTAGTCATAGTGTGTGGTCCAGATGGCCAGTATAGTTGGAGTAGGTTAGTAGTCATAGTGTGTGGTCCAGATGGCCAGTATAGTTGGAGTAGGTTAGTAGTCATAGTGTGTGGTCTAGATGGCCAGTATAGTTGGAGTAGGTTAGTAGTCATAGTGTGTGGTCTAGATGGCCAGTATAGTTGGAGTAGGTTAGTAGTCATAGTGTGTGGTCCAGATGGCCAGTATAGTTGGAGTAGGTTAGTAGTCATAGTGTGTGGTCTAGATGGCCAGTATAGTTGGAGTAGGTTAGTAGTCATAGTGTGTGGTCTAGATGGGCAGTATAGTTGGAGTAGGTTAGTAGTCATAGTGTGTGGTCTAGATGGCCAGTATAGTTGGAGTAGGTTAGTAGTCATAGTGTGTGGTCCAGATGGCCAGTATAGTTGGAGTAGGTTAGTAGTCATAGTGTGTGGTCTAGATGGCCAGTATAGTTGGAGTAGGTTAGTAGTCATAGTGTGTGGTCCAGATGGCCAGTATAGTTGGAGTAGGTTAGTAGTCATAGTGTGTGGTCCAGATGGCCAGTATAGTTGTAGTAGGTTAGTAGTCATAGTGTGTGGTCCAGATGGTCAGTATAGTTGGAGTAGGTTAGTAGTCATAGTGTGTGGTCTAGATGGGCAGTATAGTTGGAGTAGGTTAGTAGTCATAGCGTGTGGTCTAGATGGGCAGTATAGTTGTAGTAGGTTAGTAGTCATAGTGTGTGGTCCAGATGGCCAGTATAGTTGGAGTAGGTTAGTAGTCATAGTGTGTGGTCCAGATGGCCAGTATAGTTGGAGTAGGTTAGTAGTCATAGTGTGTGGTCCAGATGGCCAGTATAGTTGGAGTAGGTTAGTAGTCATAGTGTGTGGTCTAGATGGCCAGTATAGTTGGAGTAGGTTAGTAGTCATAGTGTGTGGTCTAGATGGCCAGTATAGTTGGAGTAGGTTAGTAGTCATAGTGTGTGGTCCAGATGGCCAGTATAGTTGGAGTAGGTTAGTAGTCATAGTGTGTGGTCTAGATGGCCAGTATAGTTGGAGTAGGTTAGTAGTCATAGTGTGTGGTCCAGATGGCCAGTATAGTTGGAGTAGGTTAGTAGTCATAGTGTGTGGTCCAGATGGCCAGTATAGTTGTAGTAGGTTAGTAGTCATAGTGTGTGGTCCAGATGGTCAGTATAGTTGGAGTAGGTTAGTAGTCATAGTGTGTGGTCTAGATGGGCAGTATAGTTGGAGTAGGTTAGTAGTCATAGCGTGTGGTCTAGATGGGCAGTATAGTTGTAGTAGGTTAGTAGTCATAGTGTGTGGTCCAGATGGCCAGTATAGTTGGAGTAGGTTAGTAGTCATAGTGTGTGGTCCAGATGGCCAGTATAGTTGGAGTAGGTTAGTAGTCATAGTGTGTGGTCCAGATGGCCAGTATAGTTGGAGTAGGTTAGTAGTCATAGTGTGTGGTCTAGATGGCCAGTATAGTTGGAGTAGGTTAGTAGTCATAGTGTGTGGTCTAGATGGGCAGTATAGTTGGAGTAGGTTAGTAGTCATAGTGTGTGGTCTAGATGGCCAGTATAGTTGTAGTAGGTTAGTAGTCATAGTGTGTGGTCTAGATGGGCAGTATAGTTGGAGTAGGTTAGTAGTCATAGTGTGTGGTCTAGATGGGCAGTATAGTTGGAGTAGGTTAGTATTCATAGCGTGTGGTCCAGATGGCCAGTATAGTTGTAGTAGGTTAGTAGTCATAGTGTGTGGTCTAGATGGCCAGTATAGTTGTAGTAGGTTGGTAGTCATAGCGTGTGGTCTAGATGGCCAGTATAGTTGTAGTAGGTTAGTAGTCATAGCGTGTGGTCTAGATGGCCAGTATAGTTGTAGTAGGTTAGTAGTCATAGTGTGTGGTCTAGATGGGCAGTATAGTTGTAGTAGGTTAGTAGTCATAGTGTGTGGTCTAGATGGCCAGTATAGTTGTAGTAGGTTAGTAGTCATAGCGTGTGGTCTAGATGGGCAGTATAGTTTAAGCATTTTTTTTACGAGAGACGCACATACTCACGTTATCTTTCTCTAGCATGTGGTGGACCGTGCAAAAACCTTACACACACACACACACACACACACATACACACCCATGACACTTATACAGACAATATGCTATGGATGAAGACCGAACCTGGGTATGAAGAACAAACAAGAATTATGTTTATTGCCTGTTTTAGGTGAGTCAGTGAAACATTTTTATTTATTTTTTAAACAAAGTTATACCCTGGCCCCAGATCTGTTTGTGCTCTTGCCAACTCCATTGCTGTCATTGTCAAGCCAAACATGGCAATGCCATAGGGAGTTGGCAACAGAGCAGAAAAAGACTAGCACCCAGACTAAAATAGTAAAGTTGAGTAGTTGTGTGTGTCCTGTACTAATGTATTTCTACTGGTTTGTTCTCTTCCAGTTGTGGCCTGTCTGGTGTCCATAATGGGTATGTATTCAAATTGTTCCATATTTCTGTTTTCCAATTGCATTAAATTAAAAGTTGTATCTCAAATATTATTATTTTCACAGCCTATTACAGTGAGGAAAAAAAGTATTTAGTCAGCCACCAATTGTGCAAGTTCTCCCACTTAAAAACATGAGAGAGGCCTGTAATTTTCATCATAGGTACACGTCAACTATGACAGACAAAATGAGGAAAAAAAATCCAGAAAATCACATTGTAGGATTTTTTATGAATTTATTTGCAAATTATGGTGGAAAATAAGTATTTGGTCAATAACAAAAGTTTCTCAATACTTTGTTATATACCCTTTGTTGGCAATGACACAGGTCAAACGTTTTCTGTAAGTCTTCACAAGGTTTTCACACACTGTTGCTGGTATTTTGGCCCATTCCTCCATGCAGATCTCCTCTAGAGCAGTGATGTTTTGGGGCTGTCGCTGGGCAACACGGACTTTCAACTCCCTCCAAAGATTTTCTATGGGGTTGAGATCTGGAGACTGGCTAAGCCACTCCAGGACCTTGAAATGCTTCTTACGAAGCCACTCCTTCGTTGCCCGGGCAGTGTGTTTGGGATCATTGTCATGCTGAAAGACCCAGCCACGTTTCATCTTCAATGCCCTTGCTGATGGAAGGAGGTTTTCACTCAAAATCTCACAATACATGGCCCCATTCATTCTTTCCTTTACACGGATCAGTCGTCCTGGTCCCTTTGCAGAAAAACAGCCCCAAAGCATGTTGTTTCCACCCCCATGCTTCACAGTAGGTATGGTGTTCTTTGGATGCAACTCAGCATTCTTTGTCCTCCAAACAAGACGAGTTGAGTTTTTACCAAAAAGTTATATTTTGACCATATGACATTCTCCCAATCCTCTTCTGGATCATCCAAATGCACTCTAGCAAACTTCAGACGGGCCTGGACATGTACTGGCTTAAGCAGGGGGACACATCTGGCAATGCAGGATTTGAGTCCCTGGCGGCGTAGTGTGTTACTGATGGTAGGCTTTGTTACTTTGGTCCCAGCTCTCTGCAGGTCATTCACTAGGTCCCCCCGTGTGGTTCTGGGATTTTTGCTCACCGTTCTTGTGATCATTTTGACCCCACGGGGTGAGATCTTGCGTGGAGCCCCAGATCGAGGGAGATTATCAGTGGTCTTGTATGTCTTCCATTTCCTAATTATTGCTCCCACAGTTGATTTCTTCAAACCAAACTGCTTACCTATTGCAGATTCAGTCTTCCCAGCCTGGTGCAGGTCTACAATTTTGTTTCTGGTGTCCTTTGACAGCTCTTTGGTCTTGGCCATAGTGGAGTTTGGAGTGTGACTGTTTGAGGTTGTGGACAGGTGTCTTTTATACTGATAACAAGTTCAAACAGGTGCCATTAATACAGGTAATGAGTGGAGGACAGAGGAGTCTCTTAAATAAGAAGTTACAGGTCTGTGAGAGCCAGAAATCTTGCTTGTTTGTAGGTGACCAAATACTTATTTTCCACCATAATTTGCAAATAAATTCATTAAAAGTCCTACATTGTGATTTTCTGGAATTTTTTTCTCTCAATTTGTCTGTCATAGTTGACGTGTACCTATGATGAAAATTACAGGCCTCTCTCATCTTTTTAAGTGGGAGAACTTGCACAATTGGTGGCTGACTAAATACTTTTTTCCACCACTGTATATCACCAAATTGTTCAATGAGAAAATGTAAAATGAACTTGTGTGAGTTTTCACAGCCATACTAAGCTCTCCAACCGTTTGACAGCAACGTACTAAAGAACCAAAACAAATCTAAAACCACGTTTCTGAGCTCTGTGGCCCCCTCCCTAGCTCTGGGCTGAAGTTTCCTCTAGTTACAGATCTAGGATCTGCTTCCTCAACCATAACCTTAACCATTAGTGGGGGAAATGCTAAACTGACCCAAGATCTTGAGGCAACTTCACCCTACTCCCTCTCTGCAGGTGGTTCACCTCTCTCTAGCCCTATTCTGATTGGTCCAGACAAGGCCTACCTGAACTCCAAGGTAGTGTTCCAATGTAGGTCACCTGGGTCTCCTCCACCAATCACATACGAGCTCCTGAAGGACGGCAACCACCTGGTCGCCACGAGCAACGACCTCCAAGACGACCAATCGGCCACGTTCTCCCTGAAGATCTCTGTGACGTCAGAAGGATCGTACCACTGCAGGGTGACGGCAGGGGGAAACACGGGCCTCAGTGGAACGGTCCTCCTGCAAGTAGTGAGTGAGTAGGAGGGTGTGTGTGTGTGTGTGTGTGTGTTAACTAGACTTGTGTGTGTGCTTACAAGTAAGTGGTAGAGTTGTTTCAGTGGAATAGATCATTTCACAACTAAATGCTTTCATCCATCCCCTTCCTCCATCCACCTCTCCTCCATTCTCCTCTCCTCCATCCTCCCCTCATCCATCCTCCATCCATAACTCCTTCACCATCCCCTCTCCTCCATCACCTTCTCCTCCACCCCTCCCCCACCCCACCTCAGTCCCCGTCTCAGGCACCATGGTGACCTCTGACCCTGATCCCCCCATTCTCTATGAGGGGTCACGGCTCGTCCTCAGCTGTGATGTCACCAGGGGCTCCCACCTCTCCTACACCTGGTTCTACAACAGACAGGAAGTGACATCATCTCCAACCTCACCTTTGACCCCGCTTCTGCTCTGGCCGGTGGGTAACACGCTGGTGGTGGAGAGGGTCACAGCAAAGCATGCTGGGAATTATTCGTGCATGGCCGGGACCAGGATAAAGACCAACAGCAGGTTCTCCAGCAGCGGAGAGGTCACGGTCAGGGTCAAAGGTACAACTGCAGAGGTTAAAGGTCAAAGGTTAAGCTTCAACCACAACCAAACTGGACCTGGGGAATGGAGATCACAGAGAATATTTACACAGATAACGTATAAAATGTTAACTGTGTCAAATGTTTTCCTTTCCTTTTCTCGCCCTCGTTTCTCTCTCTCTCTCTCTTCCTCTCTCTCTCTCCCTTTCTCTCTCTCCCCCTTTCTCTTTCACTCTTTATCTCTCTCTCGATCTCTCTCTCTCTCTCGCTCTTTATCTCTCTCTCGATCTCTCTCTCCCTCTCTCTCTCTCGCTCTTTATCTCTATCTCTCGATCTCTCCCTCTCTCTCTCTCCCTCTCTCTCTCTCTCTCTCTCTCTCTCTCTCTCTCTCTCTCTCTCTCTTTATCTCTCTCTCTCCCTCAGCCTACCTCTCCGTACCCCAAATATCCTTCACCATCTCCAAAGAGGGTTCGAGTTACCTTGGCAATGTGACCTGCAGGTCATCAAGGGGAACCCCTCCCGTGACCTTCTACTTCTTCCTTGATGACAAGGAGATGGGTTCCGACGTGGCAATGGAGTCGCTGGTTGCCTGGTTCCCCGTTGCCATCGTTCCCGGGCGTGACATGGGCGTGGTGCAGTGTAGAGTGGAGAGTGATGCACAGAGACTGACCAGCAAACCTCTGACTCTGGAAGTGGGTACGGGCCAAACCTACGTGTGTGTGTGTTGTAGTATATGTCATGATAGCTGTATGAGTGTTGTCTGTGGCCATCCATCCCTCTCTCTCCCCCCTTCCCAGCCCTTCCTCCTTCTCCTCCCTCCCTCCCTCCCTCTCTTTCTCTCTCCCCCCTTTACATCCCTCCCTCCCTCCCTCTCTCTCCCCCCTTCCCAGCCCTTCCTCCTTTGCATCCCTCCCTCCCTCCCTCTCTCTCCCCCCTTCCCAGCCCTTCCTCCTTCTCATCCCTCCCTCTCTCCCTCCCTCCAGTCCCAGTAGGAGGCTCACCGAAGGTGGATGTGGAGTACCTCTACAGGGCTGATTCCAAGATGGCCGCCGCTCGTCTCCAATGCCTCCTGAGCCTCGGGACCTTCCCCTTCTTCTCCTGGTCCCTCAACGGCTCCATCCTCCTTCACCCCTCCGAGGGAGTCTCCTCTCACCCCTCTCACGCCCTGGCAGACGGAGGGCGCACCCTCCTCCTCACCGAGATCACCCTAGAGGACACTGGGTATTATCGGTGCAGGGCGAGGAACAGTTATGACGTAACGTCCGCCTGGGTGGAAAGCGAACCTGTCCTTGTGCAGGTCACAGGTGAGTTAGGATGTGTCCCCAAATGAGTGAGAATTAGTCACCCATAGGCCATAGTCAAAAGTAGTGCACCAAATAGCGAATAGGGTTCCATTTGGGAAGCACCCTTAATTATAACTATTTATTTAACTGTATTAACTTGATGGATGTTGGCTAGTTTCATTGACAGGTGAGTTACGTTGAAACATTACAGGTGTGTTGGTTGTGGTGACCTCTCTCTCCCCTCTCATCTCTGTCCATGCAGAAGTTTCCATGACAACCATAGAGGTCATCGCCATAGTGTTTTGCTGTTTCCTCATGCTGACCCTGGCCGGGGGCGTGGCCTGTGTGATGAGGATGCTCAACCGCCAACGAGGTGTGTGTGTGTTCAGAATATGGTCATTGCTCTTAAATGTGTCACTTACAGTCTTTCGTTCTCTCTCTCTCTCTCTCTCTCTCTCTCTCTCTCTCTCTCTCTCTCTCTCTCTCTTCCTCCACCGCTCTCTCAGGCATTGTTGCAAGCAGCGAGCAGAGAGGGAGAGAGAGAGCGGCAAAGTGAGTCCTGTATTTCTTTAAGTCTATTGTAGCCTACAGTGTTTTGAAACTAACTATGTTCCCTTCCAAAACCTCCCTGTACTGTCTCAGATTAGTGTCACTGCCCTTACAAACACCTCTCACTCTCTCTCTCTCTTTCTCTCTCCCTTTCTCTCTCGCTCTTTATCTCTCTCTCGATCTCTCTCTCCCTCTCTCTCTCTCTCTCTCTCTCTCTCTCTCTCTCTCTCTCTCGCTCTTTATCACTCTCTCGATCTCTCTCTCTCTCTCTCTCTCTCTCTCTCTCTCGCTCTTTATCTCTCTCTCGATCTCTCCCTCTCTCTCTCTCCCTCTCTCTCTCTCTCTCTCTGTCTGTCTGTCTGTCTGTCTGTCTCCCCCTTCAGTGAAAGACGATTCAGCGAACATTTCTGCATCATCCCAGATCCACTTCCACTGACTGACATCACTACCAGGTCAGGGGTCAAGCAAGTGGACACTTCCTGTGTTGACAGCGATGTCATATCCTGTGTTGACAGTGATGTTGAGATTCAGGTAGAGTTGATGCCGCGTTCAAAACAACTGGGAGCTCAGAAGAAAACGAGCTCCGACTGGGAAAAGTCTATTTGAAAGGTCATCCAGCTCGAAATTCCAACTAGGGAACTCTGGCCTCTTTCTAGAGCTCCGACTTTCCGACCTGAAGATCACTGATGTCATGATTTGACCTCGTATTTTTCGGAGTTCCCAGTTGTTTTGAATGCAGCAATAGTACAGCCAATATACTACTGATATCAGGTGCATGATTTTGAATCCAGACTCTAGTCGAAAAATGAGATTTAATGACAAATGAATAAAACTCTTATAAAAATCACTTTTTTGTGATTTATATTTTGGGAAAATACAACTTTTTATCATAACTGTTCTTTCTCTTTTCAGACCCTTGAGATCACAATATAACTGACGTGATGAAATAAAACCCAACTTTAGACCAACCAGTTCCTCACAAAATAATCCTTCAATGTAATTTTATCCAACAAACTATAAAAGTTTTTTTCAATAATTTCAGCCCATTTTTCAGATTGACGTGTTATATTTTCAAAACTCAAAACTCACAACACTTGTAATGTCTTATGTTCAGAACCTTTGATTTAACATTAATCGTTGCTGAACAAGTTTCCACACTGGAGTGTTTGACACATTGCTGCGTGCCGCTGTGTTTTCGGAATACACCTTTTATTCTGTGATTTACCCTCCTGCGCCTGACTCCTTCAAAATCACTCACCACATCATCAGAAATAGGGGTATTGTGGGAGTATTGTAGCGCAGTAGGCTACAGTAAAAACGTACTGGTGTAGCATGGTGTGCCATTTCTACCCCCTGATACATTGTTCAAGAACACCTTTTCTGTGTGACTTGTCAACTGATACAGTACTGCCTGTCTCTCTGCTTGAAATTCATCCATTTACAGTGTATCAATGAAATTCAGATAATGAGTGGAATATATTGTTATATACAACTCAGGTATAAATATATTGTTATATACAACTCAGGGATAAATATATTGTTATATACAACTCAGGGATCAATATATTGTTATATACAACTCAGGTATAAATATATTGTTATATACAACTCAGGGATAAATATATTGTTATATACAACTCAGGGATAAATATATTGTTATATACAACTCAGGGATCAATATATTGTTATAAACAACTCAGGTATAAATATATTGTTATATACAACTCAGGTATAAATATATTGTTATAAACAACTCAGGTATAAATATATTGTTATATACAACTCAGGTATAAATATATTGTTATATACAACTCAGGTATAAATATATTGTTATATACAACTCAGGTATAAATATATTGTATATACAACTCAGGTATAAACTATATTGTTATATACAAACTCAGGTATAAATATATTGTTATATACAACTCAGGTATAAATATATTGTTATATACAACTCAGGTATAAATATATTGTTATATACAACTCAGGTATAAATATATTGTATATACAACTCAGGTATAAATATATTGTTATATACAACTCAGGTATAAATATATTGTTATATACAACTCAGGTATAAATATATTGTTATATACAACTCAGGTATAAATATATTGTTATATACAACTCAGGTATAAATATATTGTTATATACAACTCAGGTATAAATATATTGTTATATACAACTCAGGTATAAATATATTGTTATATACAACTCAGGTATAAATATATGTTATATACAACTCAGGTATAAATATATTGTTATATACAACTCAGGTATAAATATATTGTTATATACAACTCAGGTATAAATATATTGTTATATACAACTCAGGTATAAATATATTGTTATATACAACTCAGGTATAAATATATTGTTATATACAACTCAGGTATAAATATATTGTTATATACAACTCAGGTATAAATATATTGTTATATACAACTCAGGTATAAATATATTGTTATATACAACTCAGGTATAATATTATAAATGTTAATATTTATACAACTCAGGTATAAATATATTGTTATATACAACTCAGGTATATATATATTGTTATATCCAACCCAGGTATTTCAGCAGTGCATTGTACACCACACTATAATTCCAAATGGTAGCACATAGAGTGACTTTCCACTTTGTCCTATTGAAGCACACTGGCTGATGGAGAATGATGGATGTAGTATTTACAGCCACATCCATATATTATTGGATTTTACCTTCCAACATAAATTGATGTCAACTGAAACATTTATGTACATTCATTTTACAGTGTTCAGCAGTTATGAAACTATATAGGTAAACTAAGCACTATACCATTTTGGTTCAGTAGTTATCCGTTTTGAGCAGTTTGAATAAATGATAGTTCAATGTATTGTTAACAAATTACATGAAAATCATATCAAAAGTAAAGTGAATATTGCATTTTGAAAGCCAGATACTTAGATTGAATATGTATGCAGACTGATAGAACAATTTGGTGCAGTGAACAAGTAACTTGGTGAATTTGTTTGTTGTGCTCAGTCAATTGAAAATGTGTTTAGAGTTTTGACACGTGACATTTTGATTAGCTGTTTTGAGTTTTGTACTAAGAGTTGTGAAAATTTACCACATACTCGTGAAAATTGCACCAAAGTGAATGAAAAAAATTGTATATTGTCTTTTCAAATGTATTATGATACCATGTTTATGACTTTTTAAGGAAGAATTGTTGTCAATACTGTAACAATAAAATGTTTAATGCTACATCTCGTGTGTGTTAATAAAGTTGGGACATGTTATGATTTCGTGGAACTGCAGTTAGAGAGGGAGGGGGGCGTATACCGCTATCAGTTCTGTGCACATGTCAATGTGTGTGTGTGTCTGGTGTGTGTGTGTGAAGTGGGCGGGCGTGCAGGTTAGTAAGTCCTAACCTTTTTTCAGTTATTCGTATCGGTCCCCACACCCTGCTCTCTCTCTCTCTCTCTCTCTCTCTCTCTCTCTCTCTCTCTCTCTCTCTCTCTCTCTCTCTCTCTCTCTCTCTCTCTCCTCTCTCTCTCTCTCTCTCTCTCTTTCGATCTCTCTGTATCCACCATTCATTCACTCCCACCACCCCCCATAACCACTTTAACTACAGCACACACACAACAAATGTAAACACATTCAAACCTTTACACACACACACACACACATGAATGCAAGTCCATAGCTGCTTCTTCAGTCAAAAACAAACTTCCATTTCCAGTCTGATGTTTTCTGGATAAGAAGGAGAGAAGATGACTACTTTCAGAACAACAGTAGTAGTTTTACTGGGTGAGTTGTACAGTACTTGTTATCATGTCTTTCAGATGATTATTGAATAGAATACCAACAGCTTGTCTTCTTTGTCTTCTTCTCTGAAGGTTTCTACACCTTGTGCCAGGAGACAAGTAAGTTTAGTGCCATTGTCGTAGTTGTGTGTGTGTGTGTGAGTGTGTCTGACTGTGTTGTGTACCTCCTCCCCGTCCCAGGAGCCTCAGTCCTTGGCAGACCGTTGCTGTACGGCCCCTCAACAGCCCTAGAGAAGACTGTAGAAGAATTCCGGTGTGAAGTGCTGCATTACCCTAAAGAAGAGGCCATCCTCTACCAGCTATTCAGGTGGGAGTTGCTGTATTGTAGCGAATTCAAGAGGTTAGCCCTGACCGAGACTCAAACCCGGGTCCAGCGCCTGTCAACCCAGAACCGTAGTCGTTACGCCACGAGATCCGATTGCGAACCGCTTGACGAGGTTGCTAGGTGTTTGGTTAAGATCGCTACAATATCTACCCTAAGCCCCTAACTACTGGAGATCTGAAAGGAGGTGTTGTCAATATGAATATATCAGAAGGCAAGATGAAGCTAAACAATCCACTGCAGTGCCTAGGGGGGTAGGGTTCTAGGGGTCAATTTGAAACTCACATGAGACAAGACCTTAAAGATGCACTATGCAGAAATCGCTCCGCCATTTCCTGGTTGTTAAAATTCTAATAGTTCACCTAATTTCAGTTTATGTGACAAAACAAGCATGTATAGTGTAGAGAATCATTGTATTTGTATTCGTATTTATTATGGTTCCCCATTACTCTTCCTGGGGTCCAGCAAAATGAAGGCAGTTATACAATTTTAAAAACATTACAATACATTCACAACACACTGTGTGCCCTCAGGCCCCTACTTCACCACTACCACATATCAACAATACAAAATCCATGTGTACGTGTGTGTATAGTGCGTATGTTATCGTGTGTGTGTATGCATGTGTCTGTGCCTATGTTTGTGTTGCTTCACAGTCCCCGCTATTCCATAATGTGTATTTTTTAGGGCTGTCAAAAATAGCGCGTTAACGACGTTAATTAGTTGTTTGCTGTTAATTACGTCAATTTTTTTAACGCATTTCACGCATGCGCAGTGTGACAAATTATTCAGGTCAGGAAAGTGGTTGGGAGCTAGAGGCGAGATGGAGCAAGGTGAGCCTATTGACGGATTCAAATATAAAAAGAATGATGATGGTACAGTTAACAAGTACAAGGTTATTTGCAAGATTTGTAAGAAGGAGTTTCAATTTCACCGGAGCTGTTCAAGCTTGAAGTACCATGTCAACGCCAAACATGCGTTTGCTGGGCCGTCAGATTCAGCAAGTGGTTTGCGCCAGACCACGCTGAATGTTTGCAGGCAATTAACAAAATCAACCTCAGATAATTTGACCAACACAATAGCAAAATGGATTGCAAAGGATTGTAGACCCATTAGCATTGTAGAAGACTCAGGTTTCCTTGATGTTTTGCAAGTGGCGTCTCAAGACTCATTCTATAAGCCACCGTCAAGAGCCACAGTTATGAAGAAAATCCACGAGTTCTATGAAAACGAAAAAGAAAAAAGGAAAGAGGTCTTGGCTCAAGTAAATCATATCGCCCTGACAGGAGACCATTGGACATCAGTGAGTAACAACAATTACCTCGGAGTAACTGCACATTTAATCAGTGACACGTGGGAACTGAAGTCTTTTGCGCTGACTATATTAAAAACTGAGGAGCGTCATTTTGCGGAGGCTTGTAAAGAACAGTTCCTGTCTGTTGCACGTGAGTGGGACATCGTATGCATTTCAGAAAAAAAATGGTTAGGATTCAGGTGTAATTGCAAATAGTGATTAATCATGATTAATCCACAGAAAATTCTGATTAATTTGATTAAAAATTTTAATCATTTGACAGCCCTAGTATTTTTATCTGTTTTTTTAAATCTAATTTTACTGCTTGCATCAGTTACTTGATGTGGAATAGAGTTCCATGTAGTCATGGCTGTATGTAGTAATGTGCGCCTCCCAAAGTCTGTTCTGGACTTGGGGACTGTGAAGAGACCTCTGGTGGCATGTCTTGTGGGGTATGCATGGGTGTCCGAGCTGTGCACCAGTAGTTCAAACAGACAGCTCAGTGCATTCAACATGTCAATACCTCTCAGAAATACATAAATGAGCCAGGAGAGATTGACATGTACAGTCGTGGTCAAAAGTTTTGAGAATGACACAAGTATTGGTCTTCACAAAGTTCGCTGCTTCAGTGTTATGAGATATTTTTGTCAGATGTTACTATGGTATACTGAAGTATAATTACAAGCATTCCATAAGTGTCAAAGGGTTTTATTGACAATTACATTAAGTTTATGCAAAGAGTCAATATTTGCAGTGTTGACCCCTCTTTTTCAAGACCTCTGCAATCCGCCCTGGCATGCTGTCAATTAACTTCTGGGCCACATCCTGACTGATGGCAGCCCATTCTTGCATAATCAATGCTTAGAGTTTGTCAGAATTTGTGGGTTTTTGTTTGTCCACCCGGCTCTTGAGGATCGACCACAAGTTCTCAATGGGATTAAGGTCTGGGGAGTTTCCTGGCCATGGACCCAAAATGTCGATGTTTTGTTCCCCGAGCCACTTAGTTATCACTTTTGCCTTATGGCAAGGTGCTCCATCATGCTGTAAAAGGCATTGGTCGTCACCAAACTGTTCTTGGATGGTTGGGAGAAGTTGCTCTCAGAGGATGTGTTGGTACCATTCTTTATTCATGGCTGTGTTCTTAGGCAAAATTGTGAGTGAGCCCACTCCCTTGGCTGAGAAGCAACCCCACACATGAATGGTCTCAGGATGCTTTACTGTTGGCATGACACAGGACTAATGGTAGCGCTCACCTTGTCTTCTCTGGACAAGGTGTTTTATGGATACCCCAAACAATCGGAAAGGGGATTTATCAGAGAAAATGACTTTACCCCAGTCCTCAGCAGTCCAATCCCTGTACCTTTTACAGAATATCAGTCTGTCCCTGATGTTTTTCCTGGAGAGAAATGGCTTCTTTGCTGCCCTTCTTGACACCAGGCCATCCTCCAAAAGTCTTCGCCTCACTGTGCGTGCAGATGCACTCACACCTGCCTGCTGCCATTCCTGAGCAAGCTCTGCACTGGTGGTGCCCCGATCCCGCAGCTGAATCAACTTTAGGAGATGGTCCTGGCACTTGCTGGACTTTCTTGGGCGCCCTGACGCCTTCTTCACAACAATTGAACCTCTCTCCTTGAAGTTCTTGATGATCCGATAAATGGTTGATTTAGGTGCAATCTTACTAGCAGCAATATCCTTGCCTGTGAAGCCCTTTTTGTGCAAAGCAATGATGACGGCATGTGTTTCCTGGCAGGTAACCATGGTTAACAGAGGAAGAATAATGATTTCAAGCATCACCCTCCTTTTAAAGCTTCCAGTCTGTTATTCTAACTCAATCAGCATGACAGAGTGATCTCCAGCCTTATCCTCGTCAACACTCTCACCTGTGTTAACGAGAGAATCACTGACATGATGGCAGCTGGTCCTTTTGTGGCAGGGCTGAAATGCAGTGGAAATGTTTATTTGGGATTAAGTTCATTTTCATGGCAAAGAGGGACTTTGCAATTAATTGCAATTCATCTGATCACTCTTCATGACATTCTGGAGTATATGCAAATTGCCATCATCAAAACTGAGGCAGCAGACTTTGTGAAAATTAGTATTTGTGTCATTCTCAAAACTTTTGACCACGACTGTATATTATTAATGCTAGATCTCTGTGTACATCCAAGGGCCAGCTGTGCTGCCCTGTTCTGAGACAATTGTAATTTTCCTAAGTCCCTTTTTGAGGCACCTGACCACACGAGTCCAGGTGCGACAAAACTAGGGCCTGTAGGACCTGCCTTGTTGATAGTGCTGTTAAGAAGGTAGAGTAGCGCTTTATTATGGACAGACTTCTCCCCATCTTAGCTACTGTTGTATCAATATGTTTTGACCATGACAGTTTACAATCCAGGATTACTCCAAGCAGTTTAGTCACCTCAACTTGCTCAATTTCCACATTATTTTTTACAAGATTTAGTTGAGGTTTAGGGTTTAGTGAATGATTTGTCCCAAATACAATGCTTTTAGTTTTAGAAATATTTAGGACTAACTTATTCCTTGCCACCCACTCTGAAACTAACTGCAGCTCTTTGTTAAGTGTTGCAGTCATTTCAGTCGCTGTAGTAGCTGACGTGTATAGCCAGTGGCATGTTGTTAGTATGAAAATGTATGCACTCACTAACTGTAAGTCACTCTGGATAAGAGTGTCTGCTAAAATGACTAAAATGTAATATGTTAGTAAAGATTGAAAAAAGTAAGGGGCCAAGACAGCTGCCCTGGGGAGTTCCTGACTCTACCTGGATTATGTTGGAGAGGCTTCCATTAAAGAACACCCTCTGAGTTCTGTTAGACAGGTAACTCTTTATCCACAATATAGCAGGGGGTGTAAAGCCATAACAAATACGTTTTTGCAGCAGCAGACTATGATCGATACATTTCAAAAGCCGCACTGAAGTCTAACAAAACAGCCCCAACAATATTTCTATCATGAATTTCTCTAAACTGCTGTGAAATATATTTTCCATAACCAAAAATATTGTATTTTCAGCTGTTTGAAACTGGTGTACAAAACCGAAAGTAAAAGATGCAAAAACAAAACTTAAGAACGGGAAGCATAGAAATAGTGAACATAGCACAGATCTACCGCTTCTGAGACATTTCTATGTGAATTTGGTCGGGTCGCCCAAAAAGTTACATGTTGCAGCTTTAAGGTTCTACAGAGCCCTGTCAATGTAATGCCATGTAAAGAACACAATAAATTATTAATGTTATGTATCCACTCAATTACTGTAATCTGTCCTCAGGGAAGGTGACCGGTCCAAGACCTTAGCGTTCCACAGTGCTCTGTCTGGTGAGATGGCCAATTTCCCTCTGTTCATCACTGCTTCCTACGAGGGCTACCTGGTGTGTGTGGCCAGCGTCCAGAACAACACAGCAATACAACCCACCGTCAGCCAAAGACACTACCTCAGAGTAGTCGGTGAGTCGTAGGTCCTGTATAAATACTTTGTTTTGTCCTCATAGAACTAAAATGTCCTCATAGAACTAGAATGTCCTCACATAACTAGAATACTTAGAACATAGAACATAGAACTAGATAATGTCCACTGTCAGCAGCAGACACTTCCTCAGAGTGGTCAGTGAGTTACGTCATGAAGAGGTTGAGAAACTAACAATTTGTATGGTTTCCTGCTTGTTTGTGGCCTCTGTCCTCTAGAACTAGAATGTCCACATAGAACTATAATGTCCTGATATAACTATAATGTCCTCATAGAACTACAATGTCGTCATAGAACTAGAATGTCCTCATAGAACTAGACTAGAATGTCTTATAGAACTATAATGTCCTTATAGAACTACCATGTCCTCATAGAACTACAATATCCACATAAACTAGAATGTCCTGATAGAGCTATAATGTCATCATAGAACTACAATGTCTTCATAGAACTAGAATGTCCTCGTAGAACTACAATTTCTTCATAGAACTAGAATGTCCTCAAAGAACTAGAATGTCCTCATAGAACTAGACTAGAATGTCTTTATAGAACTAGAATGTCCTCAAAGAATTAGAATGTCCTCATAGAACTAGACTAGAATGTCTTTATAGAACAATAATGTCTTCATAGAACTAGAATGTCCTAATAGAATTAAAACGTCTTCATAGAACTAGAATGTCCTCATAGAATTTGAATGTATTTATACAAACTACAATGTCTTCCTAGAATTAGAACACAACATTATGGTTCTGTGTGTTCTCCCACAGTACCAGTGAATGGTGCGGAGGTTGTAGTCCAGTCAGGGTCTGTGGAGTTCTACGAAGGGAAGCCGCTGTCTCTACGCTGTAACATCACCAAAGGGAACCATGTCTCCTACCATTGGCTGGTGGATGGGAAGCCCCTCCCCCTGTCTCCTTTACACTATCAGGCACAGGAACAACTCTTCTTCTACAGGTACTGTATTGTGGATGGTCTGTTATCACTGGGCTGTCTGGTCTCTATATGTCTGTCTTGTGTTTGTCTTGAAGAGGTTCACTTTTGCACACCTGAAGAGGCATCTTAGATCATTGGTGCATTGGATATGCAAAAACTGACGAGAACTGATACACACTGTGAATACATTCAGATTAAACATTCATTGACAAATACATAATTCCAGTCACATAGACCTTCGTCAAGGTTTTATTATTTAGCTTCTTGAAAATATGTGAAATCTCACTGGAAATATTGTTGACAATATCTGTATTTGTATGCACTACTACAGGATGATTCCCCAGGACAGTGGGGTGTACACCTGTGTTGCTACCAACCAACTCAACCTTACCAATGTCTACTCCTCCAGGAGCATCGCCCAGGTCATCAAGGTCAAAGGTCAGAGGTCTGGGGTAATTTGTGTCACATAATTATGGTGTAGGGTGAAGTTGCCCCTAGACACTGATCTTGAGTCAGTTTAGCATTTTCCCCACTAATGGTTAAGGTTAGGCTTGGGAGAGGAGAAGCTGATCCTAGATCTGTACCTAGGGGAAACTCATAGAGATAGGGGACTAGTGCCCAAAAGCCTTGTTTAGTATGGGCAGCAACATAGAGGAATTTCACCATAATTCCATCCAGGTCATCAGCCAATGAATGATGCTCGTGAGCAAACATTCCATAACTGCAGCTGACAGTAAATCCGCAACCTTGGCTTTTTTATTTAATTTAACTAGGCAAGTCAGTTAAGAACAAATTCTTATTTACAATGACGGCCTACCCCGACGGGACTCCCAATCAAGGCCGGATTGTATCTGGAATCTAACCAGGGTCTGTAGTGAGATGCAGTGCCTTAGACCGCTGCGCCACTCGGGATCCCGCTTTATACCTGTTCAAACAACACACTCCAGGTGGCAGTATGCAACCTTTCAGTTTGTTTACCAACACACAGAAGTAGTAGAAGAAGAAAATGGACTACTTCAATATGGAGATGGCATCTATGGCGCTGCCCGTGCGCTCACAGATGCCATAATGGGACCGGTACAAAGAAGAGTCCTCTATCATTCTTTATGGTTCCCAACCTTTTCGGTGACTGTACCACCAACTGAATTTTGCTCGGCCCGGAGTACCCCTCATGTGCATTTTACCAGTAGGCCTATGGTCTCATGAGTCTTCTCAAGTACTCCCTGTGAATAGGCCAAGTACCCCTAGGTGTCCTAGTACCCCAGGTTGGGAACCACTGCTCTATGGGGACACTTCACCCCGGAGCTAGAATTAGGGTGGCTTGGGGTTAAATGGCCCCCAGGGTTAAACACAATTCCCTCCTGTAATTCTCACAGAAACCACTTTATGTCACCAACACTTTCCCTGGATGCCACTAGTCTTTCCCTGGATGCCACTAGTCTTTCCCTGGATGTCACTAGTCTTTCCCTGGATGTCACTTGTCTTTCCCTGGGTGCCACTAGTCTTTCCCTGGATGTCACTAGTCTTTCCCTGGATGTCACTAGTCTTTCCCTGGATGTCACTAGTCTTTCCCTGGATGTCACTAGTCTTTCCCTGGATGCCACTAGTCTTGCTCAACTAAAAATGTCATCCGTCTCATCACAACTTTTTAAGTCAATCCAACAAAAACGATTTTGAGGTACATTGATCTAATATTTTTCTCATTTAGAAAAAGTTACATATTAAATCTGATGAAGTTTGATCTATAAACGTTCTATATATACACTGAGCGTACAAAACACTAGGAACACCTGCTCTTTCCATGAAATAAGTTGTACATTTTCCTGTGTGGCTAAGTTGGTAGAGCTTGGCGCTTGCAACGCCAGGGTTGTCGGTTTGATTCCCAAGGGGGACCAGTACAAAAAAGGATGCACTCACTATAGTAAGTTGCTCTGGATAAGAGCGTCCGCTAAATGACTAAAAATGTCAACGTAGACCGGGTCACCAGGTGATTCCAGGTGAAAGCTATGATCCCTTATTGATGTCACCTGTTAAATCCACTTCAACCAGTGTAGTTGAAGGGGAGGAGACGGGTTAAACACCCCCTTTCTAAAGTTTCTGTTTTTATTGAAGAACACAGACGTGTTCTTCAATAAATGTGTTTGCCTAAGTATAGAGACAGTGTGTTGGGCCAGTAACCGAAAGGTCGCTGGTTTGAATATCTGAGCCGACTAGGTGAAAAATCTGTCTGTGCCCTTGAGCAAGGCACTTACCATAACTGCTCCTATAAGTTGCTCTGGATGAGAGTGTCTGCTAAATGTAAAATGTTAACCAGTATGCACATATATCTAAGTCTTACCAAACTTTGCTTTTTTCAGTCAGAAAAGAGACATTTCCCTTAAGGGGGGCGTTTTCCACAAAGTTACCCTATCTCTCGTATATAGGGCAGGAGTTTTCCCTGGTCAGGTCCCGCGGTCAGCAAAACCTCACCCTGCGTATTTCTCAAAGCTCCTGACAGCTAAAATAATTTCTGTCATAAGTCTGTCAGTGGGTTGTATTCAATCAAACCCTGTATTCAGATGATATCTTGTTCAAAACTCTCTCTCTCCATCCATCCTCTCCTCTCTTTCAGAGCTCGTGTCTGAACCAGACCTCTTCTTCTCGGTACTGAAGGAAGGAGACGGAACCTACTTTGCCCTCGTCACCTGTCAATCACCTAAGGGGACTCCGCCCATCACCTTCTCCCTCTACAACAGGTCAGAGTTCGTCACCACGGAGACAGTTGACGAGCGATTTGCCATGTTCACTATTCCAGTGGTTCTAGATCTCCACATGGGCTTTCTACAGTGTCAGGCGGAGAATGGAGACCGGGTGGTGTACAGTCAGTTGACGGCCATGCACATTGGTAGGTCTGTCTGTCTGTCTGTCTGTCTCTCTGTCTGTCTCTTTTTCCGACAGTCTGTTTCAAGAAAGGATTTGACCTGTAGTTCTGTTCTCAGCACTCAAGACCCACTACAAAGCATTATAAGGACTTCTCAATTCTCATACATTTTAAATCATAATTTCATGTTTGCGTCCCAAATGGCACCCTATTCCCTACATAGTGCACAAATTTTGCTCTGGTCAAAAGTAGTACACTATGTGGGGAACAGGGTGCCATTTGGAACGCTGCTATATCTACCCCCACCCCATCCCAGTTCCAGTAGGTGGCGCTGTGACGATGCACTACGACACCGACGTGGGAGAGAACTTCTCCATTGTGGGCCTGAGGTTTTACTGTTCTGTGGAGAGGGGAACCTTGCCCTGGTACCGCTGGTTCCTCAACGGAACTGTTCTAGAAGGCCGTGGAGACTTCTACTGGGTTGAGAACCAGCCGGAGCAATCCATTTTGTTGTTGTCTGTGGGGTGGAGCAGTGCTGGAACGTACCATTGTGAGGTGACCGACAGCTTTAATGGCACTACGGTGATCAGCAGTGAGGAGAGGTACATCGATAGAGAAGGTTTGGTCTGAGATGAATCTTTTCTTTTTTCTTAAATATATTTGTTTGTATTTTTATTGGCTAGAGAGAGATTGCTGAAAGAGCAGTGGGCTGGATTCCAACCCATGCTGGCAGCGGTACATTTTACAAAGTGTGTGTGTGTGTGGGTGTGTGTGTGTGTGTGTGTGTGTGCGTGTGTGTGTGTGTGTGTGTGTGTGTGTGTGTGTGTCTGTGTGTCTGTGTGTCTGTCTGTCACAGAGACATGGCTCTACAAAAGGTTAATGGTTGTTTGTAATTCAATCAAAGCCTGTATTCAGATGTTTGAAGTTGTTTTTGTTTGTTTACCTCTTCTTCTTCCTCTGCCAGTGTTGAACCACCTCCCTACCGCGGTGGTGGCTGTTGTGTTTGGCTGTTTCCTCTTCCTGGTTACCTTGGTGACCACCTGTTGTTTCATTGGACTGCTGTACCGTGAGTTTACACTGTTTTCTTTTTCTCCTCTCTCTTTTGTCTCTCTCACTCCTCTCTCTCTTTTCAGTTTGTCTCTCTGTCTCTGTCGCTCCTCTCTCTTTTCAGTTTGTCTCTCTGTCTCTCTCGCTCCTCTCTCTCTTTTCAGTTTGTCTCTCTGTCTCTCTCGCTCCTCTCTCTCTTTTCAGTTTGTCTCTGTCTCTGTCGCTCCTCTGTCGTTTCAGTTTGTCTCTCTGTCTGTCTCTGTCGCTCCTCTGTCTTTTCAGTTTGTCTCTCTGTCTGTCTCTGTCGCTCCTCTGTCTTTTCAGTTTGTCTCTCTGTCTGTCTCTGTCCTCTGTCTCTCCCCCTCTCTCTTTTTTACTCCACTCAAATTAATATCTTAACCCTAACCCTGTTGCCTGTTTTTCCCACAGGGAAAATACAGTATTATGTCGAAAAGTCTACGTAAGTAAATTTACTTCCCATAACAATCTCAGCCCTGAGATCTCACCTGTTTAACCAGGTGTATTTCCAACCACTACAGTGGACAGATATTCATCCCCGTATTCCTCCATCTCTCACAGGTTGGATCTCAGGTTGGGTCTGGAGATGCACAACATAATGGTGTCTGGTGATGATGAAGAGTTCCTGGGTCGCTGCATTATGGTGGCCGAGGGTGATAACGAAGTGGTAGGTGTGTGTGTGTGTGTGCGCGCGCGCGAGTGTGTGTGTGTGTGTGTGTGTGTGTGTGTGTGTGTGTGTGTGTGTGTGTGGAAAGATAATAAATACATACTTCACATTCAAGTTAATTTCAAACTTCCCCACAGAGTGTAAAATATTCCCCTTCTCTCCCCATGAAGGATGAAGATGAATACATGGAGGATGAGGGAGTGGTGAGAGCAGCCAGAATCGTTGACTCAGATCAGGTAATGTAGCCTAGATCAATGAACCAATCAATTAATGAATCAACTGACCGATCAATCAACCAATCAATCCATTCATCCGTCCATCCACCATGAATCAGTTAACCAATTAATCAATCAACCAATCAATCAGACTGATGTCACTGATCCACAGGGGGAAGTAGATTCGACAGACGAGTGGCTGCAGCTTCAACAGGAACTGAAGAAGAAATCCAGAAAAGAGCTGTTAAATTCTACAACCACCTAAAAGGAAGCGATGCCTACACATTCTATCACAAAGCCCTCACCTACAGAGAGATGAACCTAGAGAAGAGTCCCCTCAGACAGCTGGTTCGGGGGCTCTGTTCACAAACACAAACAGACCCCACAGAGCCCCAGGACAGCAACACAATTAGACCCAACCAAATCATGAGAAAACAAAAAGATAACTATTTGACATACTGGAAAGAATCAACCAAAAAAACCAGAGCAAATTATAATGCTATCTGGCCCTAAACAGTAGTACACAGTGGCAGAATACTTGACCACGGTGACTGACCCAAAATGAAGAAAATCCTTGACTATGTACAGACTCAGTGAGCATAGCCTTGCTATTGAGAAAGGCCACCGTAGGCAGACCTGCCTCTCAAGAGAAGACAGGCTATGTGCACACTGCCCACAGACTGAGGTGGAAACTGAGCTACACTTCCTAACCTCCTGCCAAATGTATGACCATATTAGAGACACATATTTCCCTCAGATTACACAGACCCACAAAGAATTATAAAAAAATTAAACATTGATAAACTCCTATTTCTGTTAGGCGAAATACCACAGTGTGCAATCACAGCAGCAAGATTTGTGGCCCGTTGCCATGAGAAAAGGGCAACCAGTGGAGCACAAACAACATTGTAAATACAACCAATACTTATGTATATTTATCTTCCCCTACTATTCATACTACAACTATTTGCACATTGCTAAAACACTTAACATAGCTGATAATATAACACTTGAAATGTCTTTATCTTTTTCAAACCTTTGTGACTGCAATATTTACTGTTCATTTCTAATAGTTTTTTGTTAATATTGTTTTGTCTTCTCGCTTTTGTTGATTGTTTATATCAGTTGCTTTGGCAATGTAAACACATGTTTCCCATGCCAATAAAACCCCTTTGAATTGAAACGGAATTGATAGGAGAGAGAGAGTTACAACACTGTATATATACATAATATGACATTTGAAATGTCTTTATTCTTTTGGAACTTCTGAGTGTAATGTTTACTGTTAATATTTATTGTTTATTTCACTTTTGCTTACTATCTACTTCACTTGCTTTGGCAATGTTAACATACGTTTACCATGCCAATAAAGTCCTTAAATTGAATTGAATTGAATTGAAATTGAATTGAGAGGAGGGGGATACGCTGAGAGAGATAGACCACTGGATACAATGAACTATAAGAGCTATCTGTCCATTGCTACAAGACAGCCAAATTATAGTTGTTGTTTTTTCGAATAAAAGTGGATAGCCAATTATGACTTCTTCCGTCTGCAATGTTTTCACAAAGAGAACCATATGACCATTTTTATGACCAAGTGAGCCACATCTTCTCAATATTGTTCACTTCTGTATGAAATAAAATTTTCACGACGGCCCCTTGGGAGATAGCAAGCTACGGGTGGGTGGGGCGTCCTTTTACTTTCAGGAAACTCGTTGGCGAAAAAACAAGAAGGCGGTTGGTAGCCTAGCTATCTGTGTTACAAGGAAGATTCGTGGCTAAATCAACGTATGCTTGTCTTCTGACTTGTGCTGAAGTTGAGCAACAGAAATGGAGGAGACCGGGGGAGTTGGTGGCGCTAGTGCGTACGGAGCTTCGCTCGCAGGCGGTGGCTTCGACTTTCAGAAGTTTGCTAAACAACCGCACACTATCGTGCGCTTCTTGAGTTGGGTGAGTTTGACAAAGAAACACAGAGTAATAACTTGAGTTACTTATTGACTAGAATGCTTCAAGGAAGTTGACACAGAGCCGTAACGTTAACATATTGGCTACCTGTCACTTTGTATCATTTCAAACGCAACTGAGCGAACTATGCAGTTTGTGTTAAATGTTGATCTGGTCATCCCCAATATTTTTAACCACATATAGCCCTTTAACTTCATACTAGGCAATGTGTTATTGTCGACTCGTATTCCTCTTGATAGATGTATAATGTTGCAGTTGATGTCATGACACTGCAAAGCACAGCTGCTCACGTGGACGTGCAACTGTTGCCAACCGGATTGACAACAACAATCATGATACTATTGAAGCGGGAATTATTTGCAATTCATTGCATTTTTGCCATGATAACTTGATTAGGCCTAGCTATGTGCCTAGGCTACACTTCCAACTAGGCTTACATGGAGATTCATTGTGTCATGTCACGCATGGACTGACAATGTATTGAAGAGGTCACTAACACCCACACACAGACTGAGGGGAACTAACAAACCCCCATGTGATGCATGTGGTAGCAGCAGGTGTTGTTATTTAGAGCACACACACACACACACACACACACACACACACACACACAAAGCAGAAGTATATATGAGACTAAAAGGATTCACACACCTTGAACTAGGCTAGCTGAAGTGAAACTTAGTGAACACTGTTTCCACTGTCTGATACAGTTGAGGTTATTGGACAAAGGACGTAATGGGACAACACTTCTGCATTACGAGATACCAGGGCCTGTTTGTCCAATAATGACAATCACGCTCACAAATTAAACTCTGAGAAATAGTTTTTCTTCTCAACATTAGGCCTATTCTTTGAAATAGCAAAAGATTTTGGTTGGTAATCAACAGCCATGTTGTAATGTGTCATGTTGATCCACCACAAGGCAGTGAGAGGTACTTTCCAAAAGAGGAAGAGAGAGACAGGCCTAATGGTAGAGATTGTAGTTTTAGGGATCTTCCAGCGCGCATAGACACCTGTGCACTTTTCAGATACCCCCTAGGCCCTGTTCAGTAATATCTAACCAAGACCAGATATCCCTAGGCCCTGTTCAGTAATATCTAACCAAGACCAGATATCCCTAGGCCCTGTTCAATAATATCTAACCAAGACCAGATACCCCTAGGCCCTGTTCAATAATATCTAACCAAGACCAGATACCCCTAGGCCCTGTTCAATAATATCTAACCAAGACCAGATATCCCTAGGCCCTGTTCAATAATATCTAATCAAGACCAGATATCCCTAGGCCCTGTTCAATAATATCTAACCAAGACCAGATATCCCTAGGCCCTGTTCAATAATATCTAACTAAGACCAGATATCCCTAGGCCCTGTTCAATAATATCTAACCAAGACCAGATATCCCTAGGCCCTGTTCAATAATATCTAACCAAGACCAGATATCCCTAGGCCCTGTTCAATAATATCTAACCAAGACCAGATATCCCTAGGCCCTGTTCAATAATATCTTGTAGCTACATACCATCAAGATGTCTGTTGCTCAACAGTCTCCTCCACACAGAGACATACACTAACAGATAATACCAGAGCCATACTTTGTAAACCGTCAGTCTAGTTGGTCTGTAAGCCTGAGCAGTGTAGCGTACCAACTTGTAAACAGTGTAACACAGTAGGGGACTGCAACCTCAATGGCATCCTAATGCCTTTATAGTGCACTACTTTTGATCAGGGCCCATAGGGCTCTAGTCAAAATAAGTTCACTATGTAGTGAATAGGTAGCCATTTGGGACGCAGCCTAGGTCTGGACAGAATGTGCCCTCTGTCGACACAACCCCGTCTCCTCCCCGCTCCCTAACGGTGGGAGCAGAAACGGGCAGGTGGGAGGTAAGGTGATACCCTGTCTAGCCCCCCTCTCTCCAGTGCTGTCTCTGGCAGTGTCTTCCGAGGACCCTCTCGTACGCAGTAGAACACGCACTCGTCATCACATACACACTTGCTCATACACGCGCACACACACGCTTGCTCGCACAAACACACTCACACACTCACACCATTCTTGTATGACATGGCGTAGGGGTGTACATCAACAGAGTGAAGGAAATAACATGTGGGTTATCATCTGTTGGTGCTCTCTCTCACACTGTTTCCATCCTTTGTTTCTGTCTCTTCCATCACTCTTCCTTTCCCTCAGTCAGCACTCTCTCTCTCCCTCTCTCTCTCTCTCTCTCTCTCTTCCCTCAGTCAGCACTCTCTCTCTCTGCTGTTGTTGAATTCAATTTCAATTCAAAGGGGCTTTATTGGCATGGGAAATGTGTTTATATTGCCAAAGCAAGTGAAATAAACAACATTCTCTCTCTCTCTCCCATCACTTCCCTCAGTCATCAGACTCACTCTCTCTCTGCTGTTGTTGAATTATTTCTGTCTCTCTGTTTCACTTTTCAGTTCTCTCTTTTTGGAACTCCCCAGTAACTATCTGTACCATTCTCTCTCTAGTTGTCTTTCTTTCACTGGAAAGATACACTATTTTCTCTCTCTCTCTTGTTCTTGCTCTCTCTTCCATCCCATTCTCAATGGAAACTCCTCTCTCTCTCTCTCTTTGTCTCTCTCTCACTAATATTTGAAGAGGAAAATGGTGGCATCTCTGGTCACAAGTATGTCCGTGCTGCTGGGTCACATGGCGGTGGTGGACCAGTAATACGACAGAGACTGGAACTGAACTGAAAACCGAGGCCTGGGTCCGGTTCATTAGGCACCAAATGGAGAAAAAAAACTAGGGACTTCCTGGACTCGTCCAATAAGAAGTGTTCATTTTCGTTTTCAGTTGTAAAAGGTTTTCCGTTGTCCTAACGAACACGACCCTGGTGTTGGCATCAGACCCTAGTTCTTCTGTTCTCACAGTCAGTGGAATGGAAAAAGAGAGAGCATAAGTGGATGCCGTCGCCTGTTAGAATATCTTTCAGAAGACTTCTCTTCTCCTCTCATTGAATGTTTCTACTGGCCCCATCGTTGATAGATGACTAGATGGATAAATAAGACAGATGGACAAATAAACATGCAGGTCACAGTCAAAACAGTCTCCTCAAAACGGTCTCCTCAAAACAGTCAAAACAGTCTCCTCAACAGTCTCCTCAAAACAGTCAAAATGAAACTTTCCTCTCTTTTCTTTCTTAGATTTTTGCCATCGTGGTCTTTGCCTGCATCACGGCGGAGGGATTTGTCAACAAGGCGCACAGCCACGAGGTGCATTGCGTCTTCAACCAGAATGACTCGGCGTGTCACTACGCCGTTGGCATCGGTGTCATAGGTAAGTAGCCTAGAGGTTATGGGTTGCAGGTTCTAATCCCAGTGCTGACTGGAAAATGGTGTTGGGTGAAGTCACCCCCTAGATGCTGATCCTGGGTCAGTTAAGCATTTCCCACACTAATGGTTAGGATTGGGGGAGGGGAAGCGGATCCTAGATCTGTACCTAGGGGAAACTTCACCCCTGAAAGGGAAAAATCTGGTGAGGGTCGGGCGGCAACCAGGATCCTAGATGGCATCTGCCGTTGTGCCCTGGGTTCAGATAACAGAAAAATACAAATGTCAGTGTCTTTGTGACTATCGACAATAGAAAGTATTTCTTTATTCAGAGCTATGGTGTAGTGTTGACACTCCCCGGCACAAGTCTCATAATACGACTCATCATACAATCCCTGCCTCTTTTCTACTGTGTCTCCCACTTGCCTGACCACCCCCACCTCATTTCCTGACTGCCTCAATAAAGTATCTCTTTATTTCTCTAGCCTTCCTGGCCTGTTTTGGCTTCCTCTTATTGGATGCCTACCTGCCGCTGATGAGCAACGCACAGGAGAGGAAGTACGCTGTCTTGGCCGACCTGGGATTCTCAGGTAAGGGGAGGTCTGTGTGTCTCTGTGTGTGTGAACCTAGGGTTGTCGTGTGAGGAAAGAGCTTCCAGGCATCGGTACCTGGGTCTTGTTCATCAGAGCACCACATGGAAGAAAACGGACTGAAACGGGGAGGGACTACATTGAATGGACAATAAGAAATGCTCATTTTTGTTTTCCATTGCTAAACTTTTTAAAAACATTTTCAGTTGTGTGCCCTAATGCACATAACCCTGTAGGTAGTTGTAGTGTAAATAAGTACATTATATATTCCTTGCTTCTTGTCTGTTTGTATCAGGTGTGTGGACGTTCCTGTGGTTTGTGTGTTTCTGCCTCCTGGCTAGCCAATGGGGTCGTACGTCTGACATCAGAGGAATCCCCCAGGACGCCGCCCGCGCCACCATCGCCTTCTCTTTCTTCTCTATCGCCACCTGGGTGAGGAGGACTGTCACTACATCTATAGCTGCCTTACTGGCTCTCCTTTACTACAGCTATACTATGGCCTGCTCATAGCTTCACCACACTGACTGACTGATGCATTAACTGACTGACTGATGCATTAACTGACTGACTGATGCATTAACTGACTGACTGATGCATTAACTGACTGACTGATGCATTAACTGACTGACTGATGCATTAACTGACTGACTGATGCATTAACTGACTGACTGATTCATTAACTGACTGACTGATTCATTCATTAATTGATTCCCCTTTGTCTCAACAGGGAATCCTAACCTACTTCGCTTTGGGGAGATACCGCCGCGGCGTCGCCGATGTCACCCAGAACATCTACGCCGAGCCTCCGCCGGAGCAGCACACCCCTTACCCTTCGACCTACGCCCCCTCGGCCTACACCCCCACCACCTACTCCCCGTACCCTTCCAGCGCCCCAGACGACTTCCAACAACCCCCCTTCACCCCCACCCCCCAACCCCAGGGGGACTACCAACCCCCCAACTACTGAGGGGCTCCGGGGTGAAGTTTCCCCTAGGTACAGATCTAGGATCAGCTTCACTTCCCCCAAACCTAACCTTAACCATTAGTGGGGGTAAATGCAAAACTGACCCAAGATCAGTGTCTAGGCCAAGGGGCAATTTCACCACTATTACTGGGATAGAAGTATGGAAGGAGGTGGAAGCTCCTTACCACCAGACCTGGGTTCAAATACTATTTGAAATCTTTCAAATACTTTCAGCGTTTTTGGCTTTTGTCTGTCTGGAGTGCCGGGTGGGCAGGGTTTGCACTCAGCCAACATTTCTATTGGTTTCATTTGCAACAGGGAAACAACATGAAAGCACAGACCGATAAAGTATTTGAAGTGGTTTTAAATAGTGTTGGAACCCAGGTCTGCTTACTAATAATTCAGATTGACATGTTATCTCATCACCTTGGTGAAGGATGATGTGGTTAAAGGGAGACTTCTACCCTGTGCCAGGGGCGCAGCTGAGGGGGAGGGGCAATAGTTAGAGCCTGGTCACATGACATGGGAGACTGGAGGTCACATGATGTGGGATATGCGAAAATGGCCAATGAGAGCTCTCGTGGGTGGGGCCAGTGCTTGCTTCAGCTAATCGGTGTTCCTTTCTCCCCCTCTCGGTTCAGAACTCTAATCCCCTGCTTTTGTGTTCCAGAAGGAAGGAGAATGTGTATATGTCTGAGGAGGCTGGTGGGAGGAGCTATAGGAGGTCCGGTTCATTGTATTGGCTGGATTGAATGGAACGGTATCAAACATGCAAACTACGTTTGACTCGGTTCCATTTATTCCATTCCAGCCATTACAATGAGCCGGTCCTCCTATAGCTCCTCCCACCAGCCTCCTCTGGTATCTGTACATACTAGATAGTCAAAGCGCCATTTTGAATTATTCGAATGGCTGTATAGTGTGTTTTTTAAAAAACATTTTATCTTTTTGTTTTCAATTTAGCACAATTATCTTTATGATGACATGCAAGCACAACGTTTTATTCAATGTCAAAAAAGTATGTTTATTTAATTGACCAGTGTATCGTGAGACTACTGAATTCTACAGGATAAGCCAACTATTATAAAGCCAAATGCCCAAGAAAGCCTTATTATTAATGTCCTATGTAAACTGCTGGGGTTTTTGTCCCACTTCAGGAGCCGTAGGCATACTTGGATTTGCGTCCCAAATGGCGCCCTATTCCCTTTATAGTGCACTACTTTTGACCAGGGACCATAAGGCTAGTGCACTATATATAGGGAATAGGGTACCATTTATGACGCAGACTGCAAGTCTTTTTTTCATAACTCTTAAACCCTGTCTATCTGATAACAGTCAAGCTAAAGCCATAAAAAGCAAGAGGGAAAAAACCATTAAACCGCCCGTTGAAAACATAAGGCTTGTTTGCTCAACTGATCTCTGTGTAATATGCATGTTCCTATCCAGTCATTATGTAATGAGTGAGTTTTCTGTCATATTTTATACATCTACTGTCCTCTACTATAGCACCTGGATGAGTTGAAACCAGGCTGTAACCAGGAGATGATAAATTAGGATGTGTACCAATTCTCCACCCTTCTCCCAAAGTGTGCACTGCACTGGCCTACTTTTTCCCATGGCTTTGACAATGGTGGAAACTCCCTCCAGCCAATGCTTACACCAGTGCAATGCTTTTAGAACCTATATGTCTTTCTGAGTCTGAGACCTCTCCCTGCTTTGTACTACTAAAGGTTAAAAGTATAGTAATTCATGAATGACCTCTTGCTGCCAAGACTGACTTCAGTACCCTCAGTGCTGCAGCTGGGTCATGTTCATTAGGCACCAAATGGAAGAAAACCAAATGAAACCGGGAGGGACTACCTGGACTTGTCCAATAACAAATCATTGCTGTCTAATGAAAACAAAAACGTTTCAGGAAATGAAAAAAACGGCCACATATGGACATTAACTAACACACAATTACCGAACTTCAGAAGCTATTTTGAATACATTTCATGAAATGTTCAGAGTACATTGAGGGGAGTTACTGCTTTCAAAACAAGTAAAACAGTTGGAAGGTTTTCATCAGGCAAATGCTTATTTCGTTTTTCATTGCAAAAAGTTTTGCTGTGGTGTGCGCTAATGAACACAACCCAGGGCTACGGCTGTGTAGCTCCGGTCCACCAAGGTCCAAGGCTGCTTTGGCACTTCATAGATTACTACTTCAAGTCATCTGACTGACTTTAAATGTAAATCATACAGGACTAACTTAAGCACTTGATAACAATACAATACTTGGGATTTCATCAATTGCTTCTTTTAAAGTGGTAATCTGCAGTTACATTCTTTTTGACGTATTAATCATATGTACCAATTTGATTCTGGAAGAATATAACTTATAAATGCCTCATGAGGTTAGTTCAACTGTTGTACCCCATCGGAACCCAAAATATAGGCTTGTTTTACTCCAATGTTTGTAAACAAACACTATTTAGCCTCAACATGGTTTAAACTATGATTTTGATATCATGGATGGTCAGTCCTTGCATCCATAGCTCTATGAGTTTGAGCCCCGTCCCTCAGCTTTTTACCGAAACGGGTGGGGAGACGGATTTTTTATTGTTTCTAACTGCTGATTGCCGCTTTAAAGGATAATACTGAAAACAGCAGACGCAGAATCCATTGAAGAATGGCTTCTATGGAAATGTTATGCACTTCTCCTTAACAAGAACCCTAGTATACTTTGTTGACGGTGCCTTACTTTTACATTTTAGTCATTTAGCAGAGGCTCTTATCCAGAGCGACTTACAGTTAGTGAGTGCAGACATTTATCATACCTTAGACTTACTGTATGCAATGTTGACACCATGGTGACCTTGAGTCCACCATAGACAAGCATAGATGTACATATTCACATAAATATAGATGTATGTAAATATAGACACACACATAGAGAAGTTGTGTTTATAGACATCATTGGAGTCTACTTGGCCAAAGGGAAGACCTCATTGGCTGTATCCAAAATGGCACCCTATTCCCTATATAGTGCACTACACTATATGAGCCCTAGTCTAAAGTTGTGCACTACATAGGGATTAGGTTGCCATTTGGGACACATATGTATATTTATTAAATATGAGTGATGCTACTTTGCTAGGCTAGTAGTGGAAACATTTTGGGAGGGTGGAAACGCTCCCCTGGTATTTATATGTATACAGGACAGTGGAGGCTGCTGAGGAAAGGACGGCTCATAATAATGGCTGGAATGGAGTGGATGGAATGGTATCAGACACGTGGTTGTCTTATGTTTGATACCATTCCATTCTAGACATTTATTATGAGCCGTCCTCCCCTCAACAGCCTCCACTGATAGTGTCACAAACATGCAACTCCCATTCTCTCTCTCTCTCACACAGCAGATTCTCGCCTAGTGATCTCGTACACCAACTATTGAAACTTTGCCACTAGTGCCTGCGTAAAGTGTTGTTCTTACAAAATGCTCAAAAGGGATGGCGTCTACACTCTATTTGCCAAATCAACGTCCTCAAACTATCCATATATTTCCTGTATAAAACCTTGAATGAAATAATTTAAAGCCATGATGGCACGCACACTAGAGCAAAAACCGAAAAGCATATTCAGGATTATCAAACTGTTGCCTTGTGTTCATCACTGTCAGCAGGTGTGTGTGGGAGATGAGTGATGTTGCATAGTGTTGTGTGCAACGTTGCAATCCTGAACATACCCCCATGGATGTCCAGCTTGGCCTAGGAAGGCTGCGTCTACACAGGCAGCCCAATTCTGATCTTTTTCCCAATTATTGGTCTTTTGACCAGTCAGATCAGATCTTTCGCCAATAATTGGGTTAAAGTTCAGAACTGGTCTGCCTGTGTAAAAACAGCCTTACTGTTCAAATTAAACCTTACCAGTTAGCAACCTTAAACTACTACTGTATTTGTATCTATGATTGATTGCCAAGAGTTCTGTATTTGATTTGTATTTGAAATTAGTATTAGGACTAAGTCAATTGATTGCGGTTTGTTTTCTGTGGTTTTAGGGGTGATGGGTATATTTCACTTTTTGTCCATTGTTTTATATAAATGTTTTTGATTTACCATTTGATCACCACCACAGATCTAAATGAAATAGTGTAGATTTGAATCTGTATTCAAGTGAGTTTATTTCTCACTTTTATTTGACATTTATGAAGTTAATTCGCACATTTATTTGCACATTGTGTCAAACACTTCCCAATAACATTAATACAAAAAAACTATAGCACCAGAAATCTGTTAGTTCAGTTTTGTTTTGTTCTATTGAATCCATAATTGTATAATAATTAGGAAGTGCAGTTCAACAACTGCTATGTATGTGATGTCACAAGGTTCCAATTCTCTGTTATTTTGTCTAAATTACATTTGTGAGTGTCTGCGTGAAGCAGAATAAAAGCTGTCCTCAAAATCCAATATTTGGGCATCATAATAATTTGACTGGTTTAAAAAATACATGTTTACAAGTCCAGATCGAAGTGACTGTCTAATGTAACCATAATACAGTACTGGTAAAATGTGCATTAAAGTGGGTTGGGGATTTGTGTTACCATAAAAATTACCTTCATTGGCAGCTAGTTGTACTGTACTACAACGTGCCAACTGCCAAGACCTAAACAGGTTATTTCAGTCAAGGCTAGTACATCGGATTGCAGTCCAACACCATTTATTTCACTCAGTTACTAGGGTGATTGCCAACTACAATGAACAAAAAGAAACGCAACATGTGAAGTGTTGGTCCCATGGTTCATAAGCTGAAATAAAAGATCCCCGATTTTTTCCATATGCACAAAAACCTTATTTCTCTCAAATTTGGCGCACGTGTGTATACATCCCTGTTAGTGAGCATTTCTCCTTTGCCAAGATAATCCATCCACCTGACAGGTGTGGCATATCAAGAAGCTGATTAAACAGCATGATCATTACACAGGTGCACCTTGTGCTGGGGACAATAAAAGGCCACTAAAATGTGCAGTTTTGTCACAACACAATGCCACAGATGTCTTGTTTTGAGGGAGCGTCCAATTGGCATGAAGTAGTGGCACAACTGGGCCTCTCCCCCTTATGTTTTTCTGGTGATGATTGGTAAAAAAAATAAACTATGACGTTATGGGTTCGACTTTATTTTGTGAAATCTGGAAAATGACTAAACACAAAAACCATAAATAACCATTTAAAAAAAAAATTTAGCTTCTGTTTTACAGAAAAATTACAGGAGGCAAATCAGACCAGTACTACAAAAGGTAACAGTTGAATATTAAGTTGTGTACACTAGACTCATTGCATGGCAGTATGTATGTTTTAGCAGAGTCTTACAAAATATGATATGTACTAATTTGGCCAATGTATTAGAAATATTTACATTGAAGTATATTAAGCCCTATAAAATGACAGTTACACAAATACTATACAGTTCAGTGGATTGATAGAGCGTCATTTATTGTCCATGCTCATTCAAGTGCAAAACTTAAAGGGATAGTTCATTACTGAAATTAGAAAATTGAGTCAACAACTATCCCTTTAAACTCATCTCCTCCTCCAGTCAAATACCAAACCTAAAACTTAAAGGGATAATTCACCATCTCACTCAGTTCCAATTCAAGTTAACTACCCCTTTAAAAGTCACCTGAGTGAAATAACCCTTTAAAAATATTCTCTACTGGGAATGATCAGAGGTGCAGGGTGGCGAATAGTTTCCGTGGTGCGGTAGCGTTGTCAAGTAGTTTCCCTGTCATGGCATGCGGTGGCGTCTCGTCCCTGTGGGGGGCGCTATTCTCCTTCTCCACCACGTCCATCAGGCCACCGTAACACTTCCTGCAACGTGCGTGGTACATATCGGCTCCACCAATCACCTCCACCTGGGGACGGGGCAGAGACAGGAAACAGGAAGTGAGGTCATGTCCAAATATAGGCACAGTCCTAAAATTGACCCCCTAACCCTTACTCCTTAGACCAGATGTGAACGGATCGGCAGGGTAATAATCGGTGAAATGGGACAGAGTGATAATTGTGATTCCTGCAGGGACTTTTCATTCCTAACTGGTTGACTAATAATACAAATAAAAAAGGGATGGAGAGATCAAGAGAGGATATCAGAAAGGGAGAGAGATGCAGCTAGACTAGGACAGTGAATGTCAATAGAGATTGGTTGTGACGAGTAAGAGGATATGAAAAACCACCAGTCTCATTTGACTCCCTAAAGTTGATGGGAATAAAGCCTTTGAGCCTGAAAGGCATGTGATGTTTCTACTGTATAATCCCTCCTCAGTTCTAATATAAATCATATTACATCCCCCCTCTCCTCTCTCCCATCCCCTCTCTCTCTCTCTTTCTCCCTCTCCCCTCTCACCTCTTTCTCTGCCCCCAGTCTCTTGGTGTATGCTGCCTCCTTGTAACATATCATACAGACAGCGTTCAGCTTCACAACGCTCTCAGCCAGGGGAACCAGGTTCAGGATGTTACCAAAGGGCTGCAGACAGGACAGGACAGGACAGGACAGGACAGGGTAGAGAGAGTTAGGACAGATAGTACACTAGCCAGAGAAATGGATTGTCTTTACAGACACACACCACATAATTCATACACAGTTATTTATTGCCAAGTGCCAACCTCTTAATTCAAATTAAACTGACAAACTCTACATGTAAAATATTATATTACATGAGACAACTGTTACCGATGACAACACGATGAAGAGGACAGACAACCAGGAGGCAGGCAGCAAACGTTGGATATTACTCATCATCCATGCCTACCTTTCTCTGGAAGGTTCCGTCCAGGGCCGCTACGATGATGGTCTTCCCCATGTTGGCCATCTCCTCACAGAACTCCACTGTGTCTGGGAACTGACACACACACATGAAAATAATAAGAATATGGCATGGATTCATACGCATACCTGTATAACAGTTAGGACTTTGTTGGTTATCGTTGGTAATGTAGCCTAGGTCAGTGATCTCCTCAGAGATGTTTCACCATTCTGTTGTAGCCCTGAACTAGCTCACCTGATTGACCTAGTCAAGGGCTTGATGATTAGTTGACTAGTTTAAATCAGATGTGCTAGCTGTGGAATAGTTTAAATACATGGAACGTCTTTGGGGGGGAGAGGTTTGAAAAAGGCTGTCCTAGGTCATAACACTGTAGGGAATATGGTGCTGATGATGCCATGTGCTAAACAGAGAATATAACAGATGGATATCAATGGCATGTTATTCAGCTGTAGAGGACATACAGGTAATGTAAAGGAACAAAGAGGATCACTCTGTTGGACACAGTGAGATGGTAACAGACCGTAATGTACTATACTTACAAACTGTCCTTCGTCGATTCCGATGACGCAAGCCTGCTGAGCTAGAGAACGCATGTCGCTCAGGCAGTTGGCTGGTACTGCTTCCATTGTGCTTCTAGAAATTATATTAAAATGTATATTAAAGAGACCATCCATGACTACATTAACATAATGTACATCCTTTATAAATTACAATCATGCATAGTATCCTATTAAATACATTAGTGGTGCTGCAATTCTGTTTTACAACAAATGTCATGCAATTCTACACATTTTGCAATAGGGTGCGTAGAAATGTTTGCAGTTTGCAGACTGACTAACAAAATCAAAAATCGGGCCCCGGCCGGTAATTCGACCATGGTGACTGACATCACAAGAGAAAAACTGCTGATGCACAATCAAATTTCGAAATTGCACCTTGTGTATTCTACTATTCTAACTCGCAAAGGTAAGTCGAGACCCCGACTGAGTTCCTCAAAAATAAATAATATATTATTAATATTTATTGGGGGGAAATTGATCCGAGCTGCCCATCCCTGATATACAGTATGTAGTTCTAAAGATAAATCTGTTTACACTAATAAAACACTGGGGGGAAAAACAACTGTTCCCCTGTCCAGTGTGGCAACAATGAGAATCAGGTGAAACAGGGTATTAGTTCATGTGGGGTAAATGTAATGTTATCTATAAAATCAGGAAATAATATATTTCACATAAAACCAGAGAGTGTTCTTACTTGTCATGTGTGGCCATGCCCTTCTCGGAGTAGCGTGTATCTTTGGCATATTTGACCACCAAACAGTTGTACTGAGCGATCTGGAAACGACGCACTCGCCTCATCAACTCAGTGCTGTTAATAATAAAATATGGATTTCAGTCAGAATTATAGAAAAAATATATCACAAGAAACCAGTAATACATGTAATATAGCTTTCTTAAAAAATAAATACATTTCAAATTATAATACAATAATAAAAAATAAAAAAACATAGGACATCACTACACGTATATTTTCTCTGAAGAAACATAAAATAACATTACATTAAAAAAGAAAAAAATCACTACAAAAGAATTGACTTTCAAAAGTGAAGGTACCCAAAATAAATAGAATAAGGTCAGAGGTCACAGTTGGACAAACCCATGATGGAGTTGGAAGAATATTTATTTTGTTTGTTATTGACAAATTCTAGAGATTGTATTAAATATTGGATTTCAAGAAAAATATATTGCATTTGGGGACAGATAACAAATATTTGTTTTTGTGTATATAAAATGTACCAGAGAGGATGAAGAAATTAACGACTAATTCAGTAGTTTTGTTTTCATTTGAATAATAACATATTACAGTGGCTTGCAAAAGTATTCACCCCCCTTGGCATTTTTCCTATTTTGTTGCCTTACAACCTGGAATTAAAATGGATTTTTTGGGGGGTTTGTATCATTTGATTTACACAACATACCTACCAATTTGAAGATGCAATTTTTTGTTGTTGTTGTGTGAAACAAACAAGACAAAAAAAAAAGAAAGAACTTGAGCGTGCATAACTATTAACCCCCCCAAAGTCAATACTTTGTAAAGCCACCTTTTGCAGCAATTACAGCTGCAAGTCTCTTGGGGTATGTCTCTATAAGCTTGGCACATCTAGCCACTGGGATTTTTCCCCATTCTTCAAGGCAAAACTGCTCCAGCTCAAGTTGGATTGGTTCCGCTGGTGTACAGCAATCTTTAAGTCATACCACAGATTCTCAATTGGATTGAGGTCTGGGCTTTGACTAGGCCATTCCAAGACATTTACAGGTAACGAGCTGAGATTAGGAGCACACTCTTAAAGGGAGTGCTCCTAATCTCAGTTTGTTACCTGTATAAAAGACACCTGTCCACAGAAGCAATCAATCAATCAGATTCCAAACTCTCCACCATGGCCAAGACCAAAGAGCTCTCCAAGGATGTCAGGGACAAGATTGTAGACCTACACAAGGCTGGAATGGGCTTGGAGGTGGAGGTGACAACAGTTGGTGCGATTATTCGCAAATGGCAGAAACACAAAAGAACTGTCAATCTCCCTCAGCCTGGGGCTCCATGCAAGATCTCACCTCGTGGCGTTGCAATGATCCTGAGAATGGTGAGGAATCAGCCCAGAACTACATGGGAGGATCTTGTCAATGATCAAGGCAGCTGGGACCATAGTCACCAAGAAAACAATTGGTAACACACTACGCCGTGAAGGACTGAAATCCTGCAGCGCCCGCAAGGTCCCCCTGTTCAAGAAAGCACATATATATAGGGCCGTCTGAAGTTTGCCAATGAACATCTGAATGATTCAGAGGAGAACTGGGTGAAAGTGTTGTGGTTAGATGAGACCAAAATCGAGCTCTTTGGCATCAACTCAACTCGCCGTGTTTGGAGGAGGAGGAATGCTGCCTATGACCCCAAGAACACCATCCCCACCATCAAATCTTGGGTGAGAACCTCCTTCCCTCAGCCAGTGCACTGAAAATGGGTCGTGAATGGGTATTCCAGCATGACAATTACCCAAAACACACGGCCAAGGCAACAAAGGAGTGGCTCGAGAAGAAGCACATTAAGGTCCTGGAGTGGCCTAGCCAGTCTCCAGACCTTAATCCCATAGAAAATATGTGGAGGGAGGTGAAGGTTCGAGTTGCCAAACGTCAGCCTCGAAACCTTAATGACTTGGAGAAGATCTGCAAAGAGGAGTGGAACAAAATCCCTCCTGAGATGTGTGCAAACCTGGTGGCCAACTACAAGAAACGTCTGACCTCTGTGATTGCCAACAAGGGTTTTGCCACCAAGTACTAAGTAATGTTTTGCAGAGGGGTCAAATATGCAAATCAATTTATAACATTTTTGACATGCGTTTTTCAGGATTTTTTTGTTGTTATTCTGTCTCTCACTGTTCAAATAAACCTACCATTAAAATTATCGACTGATCATGTCTTTGTCAGTGGGCAAACGTACAAAATCAGCAGGGGATCAAATACTTTTTTCCCTCACTGTAGTACCAGCTGAGTGGTTAGACCCGTGACTATAATAAACAGTATTTCCCCATTGGGATTTTCAAAAGCTAGAATCTGAATCGCAGGAGAGTCTCCTGGAGTAGAATGAAATCTGCAATAGTGTTAACAAAATAAAAAAACTGTGCTTTTCTTTTAGTTATGTTTCGTAAACCCCTGGCATTTAGAGATACAATATTTAGTGCATTGAATTCAAAACATTGCGTAACAAAAATAAAATAAAGACAAATACAGTGTAGTGATATGAATAACTGATTAACTAGTTGAACTATTAAGCTAGGTAACTAGTAAGGAAACCTGAGCTTAGAGAAAGAACTGGACTACCCTAAACTGAGGTAGTTGTGATCAATATGATGAACCCATATTCACATTCCTGGTGATATAAAACGGGGTGAATGTAAAAATGACAATCGACTTATTACTCAAGAGTAATTTAGCTAACTCTTAACGTTATCATTTGACTTAGACAGAATAGGACGACATCGATTTCAAGTTAATGTAGCTAACTATATACCGGAGCACAGTGTTTTCAAAACATTCAGTACGCTCATGACATTCACTTGACGACCTGGCAATCGATCTTTCCATCAATAAATGCAAAAGTGCAGCTGAAATATGCTCTCTTCCCTAGCCTTTTTTACCATTGGCCAAAGTTTTTCTGGAGTGAGAGCCTGTTTGATGCGTAGTTTATTCTCCACAAGAAACCTTGACTCCTTGGCTTCTTTCCATACGACATCTCTGTAGATTGTCATTGTGAACCGCATGATGGTTGTCCGCGGAGATCCGTCATCCCTTCGCTTTCCCAGGCGGTGCACCACGTCGACGACATCCGGGAGTTAGTCTCGAATCCTGGGTGCTACTTTCCCGAGGATGTCAATGGTAACGCTCCGTATGTTCTCCCCGTCCTCTTCTCGCACCCCATGCAGTTTCAGGTTCCATCTCCAGCTGTGGCGCTGGACTTCGATGATATTCTGTAGCAGCTGGCGATTCACCTTTTGGGAGTTTCTGTGCTTCAGCTTCCATGGTCAGTATTTTTTCGCTGTTGGTTAACAGTTGGTTGAGGAGCTGCTGCACAGTCAACGTCGTAAAGGACCATTCGCCGAAACTGAAGAGATATAGCTAGCTAACGACCTCCTTTTCCACGTGGAAAGAAACGGTGGACAGAGACTTGCTAGCTAGCTGGGATTTTCTACAAGGAATCGGCCTCCCGAAAAAAGCTTCTCCCAAGTGGGTGCTCTTGGCCTCCCATCCTATTCTAACCACCTCTCGCTGGCTTTGTATTCATGGTACCTAATGAAATTGCTGTGCAATATGATCTTGTTGCTATCTGATGCACATTCAAATGTCATTTTTAAAAAATCAACACTGTCCTCTGCCGTGCCCTGATTGTATCTGGAAATGTGCATGTACACCCTGGCCCATCTACTGCTGCTAGCCCCAATTCTGACTTCTGCTCTCGTAAAGGCCTGGGTTTTCTGCATGTTAACACTAGAAGCTTATTACCTAAAATGTATCAATTGAAAGTGTGGGTTCACAGCTCCAATCCAGATGTGTTGGTCATTACTGAGACATGGTTAAGAAAGAGTGTTTTGAACACTGATGTTAACCTTTCTGGTTATAACCTTTATGGCAAGACAGATCTTCCAAAGGTGGTGGAGTGGCAATCTTTTCCAAGGAACACCTTCAGTGCTCGGTTGTCTCCACCAAGTCTGTCCCCAAACAATTTGATTAGCTGGTTAAGCATTCAACTTTCAAATAGCTCTTTGCTGACTGTTGCTGGGTGTTATCGTCCACCATCAGCATCGGCCTGTACCCTACCTGCCCTAGGCTCTCTCCTGGCCCCTTACACTAAGTCGGAATTTGTCCTGCTAGGTGACCTAAACTGGGACATGCTTGAACCACCTGACCAAGTACTAAAGCAACGGGACTCCTGTTGTGGAAAATGACAAACTAGGCTCTGTTTATTCTGTATTAACCTTAAGAGAACTGTCTCTTTGTGTTTCTCTACTGATGCAGACTGTCCTTGTCTGTTCTAGTCATAAGACTGGGTGAAATCACAGTATGTGACACATCCTGTTACTCAGTATCTACAGGATCCCAATTGTGTGGAAACATGCTGAGGAGAACAGAGAATAGCATGATTAGCAGCATCATGATCTAATCATTCAGACCATACCCAGTGTCAGCAGATAGTTACGAAACTAGTGATGATCGTTTCTTTGCACTATGTACCCACCCATTGTTTCCACACATCTGCTAACTGTGCAATAGATTTTTATAAAAGCTGAGACCCAACTTTGTTCGTTGGGCTTTTAACTCTGCACTATTGAGTGATTGTTAACTGCTCCAGATTTGCTAATCTTATAATAAAAAGTTGTTTGTAGATTCTTCAGGTCTCTCTTCCTTTTGGTTAGAATTTCCATGACAACTCCCTAAATCTTGCTCAGATTATTACCAATCCCACAAGGTATGACTCCAAACACCCAGAAAAGGCTACTCTCCTTGATGTTAGCCTCACAAATAATCCTGATATGTATCAGTCTGGTGTTTTCTGCAATGACCTTCGCGATCACTGTTTTACAGCCTGTGTTCGTAATGGCTGCTCAGTGAAACGGCCTGTCCTGACTTGTCATAGACGCTTGCTAAAAAAATCTTTAAATGAGCAAGCAAATTTTCTGTGGTATTGTTAACAAAACACACCACCATAAAGAAAATGAGAATTAAAAACAGGTTCAGCCCCTTTTTCGACCGTGATCTGGCAGAGTTACTCCACCTCAAGAATTCCATTTGGCGAAAGGCTCGGCACACGCATACTCAGGCTGACTGGCTCTCGTTCAGGCAAATGAAAAATAAGTGCACTTAGGTTATCCGGAAGGCTAAAGTTAGTTACTTTAAGGAGCAGTTCTCGCTCTGTGTGTCTCACCCAAAGAAGTTCTGGAAAACAGTTAAAGACCTGGAGAATAAACCCTCCTCCTCACAGCTGTCCATGTCCCTTAATGTTGATGATGTGGTTGTTACTGACAAGGAGCACATGGCTGAGCTCTTTAAATCACCACTTCATTAAGTCAGCATTCCTATTCGACTCAGCCATGCGTCCTTGCCCGTCCAACACTTCCTCATCTCATTTTACATTTACATTTTAGTCATTTAGCAGACGCTCTTATCCAGAGCGACTTACAGTTAGTGCATACATTTTCATACTGGCCCGCCGTGGGAAACGAACCCACAACCCTGGCGTTGCAAGCGCCATGCTCTACCAACTGAGCTACACGGGGCCCTTTAATGCGACTAGCCCCGATGCTCCTCCCTCTTTTCCCCTGCCCCGCTACAAAGTTTCTCCCTGCAGGCGGTCACTGAGTCTGAGGTGCTAAAGGAGCCCCTTAAACTTGACCCCCAAAAAACCTCTGGGTCAGATGGTTTAGCTCCTTTCTTCTGTAAGGTTGCAGCCCCTCATCATCGCCTGTCTCTGACCTTTTAACCTGTCTCTCCTCTCTGGGGAGGTTCCCATTGCTTGGAAGGCGGCCACAGTGTGTCCTTTAGCTAAAGGGGGAGATCAAGCGGATCCTAACTGTTATAGGCCAACTATTTTGCCCTGTTTATCAAAAGAGTTGGAAAAACTTGTCAATAATCAACTGACTGACTTTCTTGATGTCTATAGTGTTCTCTCTGGTAGGCAATCTGGTTTACGCTCAGGTTATGGATATGTCACTGCAACCTTCAAGGTCCTAAATGATGTCACCATTGCCCTTGATCCTAAGCAATGTTGTGCTGCTATTTTTATTGACTTGGCCAAAGCTTTTGATACGGTAGACCATTCCATTCTTGTGGGCCGGCTAACGAGTATTGGTGTCTCTGAGGGGTCTTTGACCTGATTTGCTAACTACCTCTCTCAAAGAGTGCGGTGTATAAAGTCAGAACATCTGCTGTCTCAGCCACTGCCTGTCACCAAGGGAGTACCCCAAGGCTCCATCCTAGGCCCCACGCACTTCTCAATTTACATCAACAACATAGCTCAGGCAGTAGGAAGCTCTCATCCATTTATATGCAGATGATACAGTCTTATACTCAGCTGGCCCCTCCCCGGATTGTGTTAAACGCTCTACAACAAAGCTTTCTTAGTGTCCAACAAGCTTTCTCTGCCCTTAACCTTGCTCTGAACACCTCCAAAACAAAGGTCATGTGGTTTGGTAAAAATAAATGCCCCTCTCCCCACCGGTGTGATTACTACCTCTGAGGGTTTAGAGCTTGAGGTAGTCTCCTCATTCAAGTACTTGGGAGTATGGCTAGACAGTACACTGTCCTTCTCTCAGCACATATCAAAGCTGCAGGCTAAGGTTAAATCTAGACTTGGTTTCCTCTATCGTAATCGCTCCTCTTTCACCCCAGCTGCCAAACTAACCCTGATTCAGATGACCATCCTAGATTAGAGACTAGCTGTTGCTAGCCAATTTGTCCTGGATATAAAACATTTGGTTATTATTTTACCTGAAATGCACAAGGTCCTCTACTACAATTAATCCACAGATAAAAAGGGAAACCCAGTTTGTTTCTATGAATCTCTCCTCATTCAGGCTTCTTCTTCCGACTTTATATGGCGGTTGGCAACCAACTTTAAGGTGCATTACCACCACCAACTGGTCTGGAGTGTGGACCTCAGTTCATCTTTCAATCACCCACGTGGCTATATGCTCCTAAAAACCAATGATGCAGACGCTCATTGATATGCGCGAGCAGTGTGGGTGCAATGATTGAATAACATGTGTACATTTATTTTGCAACGCTCGAGCACGTGACAGGAGCGGTGTGGTAAGCATGTTAGGAGTCTTTTGACATGAGTTCTGGAAAGTCTTCACGTAGGCTGCATGCTCCTGTCTCGCTGCTAGCATCGGAGGTGATTAGCATCTGTACAGCCATGCTTAGCCTTTTTTGGTTTATTCTGCCCATGTAGTCATGTGATCACCATGTTTTCCAATCACCTTCTGTTACTTCATATTAGGTAAGGGTCAGTTTACAAAAAAAATAAAAAGTATTAAAATCCTCGAGTATTGATCATAATCTACCTGGTTTATCGGGATATACAGTACCAGTCAAAAGTTTGGACACACCTACTCATTCAAGGGTTTGTCTTTATTTTTTACTATTTTCTACATTGTAGAATAATAGTGAAGACATCAAAACTATGAAATAACACATATGGAATCATGTAGTTACCAAACAAGTGTTAAACAAATCAAAATATATTTTATATTTTTGATTCTTCAAAGTAGCCACCCTTTGCCTTGATGACAGCTTTTCACACTCTTGGCATTCTCTCAACCAGCTTCATGAGGAATGCTTTTCCAACAGTCTTGAAGGAGTTCCCACACATGCTGAGCACTTGTTGGCTGCTTTTCCTTCACTCTGCAGTCCAACTCATCCCAAACCATCTCAACTGGGTTGATGTCGGGTGATTGTGGAGGCCATCACTCTCCTTGCAGCACTCAATCACTCTCCTTCTTGGTCAAATATCCCTTACACAGTCTGGAGGTGTGTTGGGTCATTGTCCTGTTGAAAAACAAATGATAGTCCCACTAAGTGCAAACCAGATGGGATGGCGTATCGCTGCAGAATGCTGTGGTGGCCATGCTGGTTAAGTGTGCCTTGAATTCTAAATAAATCACCTACAGTGTCACCACCAAAGCACCCCCACACCTCCTCCTCCATGCTTCACTTGTGTTTCTTGGCCCATGCAAGTCTCTTCTTCTTATTGGTGTCCTTTAGTAGTGGTTTCTTTGCAGCAATTCGACCATGAAGGCCTGATTCATGCAGTCTCCTCTGAACAGTTGATGTTGAGATGTGTATGTTACTTGAACTCTGTGAAGCATTTATTTGGGCTGCAATTTCTGAGGCTGGTAACTCTAATGAACTTATCCTCTGCAGCAAAGGTAACTCTGGGTCTTTCTTTCCTGTGGCGGTCCTCATGAGAGCCAGTTTCATCATAGCACTGATGGTTTTTGCGACTGCACTTGAAGAAACGTTAAAAGTTCTTGAAATGTTCCGTATTGATTGACCTTCATGTCTTAAAGTAATGATGGACTGTCGTTTCTCTTTGCTAATTTGAGCTGTTCTTCCCATAATATGGACTTGGTCTTTTACCAAATAGGGTTATCTTCTGTATACCACCCCTACCTTGTCACAACACAACTGATTGGCTTAGGAAGGAAAGAAATTCCACAAATTAACAAGGCACACCTGTTAATTGAAATGAATTCCAGGTGACTGCCTCATGAAGCTGGTTGAGAGACTGCCAAGAGTGTGCAAAGCTGTCATCAAGGCAAAGGGTGGCTACTTTGAAGAATCTAAAATATAAGATATATTTTGATTTGTTTAACACTTTTTTTGGCTACTACATGATTCTATATGTGTTATTTCATAGTTTTGATGTCTTCACTATTATTCTACAACGTAGAAAATAGTAAAAAATAAAGACAAACCCTGGAACGAGTAGGTGTGTCCAACCTTTTGACTGGTACTGTACGTTCAAATATACCAGCTGAAAGTGACACCATCTTGGACCACATATAATACAGCTATGACCCGCCATCTAAAACACTGTGACGTGGAGTATATGTTACAGTTTATAGGGATAAATGCAAAGTCAAAGAGATCCTATTAAATTACTAATATGTTATAATTTGTAATTCTAAGTGCAAAGTACACACAGTAGCTTGTTACAGTTACAGTCGGCATCTCAAGCACTAGCTAGTAGAGTACAGTACAAGGCGTACTAATGCAGTTACATTTGGCGGGCTGCATTTTTAACGAGCTGTTATTGTTGAGCCATCAAGTTGATGGTGGTTCACTGACTGTGTTGGTAAACAAAATCGTAGCGCTTAACAAATAAAACAGCTGTTTATGCAGAATTAGCCAACTGACACGTACCTTTTGCCTGAGAACATTGGGCCAAAGATGATCTGCAAACAAAGGACAGACAAATTAGTTGTGTACGATCCACTTAGAAATCATTGCATATGATTAAGTTATTTGTTATAAGATGATTATAAAAAAAGGTTTAGGGTTAACTTTGGGCATCTTCGAAAGAGGTTAACTAGCAAGCATTTGTATCAAAAAAGTTTGAGAACGTACCTGGATCTGTCCTCTTGCTTTTCGTGGGGAATTTGGCAGGATTCTTGAAACATTCAAACACTCCATTAAATTAACCTTCTGTTTCCCAATATTCCTAATAATTGTGAGAAATAAACTCGGCACTCTTTGAAGAGGCTAACAAGTTTATGAATATCCCGCCACGCAGTGTTGCCAACTCCTCTGTAAAGAAAGTAGCTATTGGCTGTCCTAAAAGCCGCTAAATGACGTCATCACCTAATTCGCCCTGACTGCGGCTTCCCGCATGCGCGATTCATTTGCAGTCTGAACATCTCCTGCTCTGACTGCAGCGAGAGGAATGGGCCGCCTGTGAGTGTTTTGGGACGGGTGTTGGGCCCTGGCCCGCTGCTCGTTGAGAAGAGTAAGAACGATACGTGCTTTCACGTCAGTCTCCAATAACACCAGAAAAAGTCGCTAGATTTGTCGCTAGTCTGAATACTCGCTAAATATAGAGACAAAGTCGCTAAATTGGCAACATTGCCTCCACGACCGTTTCTGTATATGATCAATGGTCATCTACGTCACTGAACGAACCAATCGTAGACCAACCCCCAAAAACGCGCCAGTAGTTCAAATTTCAGGCGGGAGACACATTGTTACACTTGTAAAATTGTACTTTCATTTAGCTTGAAAATTAACGATTGTACCGAGCTCCCCAGTATTTAACATTTATCTGGATAATTAGTCATATTTCATATTCTACTACTGTAGTAGGCCTTGGCAATCAATGAGTGCGTTCTGTTTTACGGTGGTGTTGTCAATTTAGTGTGAACCCTTTTTACTCCACCCAACACAGGGTTTAATGTTCTCTAGCACACAACCCACACAGAAGACCAAGTACGCTCGAGGTAAGTTTCATTTTAAATTCATGTGTTAACATTGATCGGACCCTGTTTCCCCACAGCAGACATGCACGCCATCCCCCAGGTAAATATCAGGCATGCAAAAGTGACACTGCATTATTCTGATATGGCACTACAATCTCGCTCTGGTGCTGCACAAAATTTGGGACCCACCCTTGGCCCTGCCAACTCCTCTAACGGACTCTCTACTATGGGACAAAATAGGGAGGAGGAAAGACAACGTATAGAAAGGGTGGGGATAGGTTATCGAGGCCGAAGAGAATCATATCCCCACAAAATAAAATTAACGTCTCTGTATGGCGATACCCAGATCCGCACAGCTCCCTGTCCTGGAAGCTGCCCGAGGTCTTAGATTGACGACGTCACCGATGGCCCCGCCTCCAGTGCTAAACACCCGAATTCGCCACTAAGACTTCTCGTCCCGCAGACACTGGTCTAGTGCGATCACAGCCAACACTCAAACAGACACGACCACTTGCATCGAGGCCTGATCACCACAAAACACAAGGCTTTTAAAGGAAATTACAGCCAATCCCCAGCTAGCTAACCCGCTGCAGGTGCGTCTGATCAAACCTGCCCCACCACCCATTTATCCACCAATCCATCTCGTGACATATGCAATGGATGGTTACAATGTCACACATGAATGATAGGCCTTCTATACAACATTTTGTCATATCACAAACCTGTCGTCCCCCCCCCCCCCCCCCCCTATTATTCGTGTAACTTTCCTATCCAGATAAACATATAGATATAGGTCAAGATCACATGCACAATGTAGGCTATTATTGCTCTTATCCATGACCATATCTTTACCACTATGCCAGTTCTATTTCACTTGGCGGTATCAACGCGAGGACAGTGCTAGGAGCCAGTTAGTAGGGCGCACGAGTGCAGAACGTTGACCCACTGTCCTCATTGGTCGCTTTTTGTCCCTGTTTATCTTTTGTCAAATTCCAAAGGTTCTCTGTGTTGTGCCTATCGGAGTATATCTGCTGTTGTTACCTTCAAGAGCAACAATGTCACGTTGGGAAGGATATGAAGAAGGATGTAAGTTGTGTGTGTCTGTTCATACAGTAGACATTGTACTTTAAATATGTAACCGGTTCTGTACTGCACCGCTGTAGCTCTGCGTTGTGTGTGATTGACTGAGGCTAAAGACGTTGACTTCGGAGATCAGGTTGTTTTAATGTATTACAGTTCTCTCTCCTGCATCCAAAAGAAAATACACAACATTTGTAGAGCACAACTATGTACTGCCAATCGTCGCGTCTCTCGTAGACGCTCCCCTATTCCCTAGGATGCAGGGCGTGCATAATAACAAATCAACATGCTATATTAACATATGAACCTGGTGAAATTCACAAAGTATTTTAACAACTGTTACAAATACATAATAATGTCTGCAAGTAGCCTAGTTCCTCTTTTTTTCATAACCAACTCTCTTCATTTCTAAACTTTGCCAATCCATTTGCCATTATTACTATAAAATAAAGCACAGTTTCTCAATATCTTATATCTAAATATCGATTATAAATACCTTAGTTCACTGCTCACATCACCTGTTGAAACAACAACAAAAGTAAAAAAAAAAAACCTGTATGTTGACTTCTATTATAAATCAAATGTTCCGGATGATTACCGCCTGAGGGCGCTGTTGGACTGCGCTTGCGCCCCCGCTGTCTGCCTGATCTTTATGAGCTAATGTTCGTATGGCCGCCCCGATTCACAACACACTTCTGTGCTGTTGCTTTGACAGGAGCTCGAGAGGCAGTTTTCGCCCAGCCAGTGGTCGCACAGAATGTCGGCAGACGACGTTATCAAAGCCCACGTGACGGCGCTCAAAGAAGGTCTGTCGATGATTGATTAACTAGCCGATAAAGTTGATTATTGACAAGCGTGTGGGTTCAGGAAAGAGCAGTAGCCAACTGAACGCTGTAGGGATCTTCTTTAGTCTAGCCATGACATATGGGTGGTGCCCGCAGTCCGAATAATGAAATGAATGATTGGAAAGTAGCCAACTGTGTGTTGTTGGTTTGATTTATATTGTTGTTGTGCACCGTATAGCTAGCTAGGCTTTCTGTATCAGTAGTTACACTACAGTTTAGTCAAAATATATATTTTTTGCAACGTAAACATAAAGGGTTTGTGTCTCCAGTTCAGAATTGTCTCGAGTCATTTTCCTATGTGTTTTTTATTCTAACTGTGTGTGTGTCTCCGTGTGCATGTTTTTGGTGTGTGTGTAGGTACGGAGCGTGCCCGTGGCCTGGCCCAGACCCTGCTGAACGTTCCCTATGGAGAAGGAGAGGGGGAGAAACTAGACGTCTATGTTCCCACCACCACTTCTCTAGGTGTGTCTGTGTGGAAAGCACGCGCGTGTGTGTGTAGAATGATGGCAAAAATGGTACAAACCGTCATTCTGTTACCAAACTTTGCATCTGCACTGTTCTTCAAGTATTTTTCCTATAATTTTCAGTGGAAATGGTTAAAAGTAGTCCTTGTGCATAAAGTTATGGTTTGTTTAACTTAGATTTTTGTTTGACATACATGTTAAAATAAAATAATCTGTGTCCGCATCATTCTATTACTGTGTAATTGCCCATAACCAATGTTTTCTTTCTTCTTATAGATGTCCCACTGGTAATCTACCTCCATGGAGGCTACTGGCAGTTCCTTAGGTATCTATCTATCTATCTAATCTATCTATCTAATCTATCTGATTCTAACAGAGGCATTTGTCTCTCTGGTCATTAATGGCTGTGATTTCGGGGAATTAATAACCATTCTACATATTCTATTTCACTGGCCTTTTCTCATTTGCAAAAAAATCCATCCTCTCTCCTCCATCCTCTCTGGTCGAGGAGAGTGTCAATTTTTTAGTAGGCGAAACGGAAGTGTCCTCCCCTCCTCGATAGCCACCTTTCATCGAGGATAGTCATGTGTATCCTACTGAGTCCTTCATGGAAGAGTTTTGATGTCTGCCACATCCCCTTTGAAGCAGTTGTTTTCTCAAAGGAGAAAAGCAAGCAAACATCTGATAAAGATAATGCTACTTATCCTTTTATCTATAAAATGTCTTCCACAACTAGCAACATGTGTTTTTATCACTTTACACATTTATTTTGGGATTCCACCCTTGTAAATGTAATTTGCCTGATGAGGCATGAGTGGAGAGGAGTGTAATTTCATGCAAGCGCATCTTTCTCCGTTACTTCTCCTCACCGCCTCTCCTCGATTACCGTTGACCTTTTTCAAAAGGAGGCGTGAGAGAGAACGCAGGAGAGAGGACGCAGGAGTTGAGCAAATCCAATTGAGAAAAGGCCTATGTTTCTACTTCCTAGTAAGGATGAGTCAGGGTTTATGGCCGTCCCTTTGGTCCATAAGGGCGTCGTGGTGGTCGCCGTGGGCTACGACATCGCTCCCAAAGGTACCGTTGGTGTGTCCCTGGTTTGTGATGTCATAGCAACATTGTAACCATGTGTCTAGGAGAAATGATGACTGCGTCCCAAATGACTCCCTGTTATCTATAACGACCACTTTGGTAGACTGCAGCTGGGGTCTTCAGAGCAGCAGCCTGTTGGTCGATAGTAGCTTTTGCCCCATGGGCCCTGGGGGGGAAAATAGTGCACTGTAGAGAATAGGATGCCATTTGGGACTCAGCACATCTCTGTGCCCTTTTTACACATTCTCTCCATCTGTCCCTCGTTTGTTCCTGTTTTTTCTTATTTTCCTCCTCTCTTCCCCCTGTTTTCCATCCAGGGAACATGGACGTGATGGTGTCTCAGGTGCGGAGGAGTGTGGTGTCCGTCATTCAACAGTATTCACACATTAGGTGCGCCCTCTTCATCAGTCTCAATCTCGGATCTGTACTTACTAAAGGCAGTCTTAATGATATAGAAGCATGTTTTAAATCAACTTCCATAGTCCTCCAAGAGTGGCTGAATATAATCTTATCTTCTGACTAAAGGAGATGGTAACGAATATGTCATGATTTGATATCATGAATGTCTAGGCTTGGGGTTGGTTTCTGACTGGCAATTTTTTCTCTCTCTCTCTCTCTCTCTCTCTCTCTCTCTTTCTCTTCTATCTCTCTGTTCTCTCCTCTCTTCTCTGTCTCTCTGTCTTGTCTCATGTATCTATCTGTTCTATATCTCTATCTCTCTATCTGCTCTATCTCGTCTCTGTTTCTCTCTTTGTTTCTCTCTCTTGTCTCTCGATTCTCTGCTATATTTGTATCTCTCTAGCTATCTCTCTCTCTATATCTCTCGTCTGCGCTCTTAGCGCTCTCTCTATCGTATCGAGAGTCTAGCTGCTCTCTATTCTGCCCTCTCTCTATAACTCTCTTCTATGTCTATATGTCTATCTATCTCATACTCTCTCTTCTCTCTATTCCGTCTTAGTGCTCTCGTCTCTTCTGTTCTCTCTATCTGCTCTATCTATTCTATTCTCGTCTGTCTATCTATTATCCTCTTCTCCGTCTCGTCGTCTATATCTCTCTCTCTCTTCTCTCTCTCTCTCTCTCTCACTATCTCTCTCTCTCTCTCTCTCCCCAGTGGTCTGTACCTGTGTGGCCACTCTGCGGGGGCCCACCTGGCTGCTATGATCCTCTCTACAGACTGGTCTCAGTACAATGTGACCCCTCAGATCAGAGGTTAGAGGTCAGGGTATCAGCAGAGACGTGAGCTCAGTAATCTTTCTCAATAGTCACAGAAAGACCATTGGGAAAGAGCCATGCTTTTTGTTGATCCTTATTTTGAATGATTGACAATCTTCTCTCCCTCCTATCTCCTTATGCATACATTGTCTGTCTATCTGTCTCTCTTCTCTCTCTCTCAGGTGCGTTCCTGGTCAGTGGTATATATGACCTTCTGCCCATCCTGTCCACCTATGTCAATGAGCCTCTGAAGATGACAGAGTACGTACCACACAAACACACACCCCCACACCCACCCCTGAAGATGACAGGGTATGTACCACTGAATGCTCAACCTTATCTACTAATGGTCATCTAAGGTCAGTAATGGTGTTTATCAATGGCCTAATTATTTGTGTGTGTCTGGCATTGTGTATGTGACAGAGTGAGGAAGATTCAATGAATCCTATTTTTAGAGAGAGCTGTAGTCTGTGTGTTTGCTCTGTGTGTGTCCAGTAGCAGTCAGTGCCATCACCAGAGGCTCCTCTCTCTCTCTCTCGCCTCATTTCTTCTCTTTCTCTTTGTCTCTGTCTCTCTCTCTCGTCACAGAGAGGTGGCTCTGAGGAACAGTCCTAGTCAGCTGGTTCCGCAGCTCAAACTCTCCTCCTCCAACTGTGACATCGTGGTTGCCATGGCGCAGACCGACTCGCCAGAGTTCCGGAAGCAGTCTGAGGACTACTACAAAGTCAGTACAGACTGAACACATAGAACTAGAACGCTGAAACTTAGAATTTGAGAAGTAGAACACAGAATCAGAGCTGGTAAATAGAATACGTCCGAGTTCCATGGATGGAAGAACAGACATTATCTGGAACAGTTTTAGGGCCTAGAAAATGAAATATTTTTCAACATCTTACTGTCCCTTCTTTTTCTCTTTTGTTCTTCCTTCCTTTCTCTACCTCCTCTCTCCCTTCCTCTTCCTCTCTCCCTCCTCCTTTCCTCCTCCCCTCTTGCAGGCTCTGGAGTCAACAGGAGGACTGAAGGTAACATTGGAGGACGTTCCAAACACCGATCACTTCAACATCATCGAGCAGCTAGTCGACGGAGACTACCACCTCACTCAGGTAGTTACCCCCATCCCTACCTCTTTTGACGCCGGCCGCTTCTCGAAGCGATCCTCCTTCTGCCTCGCACAGCCCTGCCTATCTATCGACCACTCACCCTCATAGAGCCCGGCCTCGTCAGACTCATACTATCCGCCTCTTCCTCCATCATCCCTTCCGTCTCCTCCTATCTACCCTCCTTCTTCCCAATCTATCCCTTCCTTCTTCCTCCTCATCTATCCCTTCCTTCTTCCTCCTCATCTATCCCTTCCTTCTTCCTCCTCATCTATCCCTTCCTTCTTCTTCTTCTCGCTCTCTTTTTCTCTCCCCCGTCCCTATCCCTCTTTCCAAGTCAACCGTTGAAATTAAATGAAAAAAGTAATTTTTATTCATTAGCTATTTCATCCAGACCTTAGTGTGGTGTAGTTTTTTTGAGTCACTCTCCTTGAACTAATTATCATTACTCATCATGAGTAGCAGTTTGTCTGTCTCAAAGGTTAAGATGAACTTGACCTCTGTGACCTTTGTGTCTTTATGCTTCTACCTCTTCCTTGTACAGCTGCTGTTAAAGATGATGGGGAAGAGCTAAAGAGATACAGGGACACCGGCCAGTCATTTAAGAGATACAGGGACACCGGCCAGTCATTTAAGAGATACAGGGACACCGGCCAGTCATTTAAGAGATACAGGGACACCGGCCAGTCATTTAAGAGATACAGGGACACCGGACAATCATTGAAGAGATACAGGGACACCGGCCAATCATTCATTCACATATCAACCACAAACACCTCTGTTCAGAACCACATCTAGAGGCGCCACGCACCAGTTATTGTTGAGGGGGGACTGATGGCTATTGGCTAAACAAGGTGGTTAGGTAACAGGCATTCTTTTTTGTGTTACAGCAGCTCTGGGGTGACGTTTCCCCTAGTTACAGGTCTAGGATCAGTTTAGATTCCCCCTAACTTTAACCATTAGTGGGGAAAATGCAAATAACTGACCAGAGATCAGCATATAGCATTTTGTCTCAAAGGCCACATCGGGATTTCAAAATTCAGCGGAAGGCGCACAGATTTTTTTCCCGGACCAATTTGTTAGTCAAAATCAATTTGCGGCCCAGAAAAAGGGCAGTTAATTCAAAACGTTTAGTTCCATTATAATTTCTACATACTTTCTATCTAATTTTAAACGTTCAAGAGTGGCCTGGAGTGTTTTTTAAACCCCAAATCCCCTCAATCCACCCATTATGACATAATTGACTTGAATAAGGATGCATGTTCTTTGATTCTATTTCTATACTCTGAACTATATTGACTGAATATTTCCCCACAATGTTGTTGTTCACCTTTTTATTACAACTTTATTCACCTGTCATTAGAACCAGGTTTCAAATTATACATCGACTCTTGGGGGCGCATGAACAATGATTCAAACCCTGGTTATTTTATAAAGGACATGAACAGGGTCGGGACTTCTCATGTTAAGATTGAGGACATGACATGAATTGAAATCAGTATGGTGAAGGGTGAATGTTGGCATTCAATAGGTTATGTCCCGAATGGTGACCAAGGCCCTGGTTAAAAGTAGTGCTATATATATTAGCAAATCTGAGTAAATTATCTAGCACACTAAAATGTAGTCATTGTTTTATGTGGGTCATGGTGCTTCTTTGTCTAGTAGCCTAAATCATTGTTTACATTATTGTTTACATTACATGTTTCTAGTCGTAATTGTTGTGGGAGAATTATGAAAAATATCAAATAAATGTGTATCAATCATATAAGTGTTCCAATTCTGTCAAACGCTTGCTTTATGAGAAAATAATGGTGACAGTTTGGAGAGAAGGGACTGTCGATGAAAACTGGGGTTACAAGGGAATGACTCTAGCCTTTTCATAATACTCATATGAAACGTTATAAATAGGATCATTGTTTTTGGGGAACAAGAGGGATCTTGTGCTCGACAAGCCTTCTGACACCATTCATCAGAGAATATCGCGCTCTAGAGACAACGCGTTGTTCTAGAACGTTCTTTTCATTCTACTGCAGCAGCAGTTCTATTCCTATTCATTTCGTTTGGAGTTTTTAGGAAAATATTATTTGTCTCTTGAGTCTGAACTGTACTGTACCCACTTTTATGGACTGTACAGGTTACCCGAGAAGGTCAGGTCCAGTATGTTCAACTCAGCGCGATGGACAGAATATTTGAAGCAAATGCTGGGTCATCGAAGCAACGCGGAAAGGAACGGACCAATCAGGAAGATCGTTGGGATGCGTTGGGTAGGCGGTGCGGCGGCGGCACGTTGGCAGTCCGCAGGGTTTTGCAGAGTTCATTCCGCTCGCGCCTGGGAAGCAGCGACAAGGCGGAAGTAGTGCTGGCTGCCTCAACTCTCTTCCAGCGATGGAGCGGGGGGAGTAGGGACCGAGATCCACCGAAACACCGCATAACCTCCTCCAAACAGCCGCTACGGGGGGACGCGGAGACCTCCCTCTCACCCAGTAAGTAACAAAGGCATAATAAAGTAACGGATCATTTCAACTGACAAGCAGTCTGGAGGAGGATTTATCAATGATGCTATCCAATAAGCTAGCCCCTAATGCTAAAGTTGTTGCACAAGCTAGCTAGGCGCTTGCAAAAAGTGGAATATACTTTACGAAACTACTTCCGAACTTCTCAGACTTTTTCAGAGTTTCCATCGATTGACAGTCATTCACCTAACTTTTGACGATTGCTCCTACATGTATCATAGCTAGACCTTGATCATAACTCCGTTCCATTACTTTACACATAAGAGTCATTGGATAAAGTCGTCTTCTGTACAGGGGAGGTTTGTTAAGAGCCCAGACGTTCGGTCTGAACATTAACACGCATTGCTTGCGGTACGGTTTTGGAAGCATAACGGCCTTATCTTTCATATCAGCGTGAAACATTTTTCTCAAAACAAAAGGTTAAATTGATACACACCCTTTATAGGGATAGGGTTGGTGTTCCTACAAGGTCATATCTACATGTTACAGCTGTGTTGTGATGTTGCCCGGCAATTGAAAGGGACAGGCGGCTATTTGAGACTCAGCGTTTTTACGGTAGTCAATTTTCTTCTTCTTCATTGGCTGATTGCTTCCAACTCATAGGAATCCCCACCCAGTTGACTACTTTAAAATGGTGGAATCCCTCAATGGCAATGTCCATGTTAAAACAGTTTATATCCATGATGAGTCCTATCTATGTATGGTTTACTCCAAACGGAAAACGCAAACAAGAGTTTCTATTGTATACATTTGGGTAGGTTCCTCCCCGTTTCATTCCGATTGCTCTGTTTGCTTCCATTTGGTTCTTAAACGGTTTTCATAATGAATACACCCCTGGTAGTCTGGCTAGATTTCTGGCTCCACCTCTCTTCCTGTCCATGCTGTCTTGTTGGGGGGACCGACCTAGCTATATCAGGGATGTCCAACTCTTTCAATAGAGTGTCTGCTGGTTTTGTTATTTCCTTTCAATGTTTCCGATTATAAGACGTAGACGACCAGCAGAGGGGAATCCCTAACATGGTTGACATGTATAGGGGACAGACAGTTCAACATAGAGGGGTCATGCAGATAGGACATGGATCCTGCTTGGTAGTATATCTGGTATAAACTAACATCAACCAGTTTGAATCAAGGAAAAACAGTTTAAACTAACACAAACTGGTTTAAGGCTAGTTTTATCTGATTTAGGAGATTTTGATCTGGTTTTAGCCAGCATGCTCACAATACTGTAATCAATATCCCACAGGGATCCCAAGCTGAGCACTAATACCATTTGATTGATTTAGTGAAGGGGAGTCCAACTCATTCCATGGAGGGCCCAGTGTCGGCTGGGTTTCTTATCTCCTCTCAACTTGTGTCCAGTTAAGACCCAGACAACCAGGCGATGAAGAGTGATTATATCACCATAACAACAGTGGTGGCTTTGCGTCTTATGTTGTTTACATATGCGTTAGCGTTTCGTTCTTTTGTGCTTCAGTCAATCAAACATCGTTACCTCGTTTACCTGTATTAGGTGACACACATGGGATGCATCACAAATGGCACCCTATTCCCTATGTAGTGCTCTACTTTTGACCAGGGACCTATGGTAAAGTAGTGCACTATATAGGGAATTGGGTGCCATTTGGCACACACACTCGGTTTGGAGTTTTTTTACTCAGTCATTATTGCACAGTTCTACCTCTCCTCTTACTGGCTAGAGAGAGAGAGGGAGGGACATAGAGAGGGTGACAAGGACAGAGAGAGGGAGGGACAGAGAGAGGGAGGGACAGAGAGAGGGAGGGAGGGACAGAGAGAGGGAGGGAGGGACAGAGAGAGGGAGGGAGGGACAGAGAGAGGGAGGGACAGAGAGAGAGGGAGGGACAGAGAGAGAGGGAGGGACAGAGAGAGGGAGGGACAGAGAGAGAGGGAGGGACAGAGAGAGAGATGAAGAGATGGAAATCACTTGCTGGATGAGCGGGCGGCAGAGAGGATAGGGGGCTGGAGCAAGGGATGCGTGCAAAGGAAGGAGAGGAATATGCCTGTTGCTGAGCGCTCGGGGAGGAGGAGAAGAAATGGTGAATAACGGAACAGCTGGATCTGAGAGAGGAAGAGATAAAATAGTGAACACAGCTGGTTTCTGTGGCATGCAGGTTTGGGTTCACACGCAGTGTGAGGGGGGTGATTTGATGAGTGAATGCCTGAGTGAGAGAAAGTGAGAGTGTGGTTGTGTTAGATAGAGGCACATGGTTTTGATTGGTCTCTCCTGTGTGAGTCTCTTGTGGTCGGCTACCTCAGTAACTCCTCAGAGACTGGCTTATAACCTCATGACGATACATCCTACTCTTCTTACCTACACAGCTAACCTGTTGACATCTAATTGAAGTGGAACGAAAAGTGTTTATGCAACAGTTTGTGCGTCCCTAAATGGCACCCTATCCCCTACATAGTGCACTACTTTTTAACCCTATGGGCCCTGGTCAAAATAAGTTCACTACGCAGGAAATATGGTGCCATTTGGGACACATTCGACAGTGTTTAGTAACTAGACCAGAGGCAGAGAGCATCAGGGGAGACGCCACTCCACGGCAGTTGGTTCCCCTTACAGAGTAAATGTGTGTTTTCCTGGGTTCAAATACTATTTCAAATCATTTCAAATACATTATACGGCCTTGATTGAGCTTGCCTGGCACAGTGGAACCAATAGAATAGTTGCAAGCGGTCAAACCCCACCCATCTGGAACTCCCAACATGCTAGAGAGCAAACGCTAAAAGTATTTGAAAGATTTCAAATAATATTTGAAACAAGGTATGTATTCTATAGTATTTTAGTGTGTAGCCCTTGTTGCCTGTCTTGTAGCATTGTGTGAGTCAGTAGTACAGGTGGGTGGGTGCATAACTGTGACAGAGGAACAATGGAACTAGTACCTACCTGTCTACCTTTTTAAGTCTGTTGCCCCTGGCAACTGTTAGCAGTTGATGTTATTCTTCAATAACACAGACCCCAAAGCAAATCAGGGGGAGAAATATATATTTATTCAAAGAGAACAAATAATAGTTGTTATGCTGGAAAGTAGATGTTTACATTTACATTTTTTACATTTAAGTCATTTAGCAGACGCTCTTATCCAGAGCGACTTACAAATTGGTGCATTAAACTTAGGTTAGCCAGTGGGACAATCACATCTTGATCACAGTAAGTACACTTCTTCAAACAAGCAGCTGTGAGCAAAGTCAGTGCAATCAGGGACAACTACATCTCGATCACAATAAGTACATTTCTTTAAACAAGTCAGTGCTAGCAGGTGAAATAAGTCAGGTGTTAGTTTAGACAAAAGACAGTGGTAGTAAGGGGGGGTAGAAGGATTACTATAATACTATTCCAGGTATTCCTTAAAGAGGTAGGGTTTCAAGTGTCTCCGCTGTCCTGGCGTCGTGGGAGAGCTTGTTCCACCATTGGGGTGCCAGAGCAGCGAATAGCTTTGACTGGGCTGAGCGGGAACTGTGCTTCCATAGAGGTAGGGGGTCTGATCAGAGCCTGAAGGTAAGGAGGTGCCGTTCCCCTCACAGCTCCGTAGGCAAGCACCATGGTTTTGTAGTAGATGCGAGCTTCAACTGGAAGCCAGTGGAGTGTGCGGAGGAGCGGGGTGACGTGAGAGAACTTGGTAAGGTTGAACACCAGACGGGCTGCAGCGCTCTGGATAAGTTGCAGGGGTTCATTCTCTCCTGTCCTTAATGTTTTCTCCACTGAACAAATAGACAGGATGTAGTTTATAGCCTCAAGCCTAGCATGTGGCTGACCAATTAGAATTCCTTGCAATAAAATTGGGCCAATGGTCAAACCCCCAAGTATCCTGTTTCAGGCTCAATGTATAGACAATTTCGACCAATGAGAACTTGCCACATGTAGCTATGAGTCCCTGGTTGGAACCCCTACACAGATTCTAAACAGATGTTGAACTGAAAAACAACTATTTCCATTGATCGTTAATTCCCTCTTGACCTCTATTGACCACTAGTCCTCTGCGTTGTGTATTTATCTTGGAATATTCTTACACAACCATTATGCAAGAGATGCAGAGAGCGGGTCACCTTGTCTTGTCTGTACCGGTACTGTACTTCACACACACACCACACCACACACACACACACACAGAGCCCTCTCCAGTTTCAGCTGGAAGGCACCTGTTCCCTCTCTTCCGCCCAGCCATGGCACCCTATTCCCTACACAGAGCCTTATGGGCCATGTCAAATGTAGTGCTCTACATACCGAATAGGGTGTTCAGGTACCACACCTGAGGTCATGTAGTGGTGTAGGGGTAAGTTGCCCCTAGACACTGTTGTTGGGTCAGTTTGGCATTTTCCCTACTTATAGTTAAAGATAGGATTGGGGTAGGGGAAGCTGATTCTAGATCTCTACCTAGTGGAAAACTACACAAAGGAGCGCTGGTAGCCCAGAGTCATATTCATTAGTGTAAACATGTTGCAACAGGAAATGTTATGCAAAGAAAACTGAGTTTCTTTCTTATTGGATGAGTTCAGTTTCTGTCTGTTTTCTTTCGTTTAGTGTCTAGTGAATACGACCCAGTCCTGGGGTGCCTTGCTCAGTCACTAGCTAGGTTTCCATCCAATTGCAGACAGATCTTCATGCGAATATTGAAAAATACGCATAAAGAAATTATGCGCATTTTCCCACCATGGTTTCCACCAAACGGACTTGTTGCGGTTAAAAGTCAATGCTTGATGACCTAGTGCACACAAAATGTACTTTTTCGCTTATGTTTTCATGAAATGAATAAAAATCTTTAAAAAATCTAAACAATCTAAAAATCTAGACCACTGCATCGCAGTGCTAGCTGTGCCACTAGAGATCCTGGTTCGAATCCAGGCTCTGTCATAGCCGGCCGCGACCGGGAGACCCATGGGGCGGCGCACAATTGGCCCAGCTTCGTCCAGGGTAGGGGAGGGAATGGCCGGCAGGGAGGTAGCTCAGTTGGTAGAGCATGGCGTTTGCAACGCCAGGGTTGTGGGTTCGATTCCCATGGGGGGCCAGTATAAAAAATTAAATCAAAACAATTATAATGTATGCACTCACTAACTGTAAGACGCTCTGGATAAGAGCGTCTGCTAAATGACAAAACATGTTAAATGTAAAATGTAATGCGTTTCCATCGCATTTTCAACTCTACCGATATAGTTTTGTCACATAAATGTGCGTTAAATAGCAAATGTGCCTACTCTGGTCTTGGCACCTGCGCTCTAGCCAACAGCTCGCAGATACAGTGTGGCTACGTAGGCTAGTCTACATGATGAGATTATTATGGATAAGAACGAGAATATTTGTATTTGTCAAATGGCAGTTAAACATCAATTATCATGTCACCAGAATAAGACCCTCGATATTTATTGGAAAGGAGCATCAAGCTGATTAACGTGCACTTTCACCACCCTGTGAAGTTAATCATAATTTATTTAATCTGTAGCCTAATAAACTGCATGCTTTCCTGAGTCGTAGTGGGAGGACCGCACACCAGATCATCACGTGACTCCAAGTTTACTTCGATATGATGGATAATATACCAATATTTGCGCATAAAGGCGTTTCCACCACCATCTTTCGCATAATTACTTTTACAGACACAAAAAGTTACCACCATGTCGAACAAACAAATTATATCTCTGCATTTATAAAATTGTACCGAAACTACCTGTTTCCATCACAGCTGTCGTGATTTTTTCAATTTAATTTGGTATGACTTTACTCGCATAAAAACTGTGGATATAAACGTGGTTAGTGGAATGGACCATTTCACTAATGCTCAGCACCAGGCTGCAGTATAACAATAAACAGTGGACAATATATTGAATGAACAGCAATTAAAAAACATTTGTTCTCTTCCTCTCCTCTTCTTTTTCCAATTTACTTTCCCCTTGTATCTCTGGCTTCTCTCTCTCTCCCTCTTTCTCTCCCTGTCTGTCCATCTCTCTCTCTTTATCTCTCTTTTGCCCCGCTCTCTTTCTCTCTCACCACCCCCACCCCCCGCCTTCCCAGCTCCCTCTCCCATGTCCGTTATCCCAGGGTATAATTCAGAGCCGGAACGTGGTGGTGGTCCTGATTATTCCAGTTCCATGAATTCCCTGCGGATTTCCGTGCGAGGACTTCCCGGCCTGGCCTCCATGGCCGGCGCCGCCTCCGCTTCCGACCCCCGCTTCCGCCTAAAATGGAGGGCAATCACCGTGGCAACACTCCTAGCCCTCTCCCTCCTCCTCTACCTGCACCAGACGACGGGGGGTGGAGCTGGCGGCGATGAGGTCTTCGGCGGCGTCTCCTCTGACCGCTTCCATCACCACGGTAACGGGGCGCAAAGCTGGCGGACGAACAACAACAAGAAAGTAAACAATAACGGTGTCCGTCAACTGGTGGCAGCAGTGGGATCCAACAGCGGCGTCAACTCGAAGAATAAACGTTACAACGACACGTATCCTCTCAGCCCGCCGGAGAGGACGGCGTACGGGAGCATCCGGTACCGTATCGGGGTGATCGCCGACTTGGACACGGCCTCACGGAGCACCAAGGTATTTAAATCACCCTTAAAAACACTCATTTCAGCTTTATCCGTTATTAGACTGTGTTTATGTTATTTTATTCATCAGTTTGATCCTGTTTGCTTTATTTCTTTCATTTGACTGTTTTACTATAAACCGCGTGGGGATTTTAAGTGCAATCAAAATATAATGTGATTGAATTTGATGTTAATTTAAGGAGCTTATCTTATTTTAAGGAGCAGACGTGTTCAGCTACATCAGGAATTAATACAGTATGTCTTAACTTATGTTATTTTATCTTATCTTATATTAGGAGTAGACGTGGTTCAGCTACATACTATAAAATAAAGTATTTATCTTATTTTATCTTATTTTAGGAGTAGACATGGTTCAGCTACATGCAAAAATAAAGTATTTATCTTATGTTATGTGTAGGGTCAGACGTGGTTCAGCTTCATGCGGAGGGGCCACCTGGTGGTGTCTGAGAGTGGGGACAGAGTGGAGGTGGAGTGGGACCCAGACACCCTGACCCTGGAGAGCCACCTGGCTGAGAAGGGACGAGGTGGTTTAAATTACTGTGGTTCCGTCTAAAATGGCACTCTATTCCCTAATTAGTGCACTACTTAGTAGTGTAGTATATAGCGAATGGGGTGCCATTTGGGACTCAAACGGTGTTGTACCATTTATTCAAATGGTTTCAATGCTTTAATATCAGCATTTGTCACAAACCGCTTTTAAAGCTGCAATATGTAACTTTTTGGGCGACCCAACCAAATTCACATAGAAATGCGTGTTATAGATCTGTGGCAGCCCTCCGCACCTCTCTGATTCAGAGGGGTTGGTTTAAATGCGGAAGACACATTTCAGTTGAATGCATTCAGTTGTACAACTGACTAGGTATCTTCCTTTCCCTTTAGTTCTCATTGGAAGCAAGTCTAAGAAGCGGTAGATATGTTCTATGTGTGCTATTTCTATGCTTCCCATTCTTAAGTTTAGATTCTCTACACTATACTTTCTTGTTTTGTCACATAAACTGAAATAAGGCAAACTATTATAATTTTAGCAACCAGGAAATGGCGGAGTGATTTCTGCATAGTGCATCTTTACAGTCAGTAACCAGTAGTGCATCTTTACAGTAACCAGTAGTGCATCTTTACAGTAACCAGTAGTGCATCTTTACAGTAACCAGTAGTGCGTCTTTACAGTAACCAGTAGTGCATCTTTACAGTAACCAGTAGTGCGTCTTTACAGTAACCAGTAGTGCGTCTTTACAGTAACCAGTAGTGCATCTTTACAGTAACCAGTAGTGCATCTTTACAGTAACCAGTAGTGCGTCTTTACAGTAACCAGTAGTGTATCTTTACAGTAACCAGTAGTGCATCTTTACAGTAACCAGTAGTGCATCTTTACAGTAACCCGGCCTAGACACCAAAGACTAAGCAGAAGAGGAGGGTGGTTTAAACCAGGGGTTCTCAAACCTCTCCTCAGGGACCCCAAAGTCATTCCATGTTTTTGATCTATTCCAGAGCTAGCACCCCTGATTCAACTTGTCAATTAATCATCAAACCGTCGACTAGGTGAATCAGGTGATCTAGTTCAGGGCTACAATGGAATTGTGAAACGTCTGATGTTCCCTGAGGAGACGTTTGAAAACCACTGGTTTAAACCACTGTGTTGTGTTATCTTAGCCTGGCTGCCAGACCACTCTGTTTCTGCTCTCTTGCCAACTCCTTATGGAATTGTCATGCTGTGTAAGGAGTTGGCTAGAGAGCAGAGACAGACAGGCAGCCAGGCTAGTATCACATACAGTAGTTGGAATGTGTTCTCCTTTCTTCTGTCTCATGAGAAGTAGAAAACTTCAGAAAGTATTCATACTCCATGACTTATTCCACATGTTGTTGTGTTCCAGCCTGAATCCAACATGGATTTCATATATATTTTTCTCTCACCCATCTACACACAATACCCCATAATGACAAAGTGAAAACATGTTTTTAGAAATCTTTGCAAATGTATTGAAAATGAAATACAGAAATATCTTATTTACATAAGTATTCACACCCCTGAGTCAATACGTGTTAGAATCATATTTGGCAACAATTACAGCTGTGAGTCTTTCTGGGTAAGTTTCTAAGAGCTTTGCACAACTGGATTGTACAATATTAGCCTATTATTAATTCTTCATGCTCTGTCAAATTGGTTGTTGATCATTGCTAGACAACCATTTTCAAGCCTTGCCATCAATTTTCAAGTAGATTTAAGTCAAACATTCACTGTCTTCTTGGTAAGCAACTCCAGTGTAGATTTGGCCTTGGGTTTTAGGTTATTGTCCTGCTGAAAGGTGAATTAATCTCCCAGTGTCTGGTGGAAGCAGACTGAACCAGGTTTTCCTCTAGGATTTTGCCTGTGCTTAGCTCTATTCCGTTTCTTGTTTATCCTGAAAAACGACCCAGTCCTTAACGATTACAAGCATACCCATAACATGATGCAGCCACCAATATGCTTAAAAATATGGAGAGTGGTACTAAGTAATGTTTTGTATTGGATTTGCTCCAAACATAACACTTTGTATTCAGGACAAAAGGTTAATTGCTTTGCCACATTTTTTGCAGTATTACTTGTTTAGTGCCTTGTTGCAAACCAGATGCATGTTTTGGAATATATTTTATTCTGTACAGCCTTCCTTCTTTCTTTTCACTCAGTCAACTAGGTTAGTATTGTGGAGTAACTACAATGTTGTTGATCCATCCTCAGTTTTCTCCTATCACAGCCATTAAACTCTTTTAAAGTCACCATTGGCCTCATTGTGAAATCCGTGAGCGGTTTCCTTCCTCTCCGGCAACTGAGTTAGGAAGAAAGCCTGTATCTTTGTAGTGACTGGGTGTTTTGATACACCATCCAAAGTGTAATTAATAACTTCACCATGTTCAAAGGGCTATTCAATGTATGCTTTTTTTATGTTTACCCATCTACCAATAGGTGCCCTTCTTTGCGAGGCATTGGAAAACCTCCCTGGTCTTTGTGGTTGAATCTGTGTTTGAAATCCACTGCTCGACTGAGGGACCTTACAGATAATTGTATGTGTGGGGTACAGAGATGAGGTAGTCATTCAAAAACCATGTTAAACACTATTATTGCACACAGAGTGAGTTCATGCAACTTATTATGTGACTTGTTAAGCATATTTTTATTCCTGAATTTATTTAGGCTTGCCATAACAAAGGTGTTGAATACTTATTGACTCAAGACATTTCAACTTTTCATTTGTTATTAATTTGTAAAAATGTAGAAAAACATTATTCCACTTTGACATTATGGGGTATTGTGTGTAGGCCAGTGACCAAAAAATCTCAATTTAATCAATTTTAAATTCAGGCTGTAACACAACAACATATGGAAAAAGTCAAGGGGTGTGAATACTTTATGTACTTAATATTGATGAAGACTGTGCTGCGCTGGGTGCATCAAATATCGACCGACCGACTGATCATTATATTGACTGACCAATCATTATATTGACTGACCAATCATTATATTGACTGACCAATCATTATATTGACTGACCGATTATTATATTGACTGACCGATTATTATATTGACTGACCGATCATTATATTGACTGACGATCATTATATTGACTGACTGATTATTGTACCAGGTATGGAGCTGTCGGAGCTGGTTGCGTTCAACGGTCACCTGTACAGTGTGGACGACCGTACAGGAGTTATCTACAGGATAGAGGGGAACCAGGCCGTACCCTGGGTTATACTAACTGATGGAGACGGGTCTGTCTCAAAAGGTCAGTGTTAAGGTGTGTGTGGGGTGTGGGGGGGGTGTAGTGCTCAAAGCAGAGTGGCTGGCGCTGAAGGATGAGTGTCTGTACGTGGGAGGGTCTGGGTAAAGAGTGGATCACCAGGACCATACTGTAATAACCTCTAACCCCTGACCTCTGTGTAGGGTTCAAGGCGGAGTGGCTAGCGGTGAAGGATGAGTGTCTGTACGTGGGAGGGTCTGGGTAAAGAGTGGATCACCAGGACCATACTGTAATAACCTCTAACCCCTGACCTCTGTGTAGGGTTCAAGGCGGAGTGGCTAGCGGTGAAGGATGAGTGCCTCTACGTGGGTGGTCTGGGTAAAGAGTGGACGACCACTACCGGAGAGTTCATCAACGACAACCCCGAATGGGTCAAGGTGGTGGGTTACCGCGGCGACGTGGAACACGAGAACTGGGTGCCGCGCTACAACGCCCTGCGCAGCGCAGCCGGGATTCAACCGCCAGGTGAGGGAGGGGGCGGAGTCTAGTCTAATACACCTGTCTTTAATCCTCTTGGTTCCTGGAAGAACGTATGACTCACCCATTCATCTTTGTCTCTGTCACGCTAACTCTCTTCCTCTTTTAAAGTTCATGCACACACCTTTACTCACTTCTTTCATTCTCACTTTCTATTGTCTCTGTCTCCGAGGCAACCTGATCCATCAAGTTAGTTGTCTTCATCTCTCACTGTCTCTGTCTATCAATCAATCATCTCACCATCTCTGTCAACTGGGTTATTTCACTCTCTCTCTCTCTCTCTCTCTCTCTCCCATCCAGGTTACCTGATCCATGAGTCTGCGGCGTGGTCCGACCGCCTCCAGCGCTGGTTCTTCCTCCCCCGCCGCGCCAGCTCGGAACGCTACGATGAGACGGCCGACGAGCGCCGCGCCACCAACCTCCTCCTCTCCTGCCCCTCGGACTTCAGTGACATCACCGTGGGGCACGCTGGACCCCTCCACCCAACGCACGGTTTCTCCTCGTTCAAGTTCGTACCGGACACCGACGATCAGATCGTACTAGCGTTGAAGTCGGAGGAGGACGCGGGGAAGATAGCGACGTATGTCCTCGCGTTTACGTTGGACGGGAGGATGTTGCTGCCGGAGACGAAGATAGGAGATGTGAAGTATGAAGGACTGGAGTTCATCTAAAATGGATGGATGGATGGAGAGGAAAAATAGATCCTTAGGAGGAGAGACTGGAGAGAAGGGTGGATACAGGATACAACAGGACAGGGTTGGTAGTTAGTCCTACCAGCCACGTATAGGAACTCTAACATGCATCACCTACCTGTGAAGTAGTGTGACGAGGTAGGAGGACTCTGTTCAAGGAAGGGTCAAGGTCCCAGTCTTCACCAACAAGGTTGTCCAGAGAAACGACTAGTGTTTGGTGACATCCGATACCCTATGATTCTTCTCATGGGCCACTTCCTGCCCCCAAAGGAGTCTTGGTAATGTAGTCCACTAAGGCTGCGTTTAAACAGGCAGCCCAATTCTTTTGACCAATCACGTCAGATCTTTTTCAGAGCTGATCTGACTGGTCCAAAGAATTGTCTGCCCCTCTAAACGCAGCCTAAGACCTATGGTTGAACAGTGGTCAAAACTCTGCCGGTCAGACGCTCAGGGGAACAACATGGAAGAAAAACCCTAAGATTGACAGGGTTGTGTTCAGTTGGCACAAAACAGAAATAAACTTTTTAAAACTGAGCTTTAATTACCTGAAGTTGTCCAATAAGGACAGTAATTTTGGGGGTTTTCCGTTGGAATGTATTTTTTTTTGTTTTTTTAATGTTTGTGCCTTCTGAAGAGGATCCTGGTTGTTTAAACACTAACTTAGATGACGTTGGGTTGTCAACGTTAGCCGTACGTTGAACACACTACACTGAATAGGACGTATGATCTTCATACACCAGCTGTTATTATTTAATGGAATTGTTTTAACTTGTTTTCTCTCTTCCAAAAAGAAAACAAAAACTCAACACCTCAAAGATTAAATTGTTCATTATGTCATTCTGGTTCTTGATCAAAGAGTTGGTTGAATAATGGACAGCTTACCACAAAACATGGGTCATACAGATTCAAATGTTTGTCCAATTTTTATTGATCACAACATTATTTAGATCCTCTTACAGGCTGATTTAAATGCATCAATCATTCATTGTAAAATTACACCTCATAACAGTTATCATTCCATTAATATAGGATAGTCATTGTTCAGTGAAGTCATCATTTAAAACATTGGTTTTCAGAACATACCATTAACTAATTGGAATTTACAAAGACACGTTCCACAAATACTCAGTCAAACGATGTGGATCCCATTGACAAACTTGATCAGATACATTTCACACATCATCCTATAGTTATTGATACATGGCCGTTAAACACCGTTTTTCAATCAAACAAGCAGCTGAATTAATCATCTAACGTTGTCGTCCCTTTTTTCCAAAAGGACATTTAAAACCTGAGGATATAGTAGTAGTGCAAGGTGGCGTTTGGTGAAATGTTGTTTACAAGCTGGTTCCCATGACGATGATGTCCCGAGGCAGCCCCGCCATTTTGAGCGTTGTGAAGGAGCCCAGTTTAGAGTAGAAGTCAAACATCCTCCTGTCACCCTGCCTCAGCTCACAGAACACACCTCTGGAACCTGTCGGAGAGAGAGAGGCAGGGTAGAGCGGGTAGATTCAGATTGGAACTACAGTCAAAGGACAAGGAGAGAAAAAAAACGTGTGAGGAATAAGATAATCAAACTGAATGAGGGGCTACGCATAGACGTTTGTTAGAGTTATGATAATCCAGCCCTATGCCATCAGACCGGCAGGGGGGAGAAACATCAATATGTTATGATAATCCAGCCCTATGCCATCAGACCGGCAGGGGGGAGAAACATCAATATGTTATGATAATCCAGCCCTATGCCATCAGACAGGCAGGGGGGAGAAACATCAATATGTTATGATAATCCAGCCCTATGCCATCAGACAGGCAGGGGGGAGAAACATCAATATGTTATGATAATCCAGCCCTATGCCATCAGACCGGCAGGGGGGAGAAACATCAATATGTTATGATAATCCAGCCCTATGCCATCAGACAGGCAGGGGGGAGAAACATCAATATGTTATGATAATCCAGCCCTATGCCATCAGACAGGCAAGGGGGAGAAACATCAATATGTTATGATAATCCAGCCCTATGCCATCAGACAGGCAGGGGGGAGAAACATCAATATGTTATGATAATCCAGCCCTATGCCATCAGACAGGCAGGGGGGAGAAACATCAATATGTTATGATAATCCAGCCCTATGCCATCAGACCGGCAGGGGGGAGAAACATCAATATGTTATGATAATCCAGCCCTATGCCATCAGACAGGCAGGGGGGAGAAACATCAATATGTTATGATAATCCAGCCCTATGCCATCAGACAGGCAAGGGGGAGAAACATCAATATGTTATGATAATCCAGCCCTATGCCATCAGACAGGCAGGGGGGAGAAACATCAATATGTTATGATAATCCAGCCCTATGCCATCAGACAGGCAGGGGGGAGAAACATCAATATGTTATGATAATCCAGCCCTATGCCATCACAGGCAGGGGGGGAGAAACATCAATATGTTATGATAATCCAGCCCTATGCCATCAGACCGGCAGGGGGGAGAAACATCAATATGTTATGATAATCCAGCCCTATGCCATCAGACCAGCAGGGGGGAGAAACATCAATATGTTATATTATATTATATTATTTATTATATTATTATATTATTATATTATATTATATGTTATGATAATCCAGCCCTATGCCATCAGACCGGCAGGGGGGAGAAACATCAATATGTTATGATAATCCAGCCCTATGCCATCAGACCAGCAGGGGGGAGAAATATGAACTGGCATATACACATCTGATCAATATGAATCCATTTCTGCACCAGTAACAGAATAACACCTGATATTGTGCCAATAGTAAATTCCCCACCTCTAAAGCTGAAAGTGTTTGAACCCAGGTCAGTTTAGTGAAGTGTATTGTTGAACTCTGACAACATCACGCTGCACAGCAGCCACCACACTAGGCCAGAGTTCTGCATCCCTGTTCCTGGAGAGCTACCGTCTGCATCCCTGTTCCTGGAGAGCTACCGTCTGCATCCCTGTTCCCGGAGAGCTACCGTCTGCATCCCTGTTCCCGGAGAGCTACCGTCTGCATCCCTGTTCCCGGAGAGCTACCGTCTGCATCCCTGTTCCCGGAGAGCTACCGTCTGCATCTCTGTTCCTGGAGAGCTACCGTCTGCATCCCTGTTCCTGGAGAGCTACCGTCTGCATCCCTGTTCCTGGAGAGCTACCGTCTGCATCCCTGTTCCTGGAGAGCTACCGTCTTCATCCCTGTTCCTGGAGAGCTACCGTCTGCATCCCTGTTCCTGGAGAGCTACCGTCTGCATCCCTGTTCCTGGAGAGCTACCGTCTGCATCCCTGTTCCTGGAGAGCTACCGTCTGCATCCCTGTTCCTGGAGAGCTACCGTCTTGCAGGTTTTCACTCCAACCCTAATCTAGCACACCTGATTCTAATAATTAGCTGGTTGATCAGCTGCATCAGGTTAGTTACAAATGAGGTTGAAGTGAAAACCTACAGGAGGGTATCTCACCAGGAACAGGATTGTAGAACCCTGCACTAGGCCTAATCAAACAGTGACCAGAAACCCACTGTGCATGTGCTCAACTACAAGGGAGTGAGCACCCTAATCACAGTAGTGGAACTTGAATATACAAGTTAACAACTCACCGCTGGTCTTCATCAAAGAGAGCAGGCTGCCAATCATACGCCTGGCGGGGGCGGGGTCTGTAACCCGGGGGTGGAGCTGCATGGTTATCAAGGAAGGGAAGTCCCCCAGCAATGCCCTCTACAAGGGAGAAAAGATCATCATATTTTCAGAGTCAAGGAACTCCATACAAAACAGATAGAAAACATCTGAAGTAATACAAAGAGACAGAACTACAACCATATAAATGTTGGGGTCAATAATTAAAACAAGACAAAGTCATATTCCAGAGTGTGTAATTGTGCCATCGGAACCTGGCGGTTACCTGGTTGTTCAGTGCGGCTGCTGTGGCGTCGCTGAGGCCCAGAGCGTACCCACACACCCCCCTCTCATCCTCCAGAACCAGACCACAGTTTGGGGAGGGGGACAGCTGCCCTCCTGCCAGCCTGGGGAGAGATAGAGGTACACTGGGAGACATTACATGTTGTCCCTACCTTTTTGGATTGCTCTGGCTAAGGACAATTAATCAAGATCATTTGGAAGTAAAAGCTAATGTAAAAAGCCTTCCTGCTAGTCTGGGGAGTGGGAGAGATCGAGGTACACTGGGACGTTACATATTGGCTGTCTAGACTGAAGGTCAGGACAAGCGCTCAGTCACATATTGAAGAACAAAACCTACTGGCTGATCAGAGACTGTCGAGAGTGGATTATTTGGGAGTCATGCTGTACACACACACATACGCACACACACCCTCACCCATCACTCGTCAGAGCAGGTAGTGCTGCTGCAGGAATCTTGGCCTCTCCTCTCTGCATCTCCATGTGGATCTTCTGTATCTCAGTCTGAAACAACAGAGATGTTATAAAGACAGAAATCAATAAAGATGTCAGCTAGCCGATACCTGCCTCATGTATTACAGAGGTGGTTTGGTGAACCACGCTCGCGTGATGACTAACCTAATCGGAGACCTGTAGACCTGCGTTAGCTTGTAACTACACACGTTAGCTTGTTCATGCATCAGCTAACTTCTCAATGAGACTGATACGCACAAGTCATACAAGCATAATTATTGTTTAAACAATAGAGTACCACAGTATGAGTCATAATACCCATAAAACCTAGCAGTCAAACAGGGCAATGGTTCCAATCATTTTTCCACCATTCATTTTTCCCATAGGGGATTTTAGAAACACTTAAAATAAGGGGTGTGTTTCATGTAGGTTTACCCTGGCGTGACGTTTTGATAGCCATGTAAATCCCCCCATCGGACAAGGTGACATCAATATATTCGCCTGTATTTACCCCCCATAAATGTAATGCTAATTAGCTGCTAATGTGGCTATCATACAGAACTACACATGCCATGATGATATAGATGAGACTGCTGAATCGGACAACACTGTGAACTGTCTTCGGCAAGTTAAAAAATTACACAATACCTGTCAGCAAAGGCGTCAACTAGAGATGACGTGCAGGAGCTTGCAGGGATTTGTAGTCTTGCATGATGTTTACATTTTCAAATCTGAGAGTAAATAGTGCTGAATATATTGATAAAAGTCACCTTGTCCGAGAGAGATTTACATGGTTATCAAAACGTCACGCCAGGGTAAACCTACACGAAACAGCCCTTATTTTAAGTGTTTCTAGAATTCCCTATGTGAAAAATGAATGGTGGAAAAACAATTGGAACCATTTCCCTGTTTGACCACTAGGTTTTATGGGTATTATGACACATTTACATTTACATTTTAGTCATTTAGCAGACGCTCTTATCCAGAGCGACTTACAGTTAGTGAGTGCATACATTCTTTTTTTATTTTTCATACTGGCCCCCCGTGGGAATCGAACCCACAACCCTGGCGTTGCAAACGCCATGCTCTACCAACTGAGCTACATCCCTGCCGGCCATTCCCTCCCCTATCCTGGACGACGCTGGGCCAATTGCGCGCCGCCCCATGGGTCTCCCGGTCGCGGCCGGCTACGACAGAGCCTGTGGGGCTCTATAATACAGGCTTTAGCTCAAGGGGCTAACACAGTCTTATGGCAAGACCCACAGAAGACCTGGTTTCCATGCCCAGTCAGTCCACACGTCTAGTATATTTTAATAGATATGTTATAGTCAGGTCTAGATATATTGAAATAACTAACCTTGTCTTCTGGGCAGTAGGGTCGTATGGAATACACTGACGTCATAGGAGGATGACGGAACAGATCTCTGTTACCATGGCAAGGCAGCATTCTCTAAACAACAGCAATAATATCGTCATCAACCAGTCAGTACCAAGTCAATGATCTCTTTGTTATGCCGGAGATATCAATGGCTCTGTCTAGGTGGTTGTCTGTGATCCCCTATGTGTGTATAGCTTGTCATTGTTTTAGTGTTGATCTGTGATGTGAATGACTGTAGCTCAAAGAAACAGAAGGCCAAATCACTAAGGCTTCGATCAGACAGACGGCGTCATTGTGTTTTGGTACAGCAGACGTACATACAGTTGCAGTGTGTTCTGGGTAGTGCATCATTTTGATGCCTAGACGACAGAAATAGTAGCAAAAGGTGAATGTGGAACTGTTGTTGCTCACATTCAGTAACAATGTTGGATTACATCATGAAGTTTGACTGCAGAATTGATTAGGCAGCGTTGATGCAGTGACCCTGTCGACTGATTGAGGTGTAAGAGGAATTATAATAATTCCAGTCATCTCAACAATGTTCTAGGATGAAATGACAGTCCAGTATTGGTGTAGGAGGGGGTGAGGGGGAAGAGGGTGTAGGCACGTACCTGGAACTGCCCAGAGAGGGGAGTAGGAGGGGGTGATAGGGGGAAGAAGGGGTGAAAGGGTTGATAGGGGGAAGCGCGGTACCTGGAACTCCCCAGATAGACCCCCTCTAAACCCCCAGGGCTCTGGGTCGTCAGTCATCACCTGGGCTGAGGGCCTACTCTGCCCCCCTGTGGACACAAACAACATTACACCTAAATAATACATCAACCTGTATGCTTATGGCCTACTTCATACAGCTTCTTGTACAACACCATACAATAACATACTGACCTACGCAATAACATACTGACCTACGCAATAACATACTGACCTACGCAATAACACACTGACCTACACAATAACATACTGACCTACGCAATAACACACTGACCTACGCAATAACACACTGACCTACGTAATAACACACTGACCTACGCAATAACACACTGACCTACGCAATAACACACTGACCTACGCAATAACATACTGACCTACGCAATAACACACTGACCTACGCAATAACACACTGACCTACGCAATAACACACTGACCTACGCAATAACGCACTGACCTATGCAATTACATACTGACCTACGCAATAACACACTGACCTACGCAATAACATACTGACCTATGCAATAACACACTGACCTACGCAATAACACACTGACCTACGCAATAACACACTGACCTACGCAATAACACACTGACCTACGCAATAACACACTGACCTATACAATAACACACTGACCTACACAATACACACACACAACCCCCCCCCCACACCCGTTGTACCCAATTCTTTGACGTAGGCGCGGGCCAGGGTGACGCCACTCTTGATGTCACAGATGTAGTTGTAGAGGTCGTAGAGGATGCTCCGGTTGGGGGCGTTGGACAGACGGTTAAACATGGTAAACACAGCAACACACATCACGTCAAAACGCTTCGCCCTGGAACGCCACTCCGCTGTCTGTAGAGAGGGGGGAGAGAGAAGAGAGAGAGAGAGAGAGAGAGAGAAGAGAGAAAGAGGGAGAGAGAGAGAAGAGAGAGAGAGAGAGAAGAGAGAAAGAGGGAGAGAGAGTTGTCAATGTAAGTTCTTCCAATTTCCACATCAATAAAGGTTCTTAAATTATTAAATGTATTGAGTGTGTTCCACCACTCTGTCTTTGTCTCTGCCTCTCTGAGTCCCTTTAGCCAGTTCAGTTCCAACATACAGTGGGGGAAAAAAGTATTTAGTCAGCCACCAATTGTGCAAGTTCTCCCACTTAAAAAGATGAGAGAGGCCTGTAATTTTCATCATAGGTACACGTCAACTATGACAGACAAAATGAGAAAAAAAAATCAAGAAAATCACATTGTAGGATTTTTTATGAATTTATTTGCAAATTATGGTGGAAAATAAGTATTTGGTCAATAACAAAAGTTTCTCAATACTTTGTTATATACCCTTTGTTGGCAATGACACAGGTCAAACGTTTTCTGTAAGTCTTCACAAGGTTTTCACACACTGTTGCTGGTATTTTGGCCCATTCGTCCATGCAGATCTCCTCTAGAGCAGTGATGTTTTGGGGCTGTCGCTGGGCAACACGGACTTTCAACTCCCTCCAAAGATTTTCTATGGGGTTGAGATCTGGAGACTGGCTAGGCCACTCCAGGACCTTGAAATGCTTCTTACGAAGCCACTCCTTCGTTGCCCGGGCGGTGTGTTTGGGATCATTGTCATGCTGAAAGACCCAGCCACGTTTCATCTTCAATGCCCTTGCTGATGTCACTCAAAATCTCACGATACATGGCCCCATTCATTCTTTCCTTTACACGGATCAGTCGTCCTGGTCCCTTTGCAGAAAAACAGCCCCAAAGCATGATGTTTCCACCCCCATGCTTCACAGTAGGTATGGTGTTCTTTGGATGCAACACAGCATTCTTTGTCCTCCAAACACGACGAGTTTAGTTTTTACCAAAAAGTTCTATTTTGGTTTCATCTGACCATATGACATTCTCCCAATCCTCTTCTGGATCATCCAAATGCACTCTAGCAAACTTCAGACGGGCCTGGACATGTACTGGCTTAAGCAGGGGGACACGTCTGGCACTGCAGGATTTGAGTCCCTGGCGGCGTAGTGTGTTACTGATGGTAGGCTTTGTTACTTTGGTCCCAGCTCTCTGCAGGTCATTCACTAGGTCCCCCCGTGTGGTTCTGGGATTTTTGCTCACCGTTCTTGTGATCATTTTGACCCCACGGGGTGAGATCTTGCGTGGAGCCCCAGATCGAGGGAGATTATCAGTGGTCTTGTATGTCTTCCATTTCCTAATAATTGCTCCCACAGTTGATTTCTTCAAACCAAGCTGCTTACCTATTGCAGATTCAGTCTTCCCAGCCTGGTGCAGGTCTACAATTTTGTTTCTGGTGTCCTTTGACAGCTCTTTGGTCTTGGCCATAGTGGAGTTTGGAGTGTGACTGTTTGAGGTTGTGGACAGGTGTCTTTTATACTGATAACAAGTTCAAACAGGTGCCATTAATACAGGTAACGAGTGGAGGACAGAGGAGCCTCTTAAAGAAGAAGTTACAGGTCTGTGAGAGCCAGAAATCTTGCTTGTTTGTAGGTGACCAAATACTTATTTTCCACCATAATTTGCAAATAAATTCATAAAAAATCCTACAATGTGATTTTCTGGATTTTTTTCCCTCAATTTGTCTGTCATAGTTGACGTGTACCTATGATGAAAATTACAGGCCTCTCTCATCTTTTTAAATGGGAGAACTTGCACAATTGGTGGCTGACTAAATACTTTTTTTCCCCACTGTACACACACACCTCACCATCTCAGTCTCTGCCTCTCCCACTGCTTCTCTGTGTGCTTTCAGCCAGTTCAGTTCCGTCAGCATGGTTCTAGCAGTAGAACCGTGTTCATATGGCAGGTAGAACAGTTCCGAGAGTAGTTGGAGATCGTCCAGGGTCAGGGGTTCTGCTGTGAACAAGGGGTTGTCCCCAGGACCTGGTACGTACACGGGGTCTCCCACGTCAGTCTGCATGGGCTCCTCGTCAGAGGACTCTTTCTTCAGGCGGGTGGGGTTCAGAGGGCGTTGGCCTGAGGTGAAGACGACAGCCACAGAATTAATTAATCTGTCTGATCTCTTCACAATGAATGGATCTAATTAAAAAAGATCTGGAATCCCTGCATGTCCTGATTGTGAGACTGGGATGTGTTGTTTTCATGTTTCATGCGTTTGCCCAGGAGGGGATAAATACAGTTGTATTGAATTGAATGTTGAAGCTGCCCTCTTGGTTGCTAATCTTTTCCCCTGTACCTCCAGGCTGGTCGGTGCTGAGGAACTCCTGTAGCCAGTCAGTCAAGGCCAGGGTGAGAGCTCGCTTGGGGCTGTAGCACAGGGCGGAGCCTCCCTCATCATCACCTGCTGGGGAGATTACATAGTGAAGGGTTAGTTTAACTCAGTGGCATTGTGGTCAGTGTTCATCCTGAGATTGGAAGGTTGGGGGTTCGATCCCCCCGGTTGAGTCATACCAAAGACTCTTAAGAGTGGGTGTCGATGCCTCTCTGCATAGCACTCAGTGGATGGATTGGGGGAAAGGCACCGCGATAGACTAGCGTCCTGTTCAGGGGGTACTTGAACATCAAGCTGCCTCACAGAACAGACATTAAAAACAGTGTAAATCATCACAGTAACACCTCATAGATACTCACTCATCTCCACATCTCTCTGTCCTTCATTAGACCGGCACCACGTTGCCAAGGTATGGATCGCCACAAAGTTAGGGTAGTACTCGCAGTTAGGGTTGGTCAGCACCCCTCTCAGCTTGGGGATCAGGTCTGTGGGACGATCCTAAGAAGAGGAAGAAATATAGTGAATTGGGGTGGGGGGGGTAGCCTGAATGGGAAACCATCCAAGGTGGATTAATGGAGAAACGTGATGAAGGATTGAAAGACACTGTTGGCAGCAGGGTTGGTTGGGGTCAATTCCATTTCTCTTCAGGCTCACCTCCTTGTGAACTTGACTGAATTGAAATTGATCCCAAGACCCCGCTTGAAGAGGACCACAGTAGTGGAGTAGAAAAAGCTTCTCTATTATTATAAATCTACTATAAACAAACTCCCTGTGTATCACACTGCTTATAGAACACTGTTTATAGAACACTGTTTATAGAACACTGTTTATAGAACACTGTTTATAGAACACTGTTTATAGAAAACTGTTTATAGAACACTGCTTATAGAACACTGCTTATAGAACACTGCTTATAGAACACTGCTTATAGAAAACTGCTTATAGAACACTGTTTATAGAACACTGCTTATAGAACACTGCTTATAGAACACTGTTTATAGAACACTGCTTATAGAACACTGTTTATAGAACACTGCTTATAGAAAACTGTTTATAGAACACTGCTTATAGAACACTGCTTATAGAACACTGTTTATAGAACACTGTTTATAGAAAACTGTTTATAGAACACTGCTTATAGAACACTGCTTATAGAACACTGCTTATAGAACACTGCTTATAGAAAACTGCTTATAGAACACTGCTTATAGAACACTGCTTATAGAACACTGCACACTACTTTAGTCCAATAGTAGTTCATTATAAAGGTAATAGTGGTTGAATAGACAATGAATCATTATTTTCAGAAACCTTACACAATAGAAGGTGAATAGAAAAACCTATTAATATTAGAAACCTTGTAAGGTCCCATGAAGATCCTCTGGGGTCATAGTATTAATATTAGAAACCTTGTAAGGTCCCATGAAGATCCTCTGGGGTCATAGTATTAATATTAGAAACCTTGTAAGGTCCCATGAAGATCCTCTGGGGTCATAGTATTAATATTAGAAACCTTGTAATGTCCCATGAAGATCCTCTGGGGTCATAGTATTAATATTAGAAACCTTGTAAGATCCCATGAAGATCCTCTGGGGTCATAGTATTAATATTAGAAACCTTGTAAGATCCCATGAAGATCCTCTGGGGTCATAGTATTAATATTAGAAACCTTGTAAGGTCCCATGAAGATCCTTTGGGGATCGTAGTCATTGGCGTGGATGTTGTCCCAGATAACCGGCGCCCTCTTCAGGACGGAGGACACCTCTACAATGGACTCTACCGTGATGTGGTGCGACACCACCTTAGGACCTGCAGAACATGATCACATTGAGTGGGTTAGATTGGGTGCCTGATAGTCTTAACACTGTGCTTTGTAATCTCCTTAAAATGCACTCATCCAAGGAAACTTTCCAGGTGCAAAATTGAGCAAACAAGAAAACAAAATGGAGGAAAGTGACTTCCTGTCTGCTCTCACCTGTCCAGAGAACATCAATCCCAGGTAGGAGGTTCTCTCCCACAGTGTGAAGGTAAGCTGACTGGGAGACGTTAGGGGTGCAGAACGCTGCACAGTAATCTGAAACAAACCACAACACACACAGACATTCTAGTCCTTGACGATGCTTGAAAAAAGCACAAAATTCTGAGAAATTAAACAACTTATCGAACATTAAGCAGGGTGTGTCCAATATGGCTGCCAGCCAACATGTAATGGGAACACTGCTTTTAATTGCAATGACATTCTCATTGTGTGGTTGTCTGACATTGGAATGTTGATATGGAATTGGAATATCTGTGGTGATGGTCTGACCTCACCTGTGGGGCAGAAGAGGAAGGTGTCAGGCTGTCCCAGGTGTGTGAACACCTCGTTGGTGACAGCTACCTGGGCGTGGGCGAACGAGCTGAATGCCTGCTTGTCCGCCGGACACATCTCTGTCTCGATGTCGTCGAAGAGGAGGGAGAAGGAACTGCAGCCAAACCCACTCACCTGGAGGAAGAGAGTAGAGGAGAAATCAGCTTTTCTCACAGGCCACGCTTTCTCTCTAAACAGTTCTAGAACCCCATCTGGTCCAGTTCTAGACCACCATAGTTCTAGAACCCCACCTGGTCCAGTTCTAGGCTACCATAGTTATAGAACCCCACCTGGTCCAGTTCTACGCTACCATAGTTCTAGAACCCCACCTGGTCCAGTTCTAGGCTACCATAGTTATAGAACCCCACCTGGTCCAGTTCTAGGCTACCATAGTCTAGAACCCCCCTGGTCCAGGTCTAGGGGCTACTAGTTATAGAAACCCCACTGGTCCAGTTCGAGGCTACATAGTCTAAACCCCACCTGGTCAGTTCTAGGGCTCTACCATAGTTTAGAACCCCAAACTGGGTCAGTCTAGGCTACATAGTTATGAACCCCACCTGGTCCAGTTCTAGGCTACCATAGTTCTAGAACCCACCTGGCCCAATTATAGGCTGCCATATTTCTAGAACCCCACCTGGTCCAGTTTCCTCTTGAGGGTCGCGACCTCTTTGGGGTTGGAGAATGTGATGTCCAGTCCAGGGGAGATGGCGTAGATGAAGTCCACTCCGTTCTTCTTCGCTGCAGTTATCAGAGCAACCAGTTTCTCTGGAACAGAAGATTCATATTCACCCCAAATGGCACCCTATTCCCTTTACAGAGTGCTATATATCCTGTACATACTGTATAGATTAGGGAACAGGCTGCCAATTCACAGCAACAACAACAACAAAGACCCTTTTAACTTTACTTAACCAGGTAAATGGATTGAGAAGTACACATTTTAACTTTACTTAACCAGGTAAATGGATTGAGAAGAACACATTTTAACTTTACTTAACCAGGGAACCAGGTAAATGGATTTGAGGAAGAACATCATTTTAACTTTTACTTTAACGCATGTACTGTTGAGAAGAACACATTTTAACTTTACTTAACCAGGTAAATGGATTGAGAAGAACACATTTTAACTTTACTTAACCAGAGCCTTTTACAACCAATTGAGAGACATTGCCTAAGTAAAGATCAATTTTAACTTTACTTAACCAGAATGGATTGGAAGTAAACAAAGGTAAAAATGGAGACATTTACTTCTTACCAGGTACATATTGTGAGAGAGAACACATTTAACTTTACCAGTAAATGATGATCCTGAATTGAGACACATTTACTTTACTTAACGAGCCTTTACAACAATGTGACGTTGCTATAGATCATTAATCAAGCTCAATAACTGGGTGGATCTTCGTCAAGTGAGGCACACGTGTCTGACAATAATCAACACAATTGAGTGCATCTCTGTGGCCACGCCATAACAACACACATCACAATCATCTATCTCTTATCTGAACTAAGGGTGGGTTGTAACTAGGTGGTGCTGATAAGCCCCAGGGGTCAGGGGTCAGGGGTCAGGGGTTTGTAACGCTGTGTGTGTCCTCCTAACCTGCCTCCTCAGGTGAGTACAGGTCCCTCCAGTACATTCTGTGTTTGTAGTCATCTTTAGGGGCGTACAGGTATGTGTTCAGACCCCACTTCTGCTCCCTACACAAACAAACACACTGTATGAGACACTTCTGGCAAAGCAACAACTTCCTGTAAGGATTGGAGAGGTGAAAGGAATATAGTTGATAATAAGTTCACTTTGAAGAAGAGGGAGAGAGAGGGAGAGAGGGAAAGTGTGTGTGTGTGTGTGTGTGTGCTTGGAAGTGGTTTACTACCTCTGGAACAGCTCAGTTCTTTGCTCCATAGTCCATGGTCGCCCGTAAAAGCCTGAGTGAAGCAAAGGTCACATAAGCTTTTACAGTTGTTATGCATAATGTGGAGCACAGAGTCAACTACAGGCTGTATAGCCTAATGTTCAGTATGTCAGTGTGTGTTACAGATGTCTGGCTATATTATATCACTTTCCTCTTTATTGCTCTGGACATTCATTGTACATTCAGGGCTAATATACACTACCAGTCAAAAGATTGGACACACCTAATCATTTTTTTCTTTATGTTTACTATTTTTTACATTGTAGAATAATAGTGAAGACATCAAAACTATGCAATAACACATATGGAATCATGTAGTAACCAAAAAAAGTATTAAACAAATCAAAGTATACTTTATATTTGAGATTCTTCAAAGTAGCCACCCTTTGCCTTGATGACAGCTTTGCACACTATTGGCATTCTCTCAACCAGCTTCATGAGGTAGTCACCTGGAATGCATTTCAATTAACAGGTGTGTCTTCTTAAAAGTTAATTTGTGGAATTTCTTTCCTTCTTAATGCATTTGAGCCAATCAGTTGTGTTGTGACAAGGTGTGTGTGTGTGTGTGTGTGGGGGGGGGTTATACAGAAGATAGCCCTATTTGGTAAAAGACCAAGTCCATATTATGGCAAGAACAGCTCAAATTAGCAAAGAGAAACAACAGTTTATCATTACTTTATGACATGAAGGTCAGTCAATACGGAGAATGTCAAGAACTTTGAAAGTTTCTTCAAGTGCAGTCGCAAAAATCATCAAGCGCTATGATGAAACGCTATGATGAAACTGGCTCTCATGAGGACCGCCACAGGAATGGAAGACCCAGAGTTATCTCTGCTGCAGAGGATACGTTCATTAGAGTTAACTGCACCTCAGAAATTGCAGCTCAAATAAATGCTTCACAGAGTTCAAGTAATAGACACATCTCAACATCAACTGTTCAGAGAAGACTGCGTGAATCAGGCCTTCGTGGTCGAATTACTGCAAAGAAACCACTACTAAAGGACACCAATAAGAAGAAGAGATTTGCTTGGGCCAAGAAACACGAGCAACGGACATTAGACCAGTGGAAATCTGTCCTTTGGTCTGATGAGTCCACATTTTAGATGTGTGGTTCCAACCGCTGTGTCTTTGTGAGACGCAGAGTAGGGCGGCAGGTAGCTTAGTGGTTAAGAGCGTTGTGCCAGTAATCGAAAGGTCGCTGGTTCTAATCCCCGAGCCGACTAGGTGACAAATCTGTCGATGTGCCCTTGAGCAAGGCACTTAACCCTAATTGCTCCTGTAAGTCGCTCTGGATAAGAGCGTCTGCTAAATGACTAAAATGTAAATGTAGGTGAATGGATGATCTCCGCATGTGTGGTCCCACCATGAAGCATGGAGGAGGAGGTGTGATGGTGACACTGTCAGTGATTTATTTACACTTAACCAGCATGGCTACCACAGCATTCTGCAGCGATACGCCATCCCATCTGGTTTGCGCTTAGTGGGACTATAATTTGTTTTTCAACAGAACAATGACCCAACACACCTCCAGGCTGTGTAAAGGCTATTTGACCAAGAAGGATGATGGAGTGCTGCATCAGATGAACTGGCCTACATAATCACCCGACCTCAACACAATTGAGATGGTTTGGGATGAGTTGGATTGCAGAGTGAAGGAAAAGCAGCCAACAAGTGCTCAGCATATTTTACATTTTTGTCATTTAGCAGACACTCTTATCCAGAGCGACTTACAGTTAGTGAGTGCATACATTATTTATTTTTTATTTTTTCATACTGGCCCCCCGTGGGAATCGAACCCACAACCATGGTGTTGCAAACACCATGCTCTACCAACTGAGCTACATCCCTGCATCCCAATTGTGCGCCGCCCCATGGGTCTCCCGGTCGCGGCCGGCTATGACAGAGCCTGGATTCGAACCAGGATCTCTAGTGGCACAGCTAGCACTGCGATGCAGTGCCTTAGACCACTGCGCCACTCGGGAGACGATATGTGGGAACTCCTTCATGAAGCTGGTTGAGAGAATGCCAAGAGTGTGCAAAGCTGTCATCAAGGCAAAGGGTGGCTACTTTGAAGAATCTCAAATATATTTTGATTTGTTTAACACTTTTTTGGTTACTACATGATTCCATATGTGTTATTCATAGTGTTGATGTCTTCACTATTATTCTACAACATAGAAAATAGTAAAAATAAAGAAAAACCCTTGAATGAGTAGGTGTGTCCAAACTTGACTGGTACTGTATATCAGGGATGGTTAACTGCAGTCCTCGGGGGTGTGATTGCTGTCACACTTTTGCCCCAGCTAACACACCTGACTCCAATGATCAACTAATCATGATCTTCAGTTTAGAACGCTAGAGATAGGGGAAAAGTGTGACACCACTCTGCCCCTCAGGACTGGAGTTTCCCCATCCCTGATATATATAAACGTACTATATTATTATAATCTGACACATGCACTGAAATGTGGCTGAATGTAAGTACATTGAATCAAAACAGACACTATTTGTAGGCCTATCCTACAGCAGGCTATTTGATTGACATCCTACAGTAGACCATTTGACGTAATGACGAGTAGAACTCTCACCTTCCACCACACCACTGATGAACCTGCGGGTCTTCCCCGTCTCGGAAGCGCTCGGCTTTGGCATGGTTTTCTAACAAGTTCTCGGTAGTTTCTATTTGTGTACCTGTCCTGTCCCGTAGAAGATTTGATCAGGCGTTAGATCAAGCCTTTAGTAGCACATCGATTTAGGTAAAGTTACTCAATGACAATCGATCACTCAAAATGGCCTAGCTGTGTGTCAACCACGTAGCTCCGCATAGGATTTTATTAGAATGATAGTTTTGAGTTCCTTATTGCTCCCTAGTGCGCAGACTCAGTAGCTCGCCAAATAAAGTGATACAAGTTGTATTACACAATTAGACAGTGGAATTCCAAGCATGGGAAGAATCATAAAAGTTAAGAAAAATATTGCTTTAGTTTACCATGCACGTGCAATCATGCATCGATCGACGTAAGACTACTGGTTGGTGCGTGCTTAAAGGGACCGTGTACAATTTCCTTTAAAGGGTCTGCTCTCCATCTTGTCAACGTGCCAAATTAAAATTGGCATCAGTTCACAAGTCTACTTAAACTTAATTAACCTTCCATCTTAAACTTGTCTTGCTTGTGATTACCATGTACCATCCTTTTCAAAGTTAATGTAGTTTTAGAAATGTATAGTTTGGCAAGTTAATTATTTTCTACATTGTGAGCTTCAAAGCCAAAGGTAGGCTGTTACTAAGCAACCCATTTCTGCTTTAAGAAGACTGACAGTCATCCTTCATCAGTCAGTCCACATATCCATCCAGTCAGGGCACACTAGTTCAGTATTACACAATAATAGCCTTTATTCATGAATAAAGAACATGTTCATACTTGGAAATAAAATGACTATGGCAAACTCAACATTTTAAACATTGTAACAGACAAGAGTAAAGTAAAGCTTGCAAATGCAATAGTAGTGCAAACAAATATATTTAAAGATCCTTCCTTTAAAAATAAAAAAAAGTTACTTTTCCAATAATTGTCCTATGATTTTCTTTTCTTACATCTTTTCACTGCATCAACAAAGTTTTGCTAGCATGGTAAATAAAATAAAATGGGTTGATAAAAGTGAACCAATACAAGTTAAAACAACATTTCTACAACGTTAAAAGTTTGAGCATGTGAATAGCGCTGAGGTAAGTCTTGCTAACTGCTTGGCTCAGTCCCAAATGACACCCTGTTCCCTATTATAGAGGGCACTGCTTTTGGATCAGAGCCCTAAGGCTAGTGCCCTCTATACGGAACAGGGTGACATTTGGGACCTCCTCTCCATCACTCCTTTTCTCTTTCTTTGTGCTATCTTCCTCCAGGACTCTGCTACCGCTTCAAGCCTTTCTGTGCCTGCTTCAATAGCGTGTCAAAGTCCAGCTCCTCCTCCTTACTTTTCGCTGGAGTGGGATCCACCTCTTCCTGATTATAATCTAGGGAAACAAACCAGTTCAGTTACCAACATGCTGATTTCAACCTGTTTACCCTGCAATTACATCTGCGACCCTGTGCATGTGACTAATAAACTAATCTAATCTATTTCCCAAGAGGGGAAAGCCTTCGTCCGAGAGGCCGATACACAAGCTTAATAAACATAGGGTGCCATTTGGGACCACCCTTAAAAGGTTCTCTCACCTAGGTCGGCGTACGTAGATTTGCAGAACTGCCGCCTGCCCCCGAAGCAGAGGTCAAAGGGCAGCTCGTCAGGTCTCCTCAGCTTGTAGCCGTTCTCGATGGCTGCGAACGCATCCTTCATGTTGTAGAACGTCACAAAGCCGTAGTGGTCGCTATAGAAACAACAGAACCCAGGTTAAGAAACGTATTTCCTAACCACTTGACATGGACAAAGGTAAGTCATTTAGTTAACCTGGTCAAATACGTGTTCTATATATAACATCAAGTATGATTATATCTAATGGGGGAGACAGAGGGACAGAGAGAGGTGAGGAGGACCGAGAGAGAGAGGTGAGGGGGAGAGAGAGGTGAGGGGGAGAGAGAGAGAGAGAGAGAGAGGTGAGGGGGAGAGAGAGAGAGAGGTGAAAGAGAGAGAGAGAGGTGAGAGAGAGAGAGAGAGAGAGGTGAGAGAGAGAGAGGTGAGGGAGAGAGAGAGGTGACTGATGCATTTTGACCATCTCTTTTGATGCAGAGAGAGAGAAAGAAAGAGACTCACCCCCTGTCTCTAAAGTGCAGGGTGCATTCCTCCACCTCTCCAAACAGAGAGAAGCGTTCTCTCAGCTCCGCGTGCATCATGGTCCTCTGGATGCGGCCCACGTACACCACCCTGCGCTCATCCTGGCCACACAAAACAATGGAGGAAGGGTTGTCACTATCTGGCCAAGAGGTGAAGTCAGAAGCCGATTTCTACAATTGAATCTTCTTAAAATCTGATTTTAAACCCAAACATTAAAGCTGAGATCTGTGAAAGGGGAAACGGTTCCATAGGTCTCCCCCAGGTCTCATCTGTTATGTTTTGTTTTTGAGGAGGAGGAGATGAGCATCCAGCAACGTCATTAAAATAAATCGTGGTACATGCTGTTATATTGCGCATGCAATGATGTCAAGAGGGAATTAAAGTGTTTGTTGTTTGAAGTAACATCTTTGTTGTTGTAATATCACAAACTGAGGTGGCAGTTTCACCGCAACGGATTCCAACTTTAACCCTACCCACACTGCTGCTAACCTTATGCCTAACCTAAACTGAAGACCAAAAAGCTCATTTTGGTTTCCATAAATGTTTATGATATAGCCAATCTTCACTTTGCAGCTTGGCCATCTGGTGGGAACCAAAGAGGACAGTTGCGGCCATTTTGTCTCCAAATCAATCAGGAAGTAATTTCACATTTACATTTAACATCTTAAAAGTATACAAAATGTATTTATAAAATGTTAACAGCAAAAACACAATGTGTACCACGGTTTGTAATGTACTACTCAGTACTCACTATGGCTTTTAATTTTTGATTCCTCGTATATTGTTGCCTCTTTCGTTTCCTGGAGTCACCGATGTTGTTAGAGCTTAAGGTTGGGCTGAGGGGAGAGGAGGAGAGCGCGAGGGTGAGATGGACCACAGAAAACCAGTGTGGCTATAGTTTAATCCTAGTCTAATACAATCATTCAGAACTCTACTAATAATACACACCCCTACATTTAAAAAAAACAAATAAATAACAAAAGTTATTAAAAAAATTAGAAATGCCATCACTGACCTGTAGCAGTCCCTCCTCCACCTCTGGGTCCTCCTGTACGCCAGAGTGGTGGGGGACCTGGATCTAGACCTGGACCCAGACCGAGACCAGGACTTTGATCTGGACTGGGAGCGGTTCCAGGACCGTGACCGTGGGTAGGGTAGCCGGTACCGGCAGGGAACCGGGGAACGGGAGACGGAGCTGGAGCAAGAGGACGAGCAGGAGCTGCTTTCAGAACGTCTGGGACAGAACCTGGTGGGGGAGGAGGAGGAGGGGGGAGGAAGAGGAGGGGAGGAGGAAGGAGAGGGAGGGGGACCGAGAAGGATCAGGAGGGAGGGAGAGGGGAGGAGGAAGGAGAGGGATCAGGAGGGAGGGAGAGGGGAGGGGAGGAGGAGGGAGAGGGATCAGGAGGGAGAGAGAGGGGAGGGGAGGAGGAAGGAGAGGGATCAGGAGGGAGAGAGAGGGGAGGGGAGGAGGAAGGAGAGGGATCAGGAGGGAGAGAGAGGGGAGGGGAGGAGGACGGAGAGGGATCAGGAGGGAGGGAGAGGGATTGGAGAAAGAGGAGAGGACGTGGGTTAAAGCAAGACAATACATGTTGGGGTGGTAAAAAGTTTGTGTAAACTTAAATGACTAAAATCAGATATAAAGTATGTAGAAGATATAATGGAGCTATATATTTTTAAGATCATCTTTGAGAACTAAGAATCACCTAAATAAAAAGTAGACAGTCAGGGAGAATAAAAAATAAAAAAGAATTCATGTCATTGATATTGTTATGTTTGTTTGAGTCACTCAGATAGCATAAATCTATCCGAGTGACTCAAACCCCCCCCACCCCACACTAACTATGCCACAGCTGCTGAATAAAATCACTAATAGTTTTTCCTCCCCAACTTCAATTCAAGAGCAATAACAGTCACCACACAGAACTTGAACCTACCTCTTTCGGGGTGGAGAGCGAGACCTGGATCGAGAGGAGGAGGAGGAAGATGAGGATGAAGGGGACCTAGAGCTAGAGTCCGAGCATGAAGACCTGGTTTGATAGCGCTGGGCCGCACTCCTACCTCTGGCAGGGGGACTGGCTGAAGGAGGGGAGGGGATGCAGGGGCTGGTTCTCTCTTCCTGCGTCTCCCCTGCTGTTATGGCCTCCGTCCTAGAGGGGGAGCTCTCTGTAGACAGCGGAGGAGAGTCTGAGGGAAGTTCTGTCTCTGGAACAGTCCTGGAGTCAACTGGCTGCTGCTGGCGCATATATTTCCCAGAGTTCTGTGCGCCAGGCACTGCGGAGGAGTTGGTGATTGGTTGGTGGTCGGGGAGTATCGTTTGTCTTTTGCTGCATAGCGTAGTAGTATTACTTCCTTGTTGATCCTGAGATAGACAGTAGTCGTGGTCCGAGGAGACAGACACTGCTGTCTGGAACTGAGAGGGGGTGACAGGGGGCTTTGGGGGAAGTGGGTGTGCCTTTTTGGGTGGTAGAGGACGGGGGTCGATGATTTGGATGGCCTTGGGAGGGGAAGGTTTAGGGGTCGCCGGTTGCTTCCTCTGAGGTGCGACAGGGGTAAGGGGTTTCCAGCGCGGCTGTGCAGGGGCCTGTTCCTGAGTGCTGAGAACGTTTTGAGTGCTGAGAATGTTTTGGGTGCCGAGAGGTTCCTGAGTATCGCAAAGTTCCGGAGTTCTGAGGGGTTCCGGAGTTCTAAGGGGTTCCGGAGTTTTGAGTGCTTCTAGTGTGTTGACAAGTTCTGGAATGCCAGCGGGTTCTGGAAGACAGAGTGTTTCTTGGGTGCTGAGGAGATAGGCACCCAGCAGTCTCAGCATCCCTGGAAAGAAAGGAACGAACGAGATGATAAACTGAAGTTCCGTTCTAAAGCATGGGAATAACCATAACAAAGTCCTCTGAGCAACTGTGCGGACTAAACTATAAATTAAGATGAAGGAACTCGTTCATCCCAAATGACGCCCTATTCCCTTTATAGTGCACTACTTTTGACCAGTGCCCATATATGGCTAAAGTGGTGCACTAAGGAGGTTATAGGGTGCCATTTGGGATGCACCCCGCCCCCCGTCCCCCAATAGAAAGGACCTTCCTTTAACTCACCTTCAGTGTTGTTGCTCAGCTCTTCATATCTGACAGGGCTCCTGTCTGGACTGGCTTCATGTTCACTCTCAGACTCCTCTTTGGCTGTGGGAAGAGAACACAGCCACGGGTTAGACAAGATCAGGGGCTGAATGTATCCAGCGTCTCAGAGTCCCGATTTAGGATCAGTTGTGCCTTTTTCCGTCACCGTGTATAAGATTACAAGGACAGGGGCAGCTGGGATGTATGCGTCAACCAAATCAATACATCTTAATACAAATCCCAGAATGGATGGGATATATTATAGGCGGAAGAACAACGGGAGAGAGTTAACAAAACCTCACTGATCCCTCACTCACCTTGTGTCTCCTCAAACCGCTCCAGAAGGCTGGTCAGATCTGTGGCTTCGATTCCTGCAACGTGACCAAGAGAAATCAGTTTCTGAATGTAGGGACAGTAGCAGTTCATCAAGGTGAACATTCTGGTGGCCTAGTGGTCTAAGCCACTTAATCCGGAACACATATACCGCTGCAGCATGGGTTCGAATCCAGACCCCTGCTATCTCAGCAACTCTCCTCTCCCTATCCTCTCTATCTTTCCTATCTGAAAAATATGAGAGTGGGACTGCCCCACTCCTTTAAAAAAGATAAACTTTCTGAAAAGCAGTCATCAGTCTAGTATATGTTTATAGCTTTGATTCCTGCAGCTGAACATGGAGACAATCACTTTCTGAATGCGTCTTACAAAAATGTGTCACAGGATGTCACAGTAATCACAAATTATACATTTTTGTTAATTTCACACCAGCTCTAACTAAATCAAATATAATCTACTTTTAGCTTAATTAGCTTAACCTGAAGAAATATATGCTTAGGGCGTAGTTTCCCCTCAGTACAGATCTAGGATCAGATTCCACTCCCCTAATCCTCACCTGTAGTGAGTAAAATGCTAAACTGACCCAAGGGATGGTCCCCTGTAGCTCAGTTGGTAGAGCATGGCGCTTGCAACGCCAGGGTTGTGGGTTTGTTTCCCACGGGGGGCCAGTATGAAAATGTATGCACTCACTAACTGTAAGTCGCTCTGGATAAGAGCGTCTGCTAAATGACTAAAATGTAAATGTAAAGATCAGTCAACTTCACCCTACACCAAAATATATTGTTTCTATTTGTGTTATGGCTTACCTGTGCCGCAGTTGGGGGTCTGTATGCAGGAGCTACTCTCTGGAGAGGTGGACAGTTGGACATGGGGGAGGTCCCCGAGGGCTACCCACTTTGCCCTCTCCATCTCTGGGTAAGGAGTAACAGCAGGGGTGGGTGGATGGACTGAAGGGCTGGAGGACAGATTTGCCATTACTGGTGCACTTGGGGAAAACTTGGACCCTTCTGGTACAGTCTCGATCTCTTTCCTTGTGCTGAGAGAGCGAGGCTGATCCCCTTGTTTCATGGTCTCTGCAGGGGTTTGGGTGTGAAGTGTTTTCCGATATGGTTGTTTGGTGGAGAACCTCCGCTGGATCTCAAGGAGGAGGCCGGTGCTCTTCAGGCTTGGATCCCGGTTGCAGAACACCATTTTGGGCTTGGGCGCCGGAGTCTCCTGGGTGGTGGACGGAGGCGGAGATTGTTCCTGTTCCTGCTGCTCCTGGTTGGTCCCATGGCTCCTATCAAATCCACCCAAAGCTGGACGGGTTCCTGGTAGTGGGACCAGGACAGGGTTTGGGGGGTCGCTACTGACCGCAACAGCACTCCTTGCTGGCCTAGTCCTGTTCTTGCCCAGACCCGCCACTGGGTTCGAGTTCAGGTTGGGACTTGGTAAGGGACTAGCAGGAGAGATGGTCTCAGTCCAAATAGACTTTAATATACCAACATCATCAGCAGATTTAGATTCCATTGAGTTGCGGTTGGGCTTTAGAGCTGAGCTGGCAAGAGAAGTCTTAGTCCCACTTCCTACAGGCTTTGATCCATTGACGCCAATGCCTTTACCAGGTTTACTGGGAGAAGCAGGAGAGACGATCTTCATCCTAGTCTTAGATATAGGCTTGAATCCACTGACATCATCCCCTGTTGTACTTCCTATGTAATGATGTGTGGGATGTGTGGTCGTTGGTCCCCACATGGTATGTTTAGGTCCTTGTAAACAGGGTATAGGAGGCAACTCCTTAGGGGTTTCAGGTAGCGAGGGCCACTTGGTGGTGTAATTCTCTGGTTTCGCCACCACGGGTAGTCTCTTCTGCTGGCGCAGCAGGCGGTACTGCTGAAGACTGAGGGCTGGTCTGGGCTTGGACTCGCCTTGCTGTGGTAGAGGCTCCGATGACAACTTATCTCCGGTCCGTTCAGGTAAGTCAGTTACAACCTGATGTTGGTTGTCCTTTGAAGATGCTGCTGAAGACTCTGGAAAGCATGTTGTGAGGGAAATGGTTGTTGTTTTGGTGTTGTTGTTGAAGTCAGAACTAGGGATTTGTCTGGTGAGCTCGCTCAAGTCCGGGAACACGTTTAAGTCAGGTTCGTCTGCAGCTGGTTGCTCGTAAGACGTCACCAGGACAGGTCCGAAGCTCACTCTTTTTTTGTTCTTGGTCTTCTGGCCTTCTTTGGGCGCGTCCCATTTCACCAGTAAACTTTTTAGTCGCGTCACTTCTTCACCTCTACTTCCCTGTCCTCCATCCCCCTCTTTCTCTATCCCTCCTCCTGAGGGACACTCATCATCCGATCCGTCCACATCAATCTCCTCGTCGCTCGCTTCCGAACCGGGCTTCGTATACCTCCACACCTCGCCCTCCAGGGGTACCCTCTGGTCCGCGCTCCGTTCCCCCAGAGAGTAGGCCTCCTGCCTGGGTGTGCCGACCCAGTCCTCCCCCTCCTTATCCAGGCTCACCCTCAGGCAGTAGGGGTGCATTAGTTTCACCAGGTCGACCAGGGACACTGTAGAGTAGTAGCCGTGGTCGTTCTCTACAGAGTTCAGCGCTCTCACTTCTGATTGGTCGGGGGAGAATTGTTCAGAGTCCTGATTGGTCAGATTGAAGCCCTGAGTCGGACTGTGAATGTGGACCTTGCTGCCCTCCTCCTCCTCTCCTTCTGCATCACTCCTTTCCTCCTCCTCTCCATCGCTCCTCGGTATGGATGTGGGGGTGGAAGAGGCCTGGGCTCTGGGAGTTAGCCTAGCCCTCCTGGGTCTGTCGGTAATGACCGCCTCAACCTGTAAGGAAGAATGACGTCAAGACTGTTACTCCAGGAGAGGTAGCTATGCACATAACCGTGCTTGCTATTTTTCCTCTTTATTTTTTATATATATTTTTTTATAATAGAGATATCATTCTCTATATTATTTTTTTATGACAAACTCAATCCCATACAGTGCAGTATACTAATATTTTTTGTATGATTTCCAATCTATGACAAAACCCAATCCCATACAAATGAATATGAAATCCGTTATGATAGACATTTTATTTAGTACATTAAAACGAATGCAAATCTATAAACCGTTTTTCTTATTTTAAATCAAACAAGTTACTCTAGTGCAGGGCTCTTCCTGTGGTCCTCGTAACTTGACTGCGCCTCGAGAGGAATATTTATCTGGTATAGAAATAGATCAACTATTCTCCAATGGGGCTGTCTGATTGTTCTATTCTTTACTCATTTTGTTTGCAGAGGAAAAGGAAATGTGGACTGTTCCAGCATCTTCAAAGTGCGCCTCGGCAGAAACATTTGTTTTATGTTCCATATTTTTTTGGCGTGTCAGCCAATGTTCCCGCTAAGCTGCGCGTGTGCGTGTGCCGCGCACCTCGCCTCGGACTGAGCAGATGAAATATCAGCCCTCGTAGAGAATCACCAGATAGAACTTCCCCTTTAGTTAACACTGTCAACGTTTCGCTCTACTGTGGGAATTGTGCTTGAACCAACGCAATATTAGCCACTTTCAATGTAACAAAACAAACTATGCAGGACTTATTAGTATGCAAAACTAACTGTGCAAGAGATTTTGTTGTAGGCAGAACGCATCAGAGTAGGATTCTATTGTATTGACAGGCACGACTCAGGCACATACTCTACACAGACCGGTGCCTCATAACCAATCAGAGCTGCAGTAGGCCTATATGCAAATAAACCATTGCCATATATGGATCATATATGGCCATTCACTTTGAACTGGACTGTCTTTACAGCATGAGAGGTCTTGAGTAGATGCGCTTGTTTTGAGATCAAAGCGAGAGCTGCATGTAGCCACCTGTGTACATTTGTTCATATCCTTTGCTAGTTAGTGAGTTATTAGCCCAGTTATAGATCATTTCAAGTCAACAATGGGGGAGTGGTTGCTTCCTAAAAGAGCACAAAATGTGTGCATTTCTAGACATCTTTGAAAAGCAAGTCAGGTAAAGAGCATTTTTATGTCTTAAAGGGGCAGTGTTGTATTTTGAGACTAAGTAGCCAATAGGCAGAGGGAAGCATAATTTGTCTGATTCTCTGTAATAATGGTCTGGGAATAATAATGCATTTTATTTTGTAAAGTAGTTTCTTGCATCAAACAACATTTTCAGTCACCTCCTTGTTTGAAGGACAAGTGGATAAACAGGTTATTGTCAAGCCCTGCATGTTTTTTTTACAAAGGTCTCACGTACTGTAGACCTACATTGAACACCACACATTTGCTGCTACTGTAAGCTGAATGATAGAACAGCTACTTCCATGTTTAAATGTTATGGGATGCATTTGTCTCCCTTGTTTTTGATGGTAGGCCACTCTGGTAGGTCTACATTATGATCAAATAGCCACAGTAGCCTACTTGGCCACTGTTAAAACTAACTTAAAGCGGGTACAGCCACAGTGTTCACACTAAATGCGCGCCGGAAGTTGCACAGAATTTTCACAGCGTTCAAGTTTGCGCTCAGCAGACCTGATATTTGCTTAGTGACTGAAAAAATGTGAGGGAACATTGGTGTCTGCAATGATTTTGCTGTGGCACTCCACTGCAGCGGAAACACTGCATTATGCCGATTCTGTTGAAAATGTGCAACAGACGTTTTGTAACAGAAAACGTTTTGCAACGAAAATGAGTTTCTATTGGACAAATTCAAGTAGGACCCTCCTCGTTTCATTCTGTTTCCTTCTTAAACAGTAAACAGTTTCCATTGCAAGACGTAATGAAAAACACAGGTGGGTAGCTTCCAGGAACAGGGTCGGAGTGAAAACCTACAGGAGGGTAGCTTTTTTTATTTTTTTATTTTATTTTGTCATTTAGCAGACGCTCTTATCCAGAGCGACTTACAGGAGCAATTAGGGTTAAGTGCCTTGCTCAAGGGCACATCGACAGATTTTTCACCTAGTCGGCTCGGGGATTAGAACCAGCGACCTTTCGGTTACTACAAATGGACCCCTACAAATCAGCTGGGCTAGACAATCTGGACCCTTTCTTTCTAAAACTAGCCGCCGAAATTGTCGCAACCCCTATTACTAGTCTGTTCAACCTCTCTTTCATAACGTCTGAGATCCCCAGAGATTGGAAAGCTGCCGCGGTCATCCCCCTCTTCAAAGGGGGTGACACTCTAGATCCAAACTGCTACAGACCTATATCCATCCTGCCCTGCCTTTCGAAAGTATTCGAAAGCCAAGTTAACAAACAGATCATCGACCATTTCGAATACCACCGTACCTTCTCCGCTATGCAATCCGGTTTCCGAGCTGGTCACGGGTGCACTTCAGCCACGTTCAAGGTCCTAAACGATATTATAACCACGATTGATAATAGACAGTACTGTGCAGCCGTCTTCATCGACCTGGCCAAGGCTTTCGACTCTGTCAACCACCGCATTCTTATTGGCAGACTAAATAGCCTTGGTTTCTCAAATGACTGCCTCGCCTGGTTCACCAACTACTTCTCAGATAGAGTTCAGTGTGTCAAATCGGAGGGCCTGTTGTCTGGACCTATGGCAGTCTCTATGGGGGTGCCACAGGGTTCAATTCTTGGGCCGACACTTTTCTCCGTGTATATCAATGATGTCGCTCTTGCTGCTGGTGACTCTCAGATCCACCTCTACGCAGACGACACCATTTTGTATACATCTGGCCCTTCATTGGACACTGTGTTAACAAACCTCCAAACGAGCTTCAATGCCATACAACAATCCTTCAGTAGCCTTCAACTGCTCTTAAACACTAGTAAAACTAAATGCATGCTTTTCAATCGAACGCTGCTAGCACCCGCCCACCCGACTAGAATCACCACTCTCGACGGGTCTGACCTAGAGTATGTGGACAACTACAAATATCTAGGTGTCTGGTTAGACTGTAAACTCAACTTCCAGACTCACATAAAGAATCTCCAATCCAAAGTTAAATCTAGAATCGGCTTCCTATTTCGCAACAAAGCCTCCTTCACTCATGCTGCCAAACATGCCCTCGTAAAACTGACTATCCTACCGATCCTTGACTTCGGCGATGTCATTTACAAAATAGCCTCCAACACTCTACTCAGCAAATTGGATGTAGTCTATCACAGTGCCATCCGTTTTGTCTCCAAAGCCCCATACACTACCCACCACTGTGACCTGTACGCTCTTGTTGGCTGGTCCTCACTACATGTTCGTCGTCAAACCCACTGGCTCCAGGCCATCTATAAATCACTGCTAGGCAAATCCCCGCCTTATCTTAGCTCATTGGTCACCATAGCAGCACCCACCCGTAGTCTGCGCACCAGCAGGTATATCTCACTGGTCATTCCCAAAGCAAACACCTCCTTTGGCCGCCATTCCTTCCAGTTCTCTGCTGCCAATGACTGGAACGAATTGCAAAAATCTCTGAAGCTGAAGACTCTTATCTCCCTCAATAACTTTAAGCATCAGTTGTCAGAGCACCTTACCGATCACTGCACCTGCACACAGCCCATCTGAAATTAGCCCACCCAACTACCTCATCCCTATATTGTTATTTATTTTGCTCTTTTGCACCCCAGTATCTCTATTTGCACATAATCTCTTGCACATCTAGCATTCCAGTGTTAATACTATTGTAATTATTCTGCACTATAGCCTATTTATTGCCTTACCTCCATAACTTGCTACATTTGCACACACTGTATATATATTTTTCTGTTGTATTTCTGACTTTATGTTTTTTTTTACCCCATATGTAACTCTGTGTTGTTTTTATTGCACTACTTTGCTTTATCTTGGCCAGGTCGCAGTTGTAAATGAGAACCTGTTCTCAACTGGCTTACCTGGTTAAATAAAGGTGAAATAAAAAAAATAAAAAAATACTGGCACAACGCTCTTACCCACTAAGCTACCTGCCGCCCAAGAACAGGGTTGGAGTGCACTCTTCTAGTGGTCCTTTTGACATTGAAATGACCTCTGTAAACCCAGATTAACAGGTGGGATTACCAGTAGCAGTACGGCTAATCTCAATCTGACACACACACACGGACTTCCATAAAAGAGAAAGGGATGAGGTTTCTACCTTTCCAACAGAGGAAGAGGGGGATGAAGAGCAAGAGGGGGTCTTTATGGAACGAAAGAGTGGTTCTTTATCAGGTGGAGACCGTGTTAAACTCAGCAGCCGCCTCAACTGGAGAAACACACAAAACAGGATAAACACAGTTATTACAAAACAACAATCACGTCCTCCCAGACACACACCATTTTCACGATGACTTACAGATAAAACCAAAATAAAAGCAGTACCCCTGATTCTCATCAAATCAAGAACACCTGGGACTGTAGTCACAAAGCGTCTCAGAGTAGGAGCGCTGGTTACTCTAAAACTCAATTGATTCTGAATCACACACAGACCCACACTTGGTTTTACCCACCGGTGAGTTGTCCCGTAGCCTCTGGTCAGAGAAGACCCCGGTGTCAGGCAGGGTGTCGAAGGGAGACAGGGTCTCATCGTCAACACTGTCCAGTATCTCTGTTAGTGCTGTCAACAACGTGGACTCACACTCCTCATCCAGTCTGCTCCTAGTCTGAAAAACAATGTCATTCATTTCTGAAAAACGTATATATATATATATATATATATATTAGGGCTGTCAAATGATTAAAATGTTTAATCAAATTAATCAGAATTTTCAGTGGATTAATCATGATTAATCACTATTTGCAATTACACCTGAATCCTAACCATTTTTTTTCTGAAATGCATACCAAAAGATAAATAACAGGACACAGATACATAATTTTCATATTATGTCTGTTTATTAACACAGCCAAATAATGGTGTTTTAAATCAAGCTGAAACATACTACACACCATAATATTTGTCTTTGGCTGTGGCTCTTGACGGTGGCTTATAGAATGAGTCTTGAGACGCCACTTGCAAAACATCAAGGAAACCTGAGTCTTCTACAATGCTAATGGGTCTACAATCCTTTGCAATCCATTTTGCTATTGTATTGGTCAAATTATCTGAGGTTGATTTTGTTAATTGCCTGCAAACATTCAGCGTGGTCTGGCGCAAACCACTTGCTGAATCTGACGGCCCAGCAAACGCATGTTTGGCGTTGACATGGTACTTCAAGCTTGAACAGCTCCGGTGAAATTGAAACTCCTTCTTACAAATAACCTTGTACTTGTTAACTGTACCATCATCATTCTTTTTATATTTGAATCCGTCAATAGGCCCACTTTGCTCACCTTGCTCCATCTCGCCTCTAGCTCCCAACCACTTTCCTGACCTGAATAATTTGTCACACTGCGCATGCGTGAAATGCGTTAAAAAAATTGACGTAATTAACAGCAAACAACTAATTAACGTCGTTAACGCGCTATTTTTGACAGCCCTAATATATATATATATATATATATATATATATATATATATATATATATATATAAAAATAAAATACAAACGTCATCATTCATTTCTGTGACAGGAAAAAATCGTTGCAGCAGAACAGACCGAGTGTGTCTAATTGGACAAGTTCATGTATACCAGGACTTTTTCCTGCACATGACTCCAAATTGACACTAGAAAATACAGGCGACCCCACTTGGAAACATGATATTCCCTAGTTAATGCTGTGTGTTCATATTTACTCAACTTTAGGTCCTGCAGGCTGTCCCAACACATAACAATAACATGAAAGAGCATTCAAATAGTGTAAAAGGCCCTTAGTTGACACTATAAGGTTGTATTCTATACCCATTTGAAGATGTAAAAAATCTTAATTTGTTTGATAAGATTACAGATTTTCTAAGGAGACTCCTTTTCAATTTCAGGGGACTCCATTTCAATTTCAGGGGAACCCACATTGGGTCCCGATCTGAAGTTTGGGAACCACTGATGTAGAACCTGTCTCGGACGGGAACAGGGTCTACATCAGGGGCGTATTCATTACGTAAACCGTTTAAGACCCAAACAGTAGCAAACAGAGCAAAACAAGAGTTTCTATTGGACAAATTCAGGTAGTTCCCTCCCCGTTTTGTTCCGTTTGCTTCCTTTTAAAGAAACGCTTTGCAACAGAATCGGCGTAATGAATACGCCCCCAGTATATCTGAACGTTGGCCAACATTATGTCCTGCTACTTACCTCTGCAGTTACGGCGGAGTCTTCAAACATAGCCAGGATGGAAGGGTCCAGGCAGGAGTGAGTGTCCATTTCCAGAGCACTGACTTTCCCTTTACCCAGGACAGCCTGTAACGCACAACAAGATCAGAAAGGGAGAACAAGTTAAATCATGTGTCAGGCAAATAGGCTGCGCTTACACGGGTAGCCCAATTCTGATCTTTTGCCCAATTATTGGGAAAAATATCTGATTGGTCAAAAGAGAAAGCAAAAAGATCAGAATTGGGCTGCCTGTGTAAACGCAGCCTATAGAAACAGTTGCTCGATCTCAATGAGTCTTTCTGTGATTCCACGCATCCTATCTCCTCTTCTCTTTCCCAACCGTATTGGAGTCCAAAGTCCGTCCCTTCTGAAGTTCTTCTTTAATGTAGCTATGCATAAAGAGGAAGGATGAGAGGAATCAAGGAAAGATTCATTGAAAAAAAGTGAACGTATTTCTACTAAAAGACACTTGAGCAACATAACTCAAAGGGCAGTCCGAATACACTAAAACAAGCTGCTAGTCATTGTTTGTTTGTTTGGGCTGTGTTTGGATGCTTCTTCCCATCAGAATGTGTGTGTGTGCGCATGCCCAGCCATGTTTTCAGACTGTTGAAGAGCAGCGCCCTGAGGCAGGGGTGGAGGAGGGAAATGTTCAGACATTCATTCCCACACTTCAGATTGATTTATCCAACGAGGTGTAATAACAGCAGCACAAAGTGTCCCGCGCATCATAAGAACCTGCGTTGTCATAAAAGTGACAGTTAGCCCATAGTAGTCTGCACTCTCACTCCTTGACAACAACAATGGTCTAATATGATTACGGGCTACGTCCCAAAAGGCACCCTATTCCCAATGCAGTGCACTATTTTTGACCAAGGTCCATAGGGCTCTGGACAAAAGTAGTGCACTATACAGGGACTAGGCTGCCATTTCGGACTGTCCCAGTCAGTGTTCTTTTGTCAGTGTCCCCACGACCAATAAGTATGTGGGAAATGAGATTAGACTGGGAACAGTAACAAGGGGAGCATTGTAAAATGTGCAGACTGGGGAAACCAGAAAAGCGTGTCGTGGGGTAACAACGTTATTGGACCCATCCCAAATGGCACTCTATTCCCTATATAGTGCACTACTTTGGACCACAGCCCATAGAGTCCCTATGTGTTTCGTATGTACTAATCCTTCACTACACATGACATTCCCTCTCAGGAAATATACATTATTTTAATTGAACGGGGATAGTACAGTAGTACAAAGACGTGGAGTGTTGAAATAATAGGCCACTGTAGGCTACTAGGTGCCTGACACTCACTCCTATTACCGTCAATGTTAGGCCTATACAATCACACTAACTACAACTCTGTTTATCATTAATGTTTCCCATGTGAGTACAGCGGCTATAGCTAGTTCAACAAAACAAGATCCTGGGTGTTGAGAACAGTGTTGACAGGTGCGAATGATATATGGATAATGTTTACTGAAATGGGTGGTATGCAAAGTCAATTAAAATGCAATGATATAAGATCGAGTAAAATAACGGTGCATTTTAGCAGAATGATATTGACTTTTGTATGAACCCATGGTTGACATGGCCAACACTTGGACCGTACCAGTTCCAACTTTACAAATGTAATGTGTCCCTGTCTGCTATGAATGGGACAGTGTGTGTACGTTCCAGTCCTTTGCTAAATATGCATGTCGGTAGCCACGTGAATGCAGAATATTCGAAAGAATAAACTCAGACAATTTAATCTTATCATTTGCTTTTGATCGAGGCCAACCGACAATTCATTGTTGCCAACTTCCGCATACACCACAACACCACCAGTCATTAGAAACTGCGAGCCCACCAACAACTACTAGCAGCAGACAGAACATAGCGTTTTTCGAGCAGAAACTTGGCTGACTACCTACTTAATTCTATCACATTCCAAGCGAATTCAACTCACTGTCACCGCAACTTAGCCAGTTATTACTTTGTAGAGACAAAATAGTTTTTGCATAGCTAAAATCGTGAAATAAAGGAAACAACATAGTTAGCTAGCTACTTGTCACCAGCAGTTATTTCCCCATGCCACCATGCGATTCGCAGCTAGCTTCCACTAGCCGTTAACATCCACGTGTAGGCACCGCGTGATTGCTTGCCTTTTTCAAACACGAAAAATAGCCGAAGCCAAGTGTTTGAAGTAATTTTTATTTGGCCACATGTATGCCGAAAAATCATGTATTAAAGCCGTACCTCATTGAATGCGTTTGTGGTCAGAAATTCCGTGTTGCCGGTGACTATATTCTCATCTTTTCCACGCCACTGCGCCGCCATTTTACAGATCCGCACATGGCTTCGTTCAGTGTAGCTAGGACCGTTGCCATTGGTCAGCGCACAGACACGTGATCGTCAGCACACGGAAGTTGCCGCTAAGCGCAGATCTGGGATCAATTTCCCTTGCTCAAATCATAACCAAGTACTGTTTGGCAAGTAAGAGCAAAACTGACCGGAAATCAGATCTTCATCCGATACGCTCCTGCTCTTTGCTCTCTGGCGAAAGCCCCAAATTACAATATCAATGTCTTTGATATTTAAAATGAGATTGCTATCATGCACCTGCACAGTAGTTAGCTTCATCATGTCAAACAGTCAATGCATGTGTCATATTGCCCGAAACCAACTTCAAATGATTTTATACCTGTCAAATAATTGTCTAGTTTTATGTCAGATGTTAAGCCTTGTTCACACTGGCAGTTTGAAGTAACTCAAATAAATTAGTTTTTTGCATATCTGATTCAAATCTGAGTCAGATATTTCAAGCCACATTTCAAACCACCTTCGTAGGTGGTTTGAAATCACATAAATCTGATTCCTGGCCATGTGACTTGTCTGAATGGTCAAATGCCCTTAAGTGGTTTGCAGACTGTTATTTAGCATATATTGTTGCTTGCTAGCTACTCTGTTGACAGTTTGACAAGAACATCTGGTAGCTAACGAGTTTGTTTGTTGTTTGAATGTGTGAATGTGCTAGCAAACTAAACAGCTAGCTAGTTGACTGCTGTGGCTAGCCAAAAAGGACTCGTTTTGAAAGTTGGATCATCTTATCCTTTGAAGCTTTAAAAGTGTTCTTACACTAAGATTTAGAGCATTCAAAGCAACTGGGGGAGAATGTAATATGCAGGCGTGTCACCTTTGCATGCTACAAAACATCTTACATTACATTACATTTTAGTCATTTAGCAGACGCTCTTATCCAGAGCGATTTACAGGAGCAATTAGGGTTAAGTGCCTCGCTCAAGGGCACATCGACAGATTTTTCACCTAGTCAGCTCGGGGATTAGAACCTGCGACCTTTCGGTTACTGGCACAACACTCTTAACCACTAAGCTACCTGCCGCCCCTTCTCAATCTTCTGATTTAGAGGAAGCACGAGCACCACCAACAATCAGCCTACGCCCCGGTGTCATGTAAAAATCTTCACAGCATGAAATAGTCCCCAATCTTCCTGAATGTTTTGTGATTGTGACGTCATGTTGTAAAATTTCTCACGTGAAAAATGTCCCAGTTCAATAATTGCACGTGCGTCTCTTTATGTGGATGGCTGAGCCCGTGCGGATGTTTCTCTTCACACCCTCCCGTAGCGCCCAAGTCTTTGCAATAGCAAGCAAAATAAAATCTCCTCACATCAACACTCAGCACTTTGACGTGCGAGTCTGGGTATTTATATGCTGACCTCACGCCTCAACAAGCTTCTGATTGGTCAGAGTCAATACTCTTGGTCACAATTGATTAGCAGATGTGTGAAGCAAATGCGCGTGCCCACAGAATAGTTTTTCGAGGTCAAGAAAACCATCCGCACAAACTCAGCCATCCACATTAAGAAATGCGCGTGCATTTATTGAACTTGGAACATTTTCATGCTGGGAGAAATTGTACAGCATGACGTCACAATCAAAACGATTTCAAGCTGGGAAGATTTTTACATGACACCGTCTGATTTCAAATGATTTATACTTTTACTTTTGATACTTAATTATAGTTTAGCAATTACATTTACTTTTGATACTTAAGTATATTTAAAACCAAATACTTTTACTCACACGGACAATTTGCATTGACCCACTCTCCCCGCCCCCCTTTATTTTACGCTGCTGCTCGCTGTTTACTATCTATGCATAGTCACCTTACCCCCACGTACGTCATTTAGCAGACGCTCTTATTCAGAGCGACTTACAGTTCGTGAGTGCATACACTTTCATACTGCGCCCCCCGTGGGAATCGAACCCACAACCCTGGCGTTGCAAACGCCATGCTCTACCAACTGAGCTACAAGGGACTATCTCTGGTGCATTTGTCTTCAGCAGCCCCATCCGGATCATTACCACGGCTATTCTTTGCCTAAGACCAATCTGCCCATGCTAGCAGCGAGACACTGATCGATTTCCACTGTGGGGATGCCTTTCTAGTGATCTCTACTCATTTTCGTTTCTTGGACGATAAGAGCTCGATGCCATCCAGGACCTCTATATCAGGCAATGTCAGAGAAAGGGCCGAAAAATTGCCAAAGACTCCTGTCACCCAAGCCATAGATTGTTCACTTTGCTACCATCCGGCAAACGGTACCGGATCATTGACTCTTGGACCAACTGGCTCCGAGACAGCTTCTAACCCCCAAGCCATACACACACACGCATACCGACACAACACAAACACACATACATACACATTACACACACACTTGTACACTCATCATTTGCTGCTGCTACTCTGTTCTTTATTTTACTCGTATTATGATCTATCCTGATGCCTCGTCACTTTACCCTGCCTTGCTGTTGTAACCTATGTTATCCACTAGGTGGCAGTACCTGTTCAAATAATAAACACGCTACATAGAGACAAACTGTATCTGTCCGTCTCTTTTGTCAAATCAAATCAAATGTTATCGGTCACATGCGCCGAATACAACAAGTGTAGACTTTACAGTGAAGTGCTTACTTATCAGCCCATTCCCAACAATGCAGAGTTAAAAAATAAGACAAATAATTTGCTAAATAAAAAAGGAAATAGTTACACAATAAAAACAGTAACGAGGCTATATACAAGGAGTACCAATACTGAGTCAATGTGCAGGGGCACGAGGTAGTTGAGCTGATTGTGGTAATATGTACATGTAGGTAGGGGTAAACGTGACTAGGCAATCAGGATAGATAATAAACAGAGTAGCAGCAGCGTATGTGAAGTGTGAAAGTATGTCTATGTGTGTGTGTGTGTGTGTGTGTGTGTATGTGTTGGAGTGTCACTGTAGTATGTGTGTGTGTGTGTTGGAAAGTCAGTGTAGTATGTGTGAGTGTGTGGGTAGAGTCTAGTGAGTGTGCAGCTGTAATTGTGTAACACAGGGGTGTCAAACCTACGGCCCATTGGCCATTTGTCGGCCCACCTCCTGATTTTTTGTGGTCCGGTTAGTATACCTGTCAGATTTTTGGATGTTGCCACTGGATTGACAGATAACAGGAATTGGACACGTAGGGACACTGGTTTCATTGAGGCACAGGGAGGGTCTGAGGTTGAAAACTGATCAACCTCACAATCTAATTTACAAACCGTCATGTTGGGAAACCTGACGAAGCCTTGAAGAAACCCATCTCTGTCCCACCAACCCAACCTAACCTAACCCATCTCTTCCTCTGAGGAGAATCTCATCTTTGCTATAATCAATTACCATTACACCTGACTTTAATTCAGTTTAATCCAAGATGGCTGAACATGAGTAAAAGGAGATAGATACTATAATTACATACAAACGTTGGCTAGGTCCCAAATACCACCCTATTCTCTGTATAGCACACTACCTTTAACCAAGAGCCCTGTGGGCCCTTGATTTTTGTTCAGAGCCCTATGGGCTATGGTCGAAGGTAGTGCCCTACAAAGGGAATGTGGTGCCGTTTTGGATGCAGCCCTGGTCTGATCGAGTTAAATAATTAAGATCCATCAATCAAAGGCCTAGGATCAGTTTATATACCCAGGGTCCCAACCGTCACAATTAGGGGCTAACATGCAAAACTGACGTTAGATCAGTAGTTATTCTGTAAGTTACATCATTCAGACAGATCAATCAAACACCCAGACAATCAAATCAATCAATCAACCAATCAATCACATTTATTTTATGAAGCCCTTTTTACATCAGCAGTTGTCACAAAGTGCTTTACAGATACCCAGCCTAAAACCCCAAAGAGCAGGATGTAGGATTAGTTTATTTGCCCATAGTAGTATCTAACTGGCTGCACCTAAAGCTCACAATGAAACCAGAGTCCTTTTATTTTAACCCAGACCCTACCTGTGCCTCCATGAAACCAGTGTCCTTTTATTTTAACCCAGACCCTACCTGTGCCTCCATGAAACCAGAGTCCTTTTATTTTAACCCAGACCCTACCTGTGCCTCCATGAAACCAGTGTCCTTTTATTTTAACCCAGACCCTACCTGTGCCTCCAAAGAAACCAGTGTCCTTTTATTTTAACCCAGACCCTACCTGTGCCTCCATGAAACCAGAGTCCTTTTATTTTAACCCAGACCCTACCTGTGCCTCCATGAAACCAGAGTCCTTTTATTTTAACCCAGACCCTACCTGTGCCTCCATGAAACCAGTGTCCTTTTATTTTAACCCAGACCCTACCTGTGCCTCCATGAAACCAGTGTCCTTTTATTTTAACCCAGACCCTACCTGTGCCTCATGAAACCAGAGTCCTTTTATTTAACCCAGACCCTACTGTGCCTCCATGAAACCAGGTCCTTTTATTTTAACCCAGACCCTACCTGTGCCTCAATGAAACCAGGTCCTTTTATTTTAACCCAGACCCTACCTGTGCCTCCATGAAACCAGTGTCCTTTTATTTTAACCCAGACCCTACCTGTGCCTCAATGAAACCAGTCCTTTTATTTTAACCCAGACCCTACCTGTGCCATCCATGAAACCAGAGTCCTTTTATTTTAACCCAGACCCTACCTGTGCCTCCAAGCCCCCCACCCTCTTCAATCCCCCCACTGTCATCCATTTTCTATCCCTCTATCCCTCCATCTCGCTTGCTCTCCATCCCTATGTCCTCTCTCTCTCCATCCCCCCACCCCTCCATCCCTCTGTCCTCTCTCTCTCCATCCAGCCACCCCTCCATCCCTCTGTCCTCTCTCACTCCCACATATTGTAACACACAGTGTGAGTAATGGGACCAAAACAGTCAAACAGAGTAGGAGGGGGCAGCAGGGGTGTGTGTGTGTGTGGGTGTGTGTAAGTGGGTCACCTTCCGGGAGCATCCGGCATTCCGGCCTCTCTGTCGCC